GGAGTTTTTCATCAGAGTCTCCAGAGCCTTGAAAATGGTATGCATGTCTCTGTTGAAGGTGGATTGGACCGTGGTGATGCCAATACCTTCCTCCTTGGCCTTTTGCTGCTCGCGGGCCTTGATGATGAACTTGAACAGATGACGTCCCACCTTGAAGGCGGCGCGAAGGCTGCGAGACTGCGTACCGTCAGTGGCTGCGTTCAAGAGGCGCAGGTAGCTTCGAATAAGACACGGGGTGACGAATGGGAAGTTGAACTGCTCATCGGCGTAGCGGTCGACCAGCGGGCTTAGGTTGTATCGTCGATCATGAACAATTCCCAGAACAGTGACCAAGTTGTTGAAAATCAAGTTCTCGTATTCTTCATTACCAGCGTTTTCGACCAGGATTCCGAACAGCGCATCGAAGACGCCACTGAGTTGTTTGACAATCTCGATTTCGGGAACAAAGAGCACACGCTTCAAGGTATCCAAGACCTCGTCCACAGGCCGCTCTCGCCAGTTCAGAAGACTCAGAATGACTTGGTCCTGGGAGTACTCTGTGCTGCAGAGGTGGGTCTCAAGGTGCAAAGTGGCCAATGGACCGGTCACAGCTTCATCTTTAGCCGATTCATTCTTGCCGAGCGCGCTCCATGGGAGGCTCAGATAAGCACCCTTTCCATTCTCAATGCTAGATGTCTGCTTGTCATAAGCATGCAACAGCAGAGAATGACGGCCGTCTCTAATGAAAGCCTGCTGGTCCCAAAGGGGCATCCAGGCAAGAGCAAAGGGGAATTCTGGTGCATCTGCAACACTCATCACCATGTGCGAGCCAGGAATTTGTTCCGTGGGAATCTTAAGGCGAATGGTCTGGTTCCAAGGCGAGCCGCGCTGGGTGATTGTAGTGCGCCATGCCGTGTTCGAAGTATTAGAGGACGAAGGGAAGACACATTTGTCTATCCGTGCTCCTTTAGCATCACGCACTTCGAGAGTAAGTTGGAGATTGTGGAGTCCGTTGGTCGCCTGTAGAGGAATTTGACCAGCCTGCGGGTGAGACAGGAGGGCATCTGTGGGGAACACAGCCTGAGATAGCGTCACGTAAATATCGGATCTTGGCTTCGTAGGAGCCTTGGAGAATCCAATGCGCTGCGTCTGTACAACATCGTGCAATATAGTAGGGTTCTGACGGATCAGGAACTCGGCGTCGCTACTGGCAAAGGGCCGCAGGTGGAGGTGTAAACGTGCAGCAGGATCGGCACGCACATACCGGCCGGTGGGACTGGGAAGCAAGGCACGGATCAACTTGTCAAAGCCATCCGTCAGCCCCTCACCGTCTTCCCCGTCTCGACGGGGTGACCAAATGTTGATCACCTGCTCAGCGTCCTTTTCCTGTCGGAGGATCGGTGAGATCTCCAAGATCCCAACGCCAACCGTGCGGATCGCCGAGACCTCCTTCGCTGGGGCGGGTTGAGGGGTGCTTGGCTCTTTGAAGCTGGATGCACTGCTCGATGTTCGTGGAATCCCTTGGGTAATGGGCTTAGATGGCTGCTCGAAGCTCGGTCCACGTTGCTTGGCTGTCCACATCATGCTGCGTCGCGTTCTCAAACTGCCCTTGACCGAGGGTTGAACGCCTCCATTTGGCGTCGCCTTGGTTGGGGTCGGACTGTCTCGTGAGATTGAGGGCCTCGACACAGGAGTGGTATCAGTTGTGGACCGCGTCTCTGGAGCACGAACCCAAGCAACTAGGTAGAGCTGCCGCCCATTCGCGGACCCATCTCCGATATCTGTTGCGGCCAAATCGGTGAACAACGTCTTCAGTTTACTGCCTTGGCCCATGTTGATGAACTTATCCGGAGACGGAATATCTAAGCTAAAGGTCTCGGACAATGGACTGAGTGCACCGGCGTCTGACCGGGAAAACAGCTGGATTCCAATGGTCACTTGGCCCGGCGCATTCCCTGATACCGCGTCGATTTCCAGCAGTAAATGATGGAGTGCTGTAGCATCGGATGTTTGGGTGGGACGGGAGTCGAGCATACTCATCTCGGACTGCAGCTTTGCCAATTGGATCGCAGAGTCGTCACCCGTGAGCAAACGGCCTCTTTGTTCGGGATCGCGAACGATCACGTCCCCGCTAAGCATTTTGTTTGCCTTGACAAGTTTCCAGACTGTCTCGTCCCGCAGTACCTCCTTCTCCTTTCCAGTCAGAACATTGTGTAGCAATTGTCGTCTTGCAAAGTCCAGCTCCTGTACGATGGTTGACATTTCTTCCAACACACCATACCGACGTGCCAACAGCAGTTCATGCAGATTCGTCGAATGCCATTCGCGCAGACACGATGCGATCTCATCGACCAGTGGCTCTGTGAGAGAAGTCGGAGTTTCATCACCGATTTTCAGCATCGGGACCGGGGCAGCAGGTTTGGGCGCATCGGGGTCGCGAGGAGCAAAGGAGACAGGTGTATGCGGGATTGACCCCGTCGGCCATCGCGGACTTGCCTGGTCCGACCCATCGGACTTGTGAATAATAATCTGGGACGGCTTTCCCTTTTTCGCAAAGACAACGTCGGACACCTCACCAGCAGCCTGGAAGTCACTGACGGAATAAGCCATACTATTTCGGGACATGAAGTCTCCATCCCAGCCGGACAGTGTCAGTCGATCAATGCTTTTCCGATCGGCATTGAGCAATGCTTTATATCCATCACCGTCGCCCAGGACCTCTCTAATCTCAACGCAGTTCCGCGGGAAGATACCGGAGAACACTCGAGCTTCGAGAGTTTGACCCTGGGTACTTGTCAAGCCGGCCAGCAACGAGGGCGGCGCGACCAAATAGCCTCGGCACCACTCGCCATCCTTCCCTCCTTGTTCAATTATGTAGAGCTCATCGCCCAGCTCCAATGGTAGATCTGCCGGAGAAGAGGGATTGAAGGGGTATATGGCCACGGCAAAGGCAATGCGAGGCAGCGGCCGCCAGGGCATGGCTGTGTTGTGAATCGACGCGATTAGAGCTCGGCCAGTCCCCGCAAATGGGTCTCCGATCGCAAGGTTCGCGGGAAGGGATTGCGGTGTGGATCAGGTTCGAGGAATGTTTCGATCAATCGAAGGCCACATGCAATGGGGGGGATTCAAGGTCCCGGGAATAACGAGAGGAATGCGGGAGTTTTGAGGAATGTTATGCGAGTAACGATCTAGAGCATGATTAGAGAGGCGCATGGACCAAGTGATTTTGCCCTGTCGGAAAGCGAGGAAAGAGAGAACAGAGATTTGGTCTCTACAAAAAAGACGAAGTCTGGAGTTGCAATTGAGTATCCGTGCCCCCCTTGACATTTTGGTGGAGACGCAATTTAGAGCCGTGGGGAAGACTCACCGTAAAAAAAAAAAAAAACACACACACGGTAAATCTGAAGAAAAAAAAATAAAAATTAGAAAAGAAAATAGAAATATCACAGAGAGAGAGAGAGAGAGAGAGAGGACTTGAAAGGAGAACATTAAAATCGATCGAAGATCACTCCCCACATCTCTCTCTCTCTTTTAACCAAAGTTGAACTTTCGGAGGATAACTGCTTGACCTTGCTTCATATGCCGTTAGCTACATGTCCAAGGACTTTTTAAGATTACATCTCCTAACAGATAAAACAATAATTGAACCATTCATTCCTATTCGCCTAACACCATGTACAATGTGATAGATCCTCCTACTCCATAGTACTCCGTACCTATCCCCCTGAAACCACCCCCGAACGGTGGGTCAACACCAATGAGAAGATCTAATCTTTTATAAGATGCAGGAGTCTGCTTATACTGATGTCTTTTCAGTAGTCTTTGTAGTGAGTAGTCTTCTCAGATATCCTTTTTAGATCTCCTTTCTTTTTGGCACCCCCTTAGATGTATAGGTCTTGGCGTTGGGTTACTAATCGTCTCGCCAACTGGCGCGCACCGAAATGTTGAATTTCCATTTTCACCATCTACTTGATATCCAAGAAGCCATTCAAAAGAATTCTAAATACTAGGAATTAAACTCATCATGTTGGGCTAAACCGATTGAACCGATTGAGCCGACCACGAAACTATTCTGCAGAGGTGGAACGTACATACAGGACTTGTATGTGCAATATACCGTCTAGAAACAGCCGAAATGAAATGGGTTCCATTAGAGCCATATTAGTTGATCGTTAGCTACGCCGCGCTCCCAATTCTTAAGGATGGGCGAGTTGGGCGCGAAGTCCTGGAAGTATTTGTAACAAGCGAGAGCTACTATTCCTGAAATGACATCGTAAAAGACCCCAAAAAAGACGAAAAGAAAGATTTATGGGAGAAACATAGAAAGTGTGCAAAAAGAGAAGAGCCAAGAGAGTTATCGCAATGTCGTCAGAGTTAATTGACAGGATGTATACTCCTAAGTCTTAAATTCAATCATCTTTACTATATTACTTCTTTACCTCTTTGTGCAAGTCACCAAGTTTGATCCTTATTATGTCTGCCTCATCTTTGATAGAGTCTGTTCGGATTATATCCACCAGCATTTTTCTGTAGCAATTGCTGCCTATCCAGCATTCCAACTGTTCAAGGACAACCGGATTGTCAATGATTCGGAACGACTCTTTCACTTTGAGGGTGTTCTCACTTCGGTTGTGCCCATCTCTCGTGTGTGGCCAATCGCTTCCCCATATAATCTGATCAGGAATCTCTTTGGCAAATGTTTGGATGATGACAGTCATCAAAGGCCGAGGCAGGGCCATCGGACATGCGATACAGGCCTGAAATCTGGACATAGACGCGGGACTGCTTTGCTAGCGATAGGAGCGATTGAAATCCGGGTTGATATATCGACATGGACTTTAGCTCGGAGGGCAATTTGGTTGAACCACGTATACCGCTAAGGTGGTCTGCGATGATCCTGATAGGGAGGTCTAAGATTTTATCGTGGAGACCTAGATAGGGTTAGAAAATACGGTCGCCCTCAGAATTTATATGGCGAGCTCGCGATCCTATAGTTGCCCCGGAATGAAAAGCCGGATGACCTAGCCAGGGAGATATTGAATACGATCGGCAGTACGGAGGAGATCTGCTACCAGTTTGTCGACGTTGACATCTTTTCCGTCTACTTGGAAATTCAGTCGGATTCCACGTACACCGAGGACGTGTATTTCTTTCAGTTGTGCGTCGGTGGTTTTGTCGAGATTCAAAATTGCGATCCCAAAGGCATTGATGTCTCGCTCTTTCAAAGTTTGCAAGGATTGCATCATGACAGTACAGTCGGTTCTGTACGGAGACGGCCGAACGAGCAACAGCGTGCTGTTCTTGGTCTCTGTTGACAGAGTTTTGTAGAACGCGATCAACTTTTTGAGCGGCGCGTCTTCCGGGGGTGTAGGCTCGTTTGGGATCATATTCGCCCAGTGCTGGGTCAAAGACGTGTACGTGGGTATCGAAAGCTCCGCGAGGAAGAAATCCATCAAACAAACATACGCAGGATTTGAGTCACTGCCGTGACTTTTCATTATAATTTGCGATGACATTTTGCTTCCCAGGTAAGACAATGAGGATGTGAATTTCTTGACCCTGCGATGTGACCGCCCATCTGCATTAAGTGCTCGCAAGGAATGCATAGACTCTAAGATAACGATCTAATTACTGGTTTCAACATCATTAGTATGTTGTAGAAGGCTTGACTCCTTCTTTCGGCTTTGCCGACGCGTACCTGTCACTTCGCCGTCGGATCCATCTGATGGACGGGCGGTCTCCTTAGCCGCCTCCTGATATATAATTTGAAGAGATAGAGAAGTTTCAGTCGTAAGTAGTTGGTAAACAGGATAAAAATGTCAGAACTAGCAGCCAAAGCTGTTCTGGTCGCTAAAGATGCCGACGAAAAGCGTCCGATTCCATACCGGAATCTGGCGGTTGGAGCATTGATGAACATACTCCAAGGTGCGTACACAGGTTTGATGCTTCAGCAACATTATGTGGTGTCCTGGGTGGTGTCGGTGGTGGTATTGCTCAGTCTTATCTCACAATGGGAATGACAACATGCATGAAAACAGTCGCGGTAACACGTACCAAGATCGGTGCTCAAGGTGCGAAAGTTCCAGGAACAAGGGAAACCTTCTTCCAGATTCTGCGCGAAAAGGGGATTCGAGGTGTGAACAAAGGCGTCAACGCTGTTGCATTGCGACAAGTCAGCGGTTGGTCATCTAGAATTGGCATCTCTCGCTTTGCGGAGCAAAGTATCCGATCTATCAATGGAAAACCCACGAATGAGAAAATCAACTTTGGCGAAAAAATCCTTGCCTCCACAGTTGGTGGTGCTCTCAGTTGCTGGAATCAGCCATTCGAGGTATTTCCCTCCCACGATGCGCGCAATGTCAATGATCTCTAACTCCCTTTCTTAGGTACTCCGAGTGGAGATGCAATCAATGAAGAATGATCCCACTAGGCTAGCGTCACCAAATATTGTGTCAACATTCAAACACATAATTGCAACCTCGGGCTTGAAGAGCTTGTTCCGCGGTGTGGTCCCGCGCATTGGAGTTGCTGCGTGGGCCACAATTTGTATGGTTGGATTTGGCGACACGGTCAAAGAGATGGTGAGCCGAAAATGAACCTTTGGGTAAAAATCGCTTTATAACACGGTGACTTTTGGTTGCTTCATGTAAATTACTCCCCACGCCCTAGAAATCATCAGAAAGAGGGCAACCGGGGAAGTCGTCGCAATGTCGCCAGATTTAATTGACAGTATGTATGTCTCACTTCTTCGCGTTGTCGGTCGAGATCTCTCTTTGCGGGCTGAGCGTGTCTCTCAAAGGCTCTCATGAGTATCACCATTGCCCCTATAGGATACTCTGACTGTTTTTCACTAACCAAGCTTGTGAACCTGATTCTGCAGCCCTCTCGAGCACCCGTGGCTACCTAGTTATGCCTTGATGAGTTCGTCGAGGGTCGTAGCTAGACTGAATACGCCGTCTAGATGATACAAAAGGATAAATATCCTAGTCAGGGCTGCCCGTTGCTTCCAAGGTTCCAACCCAGGCCAGTCCATGGCACCCCCAACCCAGGTTATTCGGCCTGCTGTGCCATAATATGTGTCTTCCTCGTGTTTGTCTCGTGAGGTTCCGTCTTTGATATTGTCCTCATTCAAGTTTGTTGGGCGTCTCGCAATATCAGAGGGTGTTCACGCTCAGAGGCGTCCGGTCTCCTGCCTCGGCGATCCCACAAACACCGGAGGACAACCCCAGCTTCAGTCTCGAGTAAGACTCGACTTAGAACTCATCGGATGGTTTCAATAGCCCATTTCCCTCTGATTTGCGTGCAGCGAACGGGCGTCGCCAACCGCGGAAACTCTGCGGCCCGGCTCGCAGTGGAGACCAACCGCCTACATACAACATGAGGGGCATCAGCACACGTCTTCCAGTATTTTAGCCCCGAGCCGTGTGTTGGAGGCGCAGAGAGGAAATCCCCACTTGGAGCATGAGGTATTTGTTCGATTGGTCTCGTAGTGAAGGGGGGGCAACTTCGACGAAGGCTCCACTGCGCTTACATTAATCGTAATCGCTACGCCAATCACCCGTAACTAAGGACTAGCTCGTTCAGAGTCGTGATTTGAGTCTGTCCGACGACTGACCCCGATTTCGTCTCGGTAGACCATTCTGCTGGCAACGAAGTTTCGAAGACATTTTACCAAACAAAGCGCCAACTCATAGTGAGCGTCGTCAAAAGTCCGATCAGCTCGACATTCGAGCATCGCAATAGCACTGTGCCCATCAGCAACGGCCATCGGACGGACATTTTCCAGGAGCAACGAGGCAAAATCGATCCTCAACAGAAACAATATCATATTATCGATCCCGTCCCCTCTAAGAGCAATGCTCGAGTGGTTATTTGGCAAGTCATTCCATCCAGAAAAGGATATAGCAAGTGTAGAGGGTAAAGTCATTCTAGTAACTGGTGGTACGTGCAAGCTTAATGATCCCGCTTGTGCTACACTAATGTCAAGTATAGGGAATGCTGGTCTGGGAAAGGAGACAATTTTGCAGCTAGCAAAGCATCATCCGAAGGAAATTTTTCTCGCCGCGAGAACGCAAGAGAAAGCTGAAGATGCCATCCAAGAAATCAAGGAAGCTGTGCCAGATAGCAACATCTCGTACATTAAACTGGACCTCACCTCATTTGCGTCTATAGAAGAGGCAGCAGAGGAGTTCAAGCGCCGTTCTGAGCGACTCGACATTTTGATCAACAATGCTGGTGATTATTCGTGTACTCGGTCTCAGGCTAAAAAACCAATTCAGTTCACGTAGGCATCATGGCAGTACCGTACTCCAAGACCAAGGAGAATTACGAGATACAATTCGGCACGAATCATATGGGCCACGCGCTACTGACCAAACTGCTACTCCCGTCACTACTTTCAACGGCTGACAAGCCAGAATCTGATGTTCGCGTGATCAACCTCACTTCTGAGGCCCACTCTTTTGCACCCGGCATCATCTACGATCAAAACCACCTGGAGTCGTATCACACATTCCGTCGCTATGGTCAATCCAAGCTGGCGAACATCCTCCACGCTCGCGAGTTACAAACGAGATACCCATCTATCACGGCAACGGCTGTTCATCCAGGCATGATATTGACAGATCTGTACACCCCACAGATACAAAGCAACGTTTTCGCCAGATCCGGTTTGCTGCACGCCAGTCTGTTCTTCAATGACGTGGCAAACGGCGCAAAGAATCAGCTTTGGGCTGCTACTGGCCCGAAAAAGGACGTTCGGCAGTCGTACTATTGGAAACCGGTGGGAATTGCTTCGAGGGGAAGTATCTCCTATGCAGAAAACGCAGACCTTGCGCGACAGTTTTGGGATTGGACAGAGGAGCAATTCAAGAAGCACAAGTAGCGACCGGGAGTTCTTGCTTGTTAAGCTAAAGGGGATTAACGCTCTACGAGCATTGAATGAGAGGGATTTGTTATTTATCGCATGTTGACATGGGAGAGACCCGCTCTTTGACCCCATCATGAAGGCCTGTTCAAATGCCGCGCAGCTAAATATACAGCAGCACTTAAGCATGTACACATTTTGCATTTTCCCATCGAGAAGTGCTTCTCCATACTACTTAAATCAGCATCCAAGTTGTTCCCGGCGCTGATCAATGACCAGTGTATGCAGTCCATTCGTAGAAGGAATGGAAGTCGCTCGCTGGCCGCAGCAATGTTTCGTGAGTTTGCCACGCGTGGGCGTGTAAGCCGGCGTGATATTCTCAAAGTCGTACCTAACCAAAATCTAGTGGACATTCTGTCTCTGGTATATTTTCATGTCTCCGAGCTGTTGCTCCACGTGCATACCCAAATATGATGGCATTCATCCCTCCAACGGCCACTCGAAAGTTTGGGCCCGTTTGGTCAGATTGAGCCGGTCGGCTCGTCTGGCTTGATCTATTGGTTGGAGCGGGTCGGGCCGGTACGGATCGGGCCGGTTGGTCTGGTCGATCCTCCGGCCGAGCAGCTGGTGTGCTATCTTGGGAGGTAGTGACACTGCCTGTCGCACTCTCCCTTTGGAAATGCCGTGCGCTAGCTACCTTGCCAAGGCCACTGGTTAGGCCAGCCACGGTTACACAAAGTCAACACACAGCTCTTGGGGCCTTGAACGACGATGCCCTCAATCATCGGAAAGCAGCTGTCAAACTTACCATGTAGCTCTTTGCAAGTCGTGAAATTGTTGGAATTTATATCATAGTGTATATTAAGTCGCAGACTGTTTTCCTTGAATCTTGCGAGTTTTGATTGCCTACTACCCCTGTGCGATACCAAAGTGCACCCTTAGAAACGACAATGGCATATGGAGGGGCATTTGCCTCGGCGCACGCTTTAGATACAATCAGTTTATGCGTGCTGAAAAAGCAGAATTTCATGGGGTAGCGGCCTCTTAGTGCAAGGACTCGTCCTCCCATACAACTATGCATCTGGTCTCAATACTCTGTCTGGCCTCACCATAGTCACTAGCCGTAGTAAATGCCCTGCAACAGACCCGTCAGTATGGAATTTAAATATCAAGATAAAATGAACTCACGAATGTGGCGAACACCTCGCTCTTCCATCAGTCTTACTGTCGTAAAGCTTGATCCAAAGCACATCCTCTGGTCCCATCTCTTTCTTGTAGTAGTACCTGTGCGCAGGGTTGTGGTTGACCGTAAACAAACCCGTCCTCCTTTGCCGACCATGCACGGGCATATCAGTACTGCCATCTATCAAGTCACTGTCTGGGATAGTCCTCTTGTCTCCAAGGCAAAGTGCATCACGGGTGACTTTGGTCACCGGTCGCCAGCAGCTGAAGATTGCCCAGCGGGATCGAGCGAGACGTTCCCAGTCTGGAGGTTGCTCTGGCAAGGTGCTTATATAGTCCGGGGCGTCGTTGTAACTGTAGTCGACATGGAGGACATGTGCGGGGGGAATGATGAAATTGTCGGGCGTTGGCCGACTAGCGTAATTCGAGGCCCGAAGGAAGTGCATGTAGCAATGAGCAAAGCTGGCTCCCGTCCTGTACTAGAATTAGCGTCGTTCTCAAAGAGTCGCAAGCCAGAGTCTGACATCGTCTTCACGAGACTGGAGACCTCCTCGTAATACTTCGAAGAGACTGCTTCGTCGTCTTGGAGATCAAGATCGAGGACTTCGGACTTGTGATGCATGAATTGGAAGCCTGCCAGGTCATGTGTAAACTGCTACTCGCGACCAGATATCTCGTGAATGGTCACATCTTGGATGTCGCGTTTCGGTATTTGCGGGTTTCCGACCTCGTGAAGGTCACAGCCACCGAGGGCTGGATCAAGTCGGAAGGCCAAGGTCGTGTGAACGGTATCGAGGGTAGTATCTTCGATGGACCTCATGCTGAAGTCGTTGCTTGGATGACAGGTTTGTATAGAGAAGAGACTAATATATAGTAGAATTCGCAAACCGATTATCTCTTTAACACACGCCTTCTTTCCCCGCGCTCAAACCAACCCCCGCTAATCCTAATTCACAAGGAAAGTCTCCACTCTCTTGGCTTGCTGTGTCTCTGGTTTGTATGTTTAGCTATTACTACACTAGCTCGCGATGAGGTGCAGTTAAAATCACACCTCGTCAGACTGCTAAGAAGCTAACTTTGTGCAACAACAATGATGTCGATCAATTGATAAGGCCCCACAAGGTCGCCGAGAGGCCTCGGTCGACGTGAGGGCCACCCTTGTATGGGTCCAGCATGGCTGTGAGATGGCCAACCAATCGGGTGAAATCCCACAGGTATGGTACGAGTCCGAGCGCACTTTCTGCGTCGATCTTCGCCAATGGGGTCTCTTCTCTTACGCCTCTTCAAGCTGACATGCATGGCAACGGCTCGGGGCGCAGAACCAAAAGGAGACATCAGGGGCATAAGGTTGTAATCCGCGGGCAGGAAGCAGTTTTGATAGGGTGCAGGCAACACTGTTCGGAGTAACTGAAGCCCGCTAGGCACAGTTGGGCCTTCCCTGCACGATTATTAAGGGGACGATACAGTCAGCGCCGCGCATAGATTTAAGAACATCGCTGGAAGAAGGATCGTGCCACACACACCAAGACGATGTCGCTCGCAGAGCAACTCATGTGGGCTCTGCCGGCCACGGATATGTGAGGGTCCGGGTTCAGTTTTGCGCCAGATTGCGCGGAACTGTGATCTGTACAAACACAACTCTCCACGTTAGCGATTGCGAGTAAACCCAAACGTTTGAATTGTAATATACCTTGTGTAGATGTAGAGAACCCACAGTCGATTGTCTATCGGCGTGCTACAGGCGGTTGCCCCTGTCAAAGTTTTCAATAAATGAGGGGTGTTAACTGACAAAGTTTTGATGATCATACGGTGCTGCGACCAATGAATGAGAATGCAGCGAATAGGGGCGATTTCGAAATGTAAGGCCATGAGTCTGGATCTAGTGCGTGAAGCAAAAGCGTGCGACTGAACTTGGGCGCATCGAGAAAGCGTTCTCGACAAAAGAGTAGAGAGGTCACTGCTACGCCTACGTCTGGTTAATCCGGTTGAAATTGAATGCACTTGCAGACATCATCTGGTAGTACTTTGGTTTTTTCTTTGTGTAATCATTGGGGGCATGGTTGTTGAGAAAATCCCAAAATGTTTTGCTGCGTAGAACTGAAATTAAATTACATGATGGGAATTGGATAAAAAGGTGGCGACCCCTTATCCGCAAGGGGCATGGGCTCGCAACGGACTGGGTACCATTAGGTATGCTCTCATCTATCAGGTCAATAGGCCCAGACAGATCCCAACGCCCATACTGAAGAAAAAATGGAGACCGACAATGCTAACGTTCAGATCATTGTGCCTTCTTGGCCTCCGCCTGTTTCACTCTTCGGCGCTTCAGGGCCTCCGGGGTGTATTCGGTGTCAAGGACGTAGTCCCACCAGCGGAAGCTGCTTGCATAGTTCCCAATGAATTTCTCATGGTGAAGGTCGTGGTGATCAGCACCAGCCCAAAAAGGCAAGAAATGGTGAAGACTCCATGGGAATTCGTAGCCACTGTGGGCATCGATGGCCTGGAACAAGCGCAAGATAATCCAGACATACATAGTCAGAATATGCAAGTGACCGGTGATAGCACACCAGATAATCGGGCAGCTGACGGTTCCGAAGCCGAGAATCATCACTTCAATAGGAGAAGCATATTCGGCGGCCAAGCCGAATGGTGCGGAATACTGATGGTGGATTTTGTGAATAGCCTTGTAGAGTGGACCCCAGTGAAGCGCTCGGTGGAGAAAATAGTGCCAAGTGTCTTCCATCACGAAAAAGATTGCAATCTGATATACCATGCTCCAGAGACTTGGGAAAGGAATCGAGGTTGATAGACCGAAGTACTGCGCCATTGGGTGGAAAAGCCTAGAAGAGCCGTTAGTACTCAATCGGGCCCGAGAGCCAAACGGCAGTTAGAACACCACTCCGTCGAGGGCATGAACATACCAGATTTGAGGAAGTTCGACGGTAAAGTGGCTCAGAAGCACAAACTTGGCACAATCCCATTGCTCGCGTAATGAAGGTACTTTGTTCTGAAGCAGGATGTTAGTTTTGATAGCGGGGGGAATTGGGTGGATTTCGGCTAGTGTGAGGTGTTCGGCGTCCGACTTACACTTTGAATCTTATAGCTCTTGAAAAAACCCAGCGTGTCGATGAAAATCCACGGAAGAGAGCGGCCGAAGTAGAACAACTCGTGCACGGCGAAGGACATGATACCGGTAGCCAGAACGTCATTCTGCATCCACGCATACCATGCAACCCACAATCTCTCCGGCACGCTCAGGTGGACATTGGCTTTGGTGATATCCTCATATTGGCCCCAATAGGTGTCGGGGGGCAGCACGGTAGAATTCCTAGCAGAACAAGAGTCAATATGCGACCAATTCCAAAAAAAGCGCAATTAAACCAATTGGTTGCAAAGAAATCGGGAAATAGACGCACATTGTGGTTCTAAGCAGGTCTTGAATATGAAAGAAGACGCAGATGCTGGGAGAACGAGAAGGTTGAGATAAAAGAAAGGATCTGTGGATATGGAGACTATGTGGGGCTCGGATGACCATCGGCCCGTCTGTGGCCTGACTTTTGGGTTCCGGCGCCCGGTATTGAAACCAGTACTGGGCTCTTACCATACTTACAAGTTATGATTGGTCTACAGACGCTTCATGAAGTCGTTCACCCGGAGACCCATAATTACCGTAAGATACTGATTGCACATACGCGTCCTCTAACTGGTGACTGTTGACTGCGGCTAAAGTGACTTGGGGTGGGCCCATTGGACCCTCAGTTGCCGAGTGACGTGTGGAAATGACCGTCATACGTTATTTCAACTCTCCGCTATAGAGAGATTCTACTGTATGTGAATCGCAAAGGTCAGGTAGATTCGAACTTCGAACGCAGGGTCCGGGCCTGTCCAAATTTGCGTTTTCCAGGCGTTGTCCTGACCTACTAGGGTGTCTCGCATCCTCGCTCAATCATTCGTTCCTACGCAGGGCGAAGAGCATACGGTGTTAAAGGAAAATCATCACAGCCTCGCGAAAGGGCACCCGCCTCTTTCTTCCGCCATCAACCTCGCCATTGATGCTTCAAACTCCACCCCGCCCTTGCTCACCCATCGCTCAGGTCCCACATCCCTCGTCACATAACCCTCAGGTTGGAAACCCTCCCCAGGCAACGGGAGACCCTGCAGCCTGCGTATCCAAGCCGCTGGGCCCCAGCAATTCAGAAATGTGGGCTCGACGTACCAGGGCTCAGCATCAAAGCGCGTGAAGTTGATCCGGCCGGTTTTGGAATTCGTTTGCTTGAAGGTGTAGCGAAGAAAGGCCGGGCGCGGGGGCATACAGTATTTGACGATGTTTTTGCGGATGGTGAAGATGGAGGAAATAGTTTTGTAGTAGGAAGCGGCGCGGGGGTACATCATCGCTTTCCGGAGCCGTTCGTCCGAGAGGACTGTGATACATTTCTTGCCCGCGTCATGGAAGGACTTCGGCAGGGTATAGTTGAGAAGATCAGTGGTGTGGTTGGCGACGAGGTTACAATTGGTATCCGGAAGCATGTACTGCGACTCATACGCTTCGACCCAGACTGCAAGTTCGTCGAGCCATTGCAACCCGTCCGTGAAGCCGGATTTGTACGACGGAAGGCATTCGTACGAAATGTCCATGGCCTCGCCAGCGGATTTCCAGAACGTGCCGACTATGAGACCAAACAGCATCATTAGCCACCACTCGCAAGACCCGGAAAGTGCACATTCATTGTTGCGGTTGGGCCAACTTACAAGCACAAAGCTCCATGTCATTCAGGTTCCTCCATTCATACTGCTCGATCCAGCGTTTCGGCTCCAAGGCCAAGACCGCGAGGGTGCACAGCATGTCGTCGTTGCTGATCTTGCCGGCTTTCTGGTAATGGCTGTGAAGGAAATTCAAGCGTGCGTAAGCGGCATTCGCACGTTCGCTCTCCGGTGCATTGTCGAGCCACTCGGTGAAGATGCAGCCAGTGTCGGCGTAGCGCTACGAGCGTCGTAAGCTTGTGGTCTTTGGACGGATCACCCGGGCTTCATCGGCCTAACGTACCTTAGCAGCCTTTTGGGGGGTAGAAAGCTGCCCCGTCTCGATCAGAAGCTCGCTGATGGTGGAGATGCCGTAAGTTCTGTACAGCAGGATACTCATCAGCCTTTACGCCTTATCCCACCTCTATTCCTTCGGGGGAGCATACTTGAACAGCGCATACTGAAGTCCCTTTCCTCCTATAAACGGGAACTCCAAGGTCAGAACATCCCGCTGGATCGCCCAGGCGTCGTGAGAGGTCATCTTGGCATAGCTCTCGCGGGTTTTGTATGGATACTGGTAGTACATCACGGTCTCGCGAAGGTTGCGCAGGAAGCGGCACAGGAGCATGTACCCGGCCAGAGGCAGGAGCACTGCTCCAATCGACACGTTCGCCATGCTCAAGGAAGATGAGAGATGTGGTCTTCCTTCCAGTGCCCAGGTGATAGTAGCGGGGAAAGACGATATAAACCGGAAATTTGAACTGCCCTAACTGAAGTTCCCAGTCAACTAGTGTCGCTTAAGCCCATTTGGCTATGACGGGTTTTGGAACTTGACCACTTAAACGCGCCAAGATGGATGGGGTTAGGCCTTGCTGACTTTTACAATATAGACCTTGTTCAGGGTGTGTAGCAAAGCCAACACGGGTGGCCCCGGGCCCGTGCATAAGTACGTCCAGGCCCACCAATCCCACATATAAAGTGGGACATACTTTATACCAATAGGAATATTGGTATGACCACTTTTAATATCATGCACTCCATCACAGATATACGACCCGGTAAGCTTGCCTCAGTCTACAAGGCCTCCTAAGGCTACCCCTCTTTTGTGGGCCTGGGGGCCTTGGCTGCCGCTCCTTAGACGGGGGTGGTCAGTTGAGCCACACTCGCGGTGTCGAACGCGGGGGCACCCCCAATTGGATTATCCCAACCACGCTGCTCGTGGCGAGAATGGGTACGCATCCCACTGGTAGCAGCCTTGCTCTAGTGTGGAATAACTGGGGCCCACATACTACAATTGACGTTACTCCAGGTCTTTCCAGAGTGATGACGCTGGAACTGATGATGGTCGAACTAGTGACGCGTGGCCGGCTTACCGTTGGGGTAGAGCAATCACAAAATTTGTCATTCTGTACGCATGCAGTCAGCGATGCAGCGGAAGCAATGCATGCTGCATCTCTGGGCTCTATGTTAGGCGTCGGTGGCCGAGCTGGGCAGTCACTCTATGGAGGAACCTCTGTGAGTCATCTCCTCGTGCCTATCACAGTAATTTTGTGGTTGGGACACTTCAAGTGAGACGTCGAATGTCGACCGAGTTGGTTGCCGGTTACAAACATGGTGTCCTTTTTCTTCTACTGCCACGATATTATTGCGAACTTGTTCGAATGAACCCGGCTAATGGCATTCTTAGACATTTCTCGACGCATTTGCAGAATACCAAATCCGATTGGGTCAGCCTGCCCCTTGTCGAGGGTGTCGGTATTGCCTTCGATCGCGGCATCGTCGAACACTTGCAAGGCACCGTGGGTGCCAGCATTAATGAAGATCAACTTTTCACTCTGATCCACGGGGCCATCATTGGACCTTCTTCTGGACTCAATGCCCATGGAAGAGGGCTTTCTTGCACGCTCGCGTCCAAGGCGGAGGCAGACGACTTGCCGTGGGAGAACATAAGTCCATTGTCTGTCATAGGGCGTCAACGAAATAGTGCCGGCAGTGTCGATCCCTCTTCCAACGAAAGCAAAAAGCTCCAAGGTAACCTACAGAATGCATCTCCTGGGCTACTCTTAGAGGCCTTGGGCGACAAGATATCGTCGATTACGAGGATCGATAGGGATGAGATTACGGCCGACAGAAGTCTACTTGACTACGGACTCGATAGCCTGTTCTCCCTGGAGCTTCGGAATTGGATCAGACGGCAGTTGAACGTTGACATGGCGCTCAAAGACATTACTGCTGCCCCTAATTTGAAAACTTTGGTCCAGCGGATTACTCCTCGCATGGCATCCGTCTCGGCTGCTCCACAGACTCAACCCCTTACGAAGGCCGCTGCTGAAAGTGGTTCGACGCCAATTTCTTCCAGTCATTCGCCCGAAAATGCGGTTTTACCACGACTCCCACTCTCTCCCTTACTTGGTCTTCAATCTGACGACGAGCGAGACAGCATAGAGGAGCAGCTCCAGGCTATCGGGATTGATTCATCTAATGTGGAGCTAGTGTTGCCTTGTGCACCCGTACAAGAGGGTGTACTTTTCGCTCAATTTAAGGGTCAGGCACGTCAATACTTTGACTATAGGCCTATGAAAATTAGAGTCCAAGATGACACCGGTCAGGTCGATGTTGACCAGGTCGAAACATAATTGGGGACACAGTGTATCCAAGGAAACCAAGTCATCATTGCTAAACACAACGAGAGAGTCTAGACAATTCCAGGTCTCGCCGATATGCACGCAGAGGTTGACTAAACGAGTATGATGAGAGATAACGTGGAGTGGAATAAAGCAGTTCAATATCTCCAGATCCACTAGTGTGTCAAAAAGCATCAAAAAATGTTCCAGGCTTTGGCACAGCTCTTCGTTTTGAAAGACACTCCCTGTAACCTTCAAGTGCTTTAGATTCAGACGCCCTGTCATGAGTTGAAGATTCTCAAGCGCAAACAGCCCGCCGACCTCGAGAGAAGAAAGACTTGATCAATTGAAATCAGCTTCCCAACCATGCCACATTTCGCTACCTAGATAGTATCCGTCAAGGGCTAGATGTTGAAGAAAAGGTAAAAGTTTAGGATTGCTGAATCCCTCAAAGTCGCTGGGTGCCTGATCACTTGCACCAGGGGTTTCCACTACCCAAGAACAAGACTTCAAGTTGGGGCAAGAAGTGATGAAATGTAGGAAATGGTGGGCATATCGTGGAGGAGCGTACTTGTTGACATATGAGTTTGTCCACCGGTCAACTTTGATCACAGTCACGCTTGGGAGTGGATGAGGAGGGAGATGATCACCGTCCTCTGCGAGTAGGTAAAGTTCCGGCTTTAGAGGATGCTCATCAATGCATGCCATAGAGTTGTCGTAACGAACTTTCAGCCTATTACACATACTAGTCACTTCAGGCCTATAATTTTATCGGTACGTAGATGTGAGCAGTTTCATACTTCACACAACGCAGATTCGGTAAGCACTCTATCAACTTAGCGATAGGCTGATTGTCTTGGAGTTTCTCCCATCCGTGCCCTTTATAGGGCACGATAGTGATATCTCGAACAAAAGACCGTGGTGAGTCACGAGACGTATCTAGCAGTCTACATAGAAGGCTATCGGGATGACCTTACACAAGATTACCCCACACCTCGATGTCGAGAGAACGATGTAGAAAAGAAGTTGCCAGCTCATTCATAGCTTTCGAGACGAGGCAAAGACTGGCCAAATCCTTTTGGTTTTGATCGGACTATGATTCGTTGAGTATTAAGTCCATAAGACTTAGATATCGGGATAAACGTACGCTTTCACACACTAGATACCATGCGTACCAGGTTGCGTCTGTGAATCCATGTTTTCCTTCTGAAGTAGGATCAGAAAATGTAGCCCTTTGCTTCTGGCCTTGAACTGGTGTCCCAGCTCCTGGCAAGCAGTCCATAATTCTCGAAAGGAAGTTCATGGTTGGAATTGGGAATGGAGTGTAGTTTGCCTGTAATTAAATCTAGAGGTGACCAAAGGCGATCATACCCAAAGAGGCTAAGGGTACGGCCTTAGCTCGTTCCGTCGAGTTTATCCGCTGAAGTCTTCAGGCACATTATTACTCCATAATGGGTCCACGGGTTATTCATCAACTGTTTAGACACGCAAATTAAGCTGCTGCCCGGGGTCGCTTTTGTCGTGCCCATCAAGAACTTGAGAGTATTGCAAGTCGATTTGAAGATTCTACTGGGATGGAATTACCTATTTATTTCGAAGTGGCATGTTGGTGTCTCATACATCCGATGTATCCAAGACGTAAAGAAGACCCGAGAGAATATAGGAAGCAAAAACAATAAAGGGGAATTAAGTTTCAATAAGTACATTTCATTTCCGGAACATGCTCAGGGTCTCTTCCTTGCGCCAGTCCAGATCCAATTGACCCTCATAGACTTCTTCCATAATCTGACGGGTTCGGTCATAAGTACTTTCATAGCGGTTCTCGCACTCCCGAAGCACCTTGACAACAAGGCTGCGGCTAAGACCAGGGTCATCGGCGTCACCAAAGTGTTTCTCGACGCGCTTCTTGAGCATTTCGATACCACGGCGGATTTCCTTATTATCATAGGAGGTGAGAACCTTCTTCGCCATCATGCGGGAGTGGCTGGCACGAGCTGCGATGTCGGTTGGGTTACTACCCGCCGCAAGGAGGCCGTCAATTGATTGCACGAAATCAATCAATTTGCCCAGTGGGCGGTGGATGACCGCGTCAAGGTAGAGCTTCATGTGCTCCTGGAAGTCTTGGTGGGCCCGATCGGTCCAGCGTTCAAGCGCGGGGATGTTGTGCACATCTACTTCCTCGATGTAGTGGTTCATGTTCTCAATGAGGAGGATGTGGTAGTTAAGAATCTCCTTGTCTTCCGGATCGCCCGCACCCGCAGTGACACCCGGAGGTTGGCCGGGTGCTTCCTTGGCAATGAACTTGAGTGACTCCCACATCGCACGGTTGATGCGGTCGTACGCGTCATTGACGCTAACGCGAATGTCACAGAAGGCGTTGGATGGGGAAGACAGCATGCTTTCCACTGCATTGGAGAAGTTGGGGAACACTCGCATGAAGGAAATTACTCCCTTCCGCTTGTTCACCTTGACTTTGGTGTCCTCGATGCCTCGGATTTGCTCATCCACAAATCGGTTGAAGAGCCCCATCAGGCGGGAATGGATCTTCTGTAGTGCATGAAGAATGAACTCTTGATTCGTGTCATCAAAGTCATTCATGGCAATCTCCAAGGCATAGAGAATACCGATTCCTTGAAGGGGATCGGCCTGCATCGCCCAGTCTACCATGCTTTGCATATCGTTCGGCCAGAATGAGTAAATTTCATCCATGATCTGCTCGACTCTCTTTGCCGTTCCCCGATCAGGGTCATGCGGCCGGTTGGCAGAGAAATCGGGACAAGATCGGTTTTCTGGAATGGTTGCAGCCACCAAGTCGGAAAAGTCGGCGCTGGCAAGAGAATCGAGATGGAAGAATTGGATAATGAAGTTCTGCTCTTGAGCCATCATGTTAAGTGTCTCCCGCAGAGTCCCAGCGAATACCTCAGATGGCTCAGCCCTTCCTTGCTTCTTCGCGTTGCCCGAAGCCAGTCGAAGCCCAGCGGCAGCCCGCACCGTCTTGCCTCGTCGCACTGTCAGTTTCCGTGCAGCCATGGTGAGACCCTCGGCCTCTTTCTCTTTCTCTTGATGTGTGAAGAGGAGTTCCTGCTCATCTCCCGTTGGTTTGCGCGCCGTCTTCTTCCAAGCCAGATTATTGTCGCGGAAGTCACCTTGGTACGAAGACTTGGACTGCTGCTCATAGAGACCGACAAGGCTATGCCACTCTGCCATGCTAACCTCCTTAGCAAACAGCATCAGGGCGTTATACCGCCAGACCTCTTGACGGAAGTGCCCTCGCGCGGCATTGTCCAATTTCATCGAATCCTTGCCACCATTCGCCAAATCAATCCGTTGTTGTTCTGCCATTTTGAAGGCAAGGGCGATGAACTGCTGCAGTCGGCTGAGGAACATGTTCGCAGTAGAGCGATACTCTTCCTTCTTTTGTTTGATCGCACGCATCTGGCCAATTTCTGTATCGGCATATACACCGACACTGGCATCAACCTGACGTTTCTTGTTTTGTCCAATGTCAGAATCAATCGTGACCATGGCCTTGTACAATGTCGCCAGAGCGCCTTCTGTATCTCTCAACCCATCGGGGTTGCTCAAAGAAGCCTCTTTGAGAGGTCCCAGCTCGGATGAAGATATTGAAAGTGTCTTCAAAAGGGTTTGGAGTTCGTTTTGCAGCAGCTTCTGATTTGCTGCTTGTACCTGCAGACCTTGACCTTGAGCCTCAATATAGGCGACATCCTCGTGAAGAGTCTATAATGTAATCTCGTTAGCACACTAGAAATTGATCCTGTTTCTGTAATCCCAAAACTTACGTTCAGTTCATGAGAGTAAAGGGTCAATAGACCATCCAGCTCATCACACTCTTCAATCGTTCTGTCGATCAAGCTTGCAAGTTGTTCTACCTTTCCTTCCTGCTGTTCAAGGTTGCCAAGCCAGCTGGTGGCCTCGACACGGCCAATTTCACGGCGAACATCTGCTTCCAAATCTTCAATCTTCTGTTCATCGGCCAACCGTCCGTTCCAGCCTAGATCAGTGAGAATGTCATCGAAATCAATTCCACGTCCGTCGAGAATGCTGGGATCGATTCCAAGGGCTTGGCAATATTTCATAGTGTGGTCTTCACGGCGTCTGCGACGACGTCCTTGAGCTGCCGGGGATGGCGATCTTGAACGATCTTCAACCTTTACGACAACATCAGAGAGATTCTCACGAGAGACCTCAGGAGTTTGGACAGGGACCGGCGCGATTTCCTGAGGAGCTGGCTCCGTGATCTCGACAGTTGGTGTCTCCGGCCCTGCAGCGGGCGCGGGGGGCTGTAGATCTTGTTCTGACCTCGCTGCCACTGGACTCTGTGGGGGATCAGTTGCTGACCGTGTAAGGGACGGCGCAGGAACAACGCTGGTGATGCCATCAGGGCCCGCGACATCGACTTGTGACTTCTTCGCGGCTGCCAGCAGTCGCTCACCAGCCCCACCAGCCCTGGGCTTGAAACCACCATAAGCATTTGCAGCCTTTCTCCAGGCGCCTGCAATATCTTTGCCTTCCTTTTTCTTAACCATAGGGCCGAGCCCCGGGCGTTCTGCCTCCTGCTCTGGGGAAGCTTGGGATGGAGATTCCGCAGCAGGAACAGTTTCAACGGGGGTCTTGGGCTTCTCGTTGGAAGGCGGAATAGGCTCTACTGGGGGCAGGTTCGCAGCAATCATAGCAGCAGGCTCTGCAGCCAGTCCCTCAATTGCCGGTGACGATGACGGTTCCCGCGGCTGTGCAGAAGATCCAGGTGACAAGCCATCTGATGCGCTTCTCTCCTGAGGTAGAGAGGGCTGATTAAATGTGAATGCCTTCTCGCCGCTACCACGTTGGGGAGACTTTGGCCCAATGCTAGGCGCGGGACGTGGGAATGTGTCCCCACTCTCGTTATTGAAAGAGCCAGCAGTGGTAGGACGAAGTGCATCATTGCTGCGCATGAATTCCGGTGCATTGCTCGAGACTGGTTGGGTAGCAAGAGGAGGGGGCTGGGGAACGCGATCTTGGCTGCGCGAAAATTCTGGCGCGTTGTTCGGGACTGGGTGGGTAGCAAGAGGTGGGGGTTTGGGACCACGATCCTGGCTGCGAGCCGAAGATGGGCGGAGTGACTCTGGAATATCGGAATAGCTGCTGGCTTGTGCCGCAACATTCAGATTATCTGTTCCCCTCGACTCTGATAGTGAGCTCGGGGGTTTTGCATTTGCTGCGTTACGTTCAGGTGCGCGTGGCGGCGGTTGCTGGTCTATAGGTGGCCCAGAAAGGAGCGACGGAGGAGGAGATTTATGTATGTCAAAGGGAGACGGTGCCGGTCTACCTTGTCCTGTAGATGGCCGAGAGCCGGTCGATGGCCGCGACATCTGCTCGCGGCTTGGCTGAGTGCGAAGGGTGGGGTCTTCGGAAGGCTTTCTTTTGACGTCCCGAGGACCATCGCGACTGGTATCACGACCTCTGTAGGACGGTTGTAGCGAAGGGGGCAACGGGCTGTCCGATGTTGAAGTCATTTGACCCGGTCCCCTTGGCGGTGGGCCAGTTGGAGGACCGCCTGGCTGTCCAGGCTGTGCTGGCTGTCCCCTTGGCGATGGACCCTTTGGAAGACCACCAGGTTGTCCTGGTTGTGTTGGCTGTCCCCTTGGCGGTGGGCCACTTGGAGGACCGCCTAGTTGTCCTGGTTGTGTTGGCTGTCCCCTTGGTGGTGGTCCATGTGAAGGACCGCCTGGCTGCGCTGGCTGTCCTGGTTGTGCCGATTGTCCATGTCTTGCCAGCATTTGTCGCTCATTGTCGTCAAACCCAATAAGATTGGGAATTTTTCCATTGGTGTATTTCCTGTAAATCTTGACCAGGCTCCCGATGAAGAACTCCTTTTCCTTGGAAGTCCTGGCATGCCAGTAGTATGGCTTTCCAATTGTGACTGTGAATCCTACATTGCCAGCCCATTCTTTTTGTTGCTGCTCTCCTGGTGTTTTCGGCACAAAAGAGCCAAATGATTGAATTGCGGTTAAATCGTCGAGCATCCAAGTTTTGCCGATAGAATAAGTCCCCTCATTGTTCTCTCGAGCTTTGTGTATGCGGACTCTGCCTGACTTTCGAACCGAGATGATAATGATACGGGGTTTCTTGTTCTCCGGTGGTCCTTTTGGCGGGGAAGGGCTAGAGGGGTGCGCTGAATCCTCGGTGATGCGGACGTGGGTGATATAAGATTCGAGTACTGGGAGCAACAAGCCGGGTTAGCAAAGATCGCGGGAAAAATGACATCTCGACGATGCAAACGTGTTGCGATCCCGTCTAAGCCCTGTACGTCACTTTCGCAATGTGTCGCTAAGCACACCACTATTGATTGAACTCGGGTGGGAGGGCAGGGCTGAGGAAGTACGTTGATTGTGTACGTACATAGACCGTCTTCGTCCTTTTTTGCGAAACAACTATGAATGATCCGCTTCTTCTCGTCCTCAAAGGCGGCCCCTCTTGTCATGGTGCTTGGGCTAGAGCCCGAATCAGACTGTAGATCTCCGCGATTTGGTAGCGGCCCTTGCGGAGGCCCGCGGGGACGGTCTCTGCCGTTCATGATGGTATCGAGGGATATAGAGCTCACGTGTGGGTAGCCGCGAGATCAAGGGGACATGGTCGGGAGGGTCGGGATCGGCGACGCCACTACGCACCACACGCCGGAGGAATTGAAATCCGTTAAGGGACAATGCTTTGGAGGAGTATGACGAGGTAAAAAGCAGTACACGTTATGGCCCAATGGAATGCAAGTGGCCAGCGCTGAAGTTCGAATTAGCTCATCGAGGTGTCTCGGGCGGCGGAAGGCGGAGAGCTTGGAGCGGAGTATCGAATTGATCCGGGGTTACCCAAACGCGGTAAACAAACGTGCGGAATGTTCGACATTAATTGAGAAGTTTTGCATGGCAGTGGCTCACTGGAGTCTTATTATCTTACTCGATTTTAGTTTTACCGACCTACTGAAGTGTACCATCGCAGTGCATGGCGACCATCCATGACTATGATCCTATTGGCTCAGGTGGGCAGGTGCTAGCATATAATTAGTCATCCATCCCATGCCTCCCGAGATCCAGGGGGGCACCCTGGAGGGCTCCAGGCACCAGTCCTGGGGCCTGGAGCCTTGAGGCTTTAGCTTCTATCACTTGTGGCGTACGGAGTACACACTGCAAATGTACCCCGTACCATATCTTCAATTCACTGCCTATGCACCGCGTTCGCCTTCTCTAGTCCATCATGTCCTCCATCATTCCAACTACGATCAATTTCATCACTGGAAATAAGAACAAGCTTGCTGAAACCAGAGCAATTTTGGGTGACGTGGTGCAGCTTTCAAATCAAAACATAGATATCCTTGAAATTCAGGGTTCTCTTGAAGAAATTGCGCGAGACAAGTGTCAAAAAGCAGCTATAGCAGTATGCCGCTCTGAAAATTTCCCTGCTACGGCACAAAAGCACAACCAGGCTAAGTGTAGATGCTTGCCTCTATAGGTCAATGGTCCTGTCTTGACAGAGGATAGTGCCCTTGAATTCAGGGCACTCAAAGGTCTACCTGGGCCGTATATGTATGTCTGATATCAATTGCTGTTGTTTATCTCCTCTAATATCCCCAAGAAAGTGGTTCTACTCTGCTCTAGGCGATGATGGCCTGTATAAACTGCTCGCAGCTTATGACGACAAAGCAGCTACGGCCGTCTGCACATTCGCCTTCTCCGCTGGTCCGGGATCTGAGCCTCTCCTTTTCCAGGCATATACGGAAGGCAAGATCGTTCAGAAAAGGGGGCAAAGTGGATTTGGTATGCTTTCCAATCGCCCAACGCAGTTTTTTTTTAGAGAAGCCAGCCCTGATATTTCTGCAGGTTTTGACCCCATATTTGAAGTTGACGGCCAAACCTATGCGGAAATGAGTCCTACGTACAAGGTGAGTTGATTTATATAAGCATCTTGTAAATCCCCTATCCACTAATTTGACAACAGAATACGGTTTCTGAGAGGTTCAAAGCTCTAGAGAAGTTGCAGAACTGGCTAAGGAATACAGTATGATTGGACTGTAGCTAGGCCGTCGTATAGATTTACTTTCTGGCTCTAGGGTACAATATGAATAGATAGTCAAGTTCGGAAATCAGTCAAGGTGGTCAGCTTTTGACTAGAGAAATCTTTTTGACTAGAGGTATCTGGTATATGATAGAGTAAAAAAGATGAACTAAAATCGAATGAAAAGGATACGTACATACCTCACTTACCCTATCGTGCCAGCTCAGGTGAACCCAGGATGATGCATACTATCCATGTACTAGCCTGTTTGAGGGTAAACTGCTGTTAATACCAATACTAATGATCAATATTCATAATTACTAGTATGGAGCCCCTAGCCTTAGCTGTCTTAAATTAGTTGTATGAATTTGAACAGATAGCATATATATTACTGATGGCCTTGTGCATTCTAATATTAGCGTGCGTTCTCAGCATGGCAGGGTAAGGTGGGCTGAGAAAGCGGTACAACAACGTGGACCAGAAACTAGGACGGTGAAAGGATTGACCAACCAGAGCACTGGAAACGGATAATGCCGGAATAACCATGCGCCAACCACCGCCTCTCTCCGCTAATCAACGCTCATCAGCCTCTGCCAATAGCCGTGAAGCTGACAGCTTACCGCCTTCTATATACTTTTTTTTTTCGTTCCCTTTTTTTGGTTCCTGGCAGATTATTTCTAAATAGTCTCTCCTTGCCCCGGGTTCTCTTTCTTTCGCTATCGAAACGAACTCTCAGTCACTATGGCAAAGGTTTCCAGCAAGAAGACTTCGGTCAAGAAGGTACGCTTCATTTACTTTCAACTTGACATGTCCATTGGCATGATCGACATACAACTAGAGTGAATCGGACTAACAGTGCTTTGATTTCAGACCGAGTCTCCCAAGACCAAGTCAATCCCTCCTCAGCTGATCGCCTCGGTCGCGGCTTTCTTGTCGGACAATTTCCCGGAGACCAGCACCGCATTCACCAAGGAAGCGGCAAAGTCGATCAAGAAGAGTGATGCGAAAAATGTTCCCTCTCTCTTGGAACTCTTCCAGGCCTCGGAGAAGAGCGCTAGCGTGAAGAAGTCTGCTAGCCCCAGCTCAAGCAGCAGCTCCGATAGCGACTCCGATGTTGAGATGGGCGAGGCCACTCGTTCGTCCTCTTCGTCTTCGTCTTCTTCCAGCTCTGACAGCGATGCTGATGATGAGGATGATGATGAGTCTCCTGCGGCTCCCGCTGCCGCCCCTGCTCCAGTTCAGAAGTCTGCTGGTGTGAAGCGCAAGGCTGAGTCTAGCAGCGAGTCTAGCAGCTCTTCCGACTCTGACTCGTCCTCTTCGTCCGAAGATGACAGCCCTAAGGCCAAGAAGGCCAAGACTGCTCCTACCCCCAAGGAGGCTTCCTCTTCGTCTTCCTCTTCGTCTTCCTCTTCGTCCTCCGACTCTTCGTCCTCTTCTTCGGATTCTTCCAGCTCTGACTCCGATTCCTCGTCGAGCTCTTCCTCGTCCGATTCATCCTCTGATTCGTCGTCCGATTCTTCTTCCGAGTCCTCTTCCGACTCTTCCTCATCCTCCGACTCTTCTTCCGAGTCCGAGTCCGAGTCCGAGTCCGAGAAGGAATCCAAGAAGGCTCTGAAGAAGGCAAAGAAGACTCCTCTCCCTGAGTCTGACTCTTCTTCCGAATCGGAGTCTTCATCATCCGACAGCAACACCCTCGCGGCTTCTCCCGAGACCGAGACCAAGCCCGCTAAGAAGGCCGTCGAGGCCGTCGAGGCTGTCCAGACCACCTCCTCCAGCGCCAGCCCTGCTCCTGGCAACGGACCCGTCAAGAAGAAGCACACCGGAGCTCGCCCCACTCCTCTGGCTCTCCTGAGCGAGCTGCCTCATGACCACCCCTCCAACGACTACATGTCGTACGCCTACGCAGACCGCGCCTGGAAGGACCTGTCTGTGACTCGCGGCAAGGGATTCACCAAGGAAAAGAACAAGAAGAAGCGTGGCTCCTACCGTGGCGGTCCCATCGATATTGCCCCCGGCACGACCTCTTTCAAGTTCGAGGACTAAATGACGACGACTCTTTGCTTTTGCGACACCAACGTACTTGCTAGTCCATAATATTAGGCTATCGTCAGCATCTAATCAGAACATTTGCCACCAAACCCACAAAGCACCCCCGAGACCGGGCTTTTGTCTTGGATGTCGCTTTGCCGGAGGGATAATCGCTATCTTTTTGTCGCTGCAATCTTTGCAGTACAACTCAGGTTCGCTGCAATGGATGAATATGGACATAGGGGGGCTCTCATATCCCGCATCATACTTTACCAATTTCACTCAGCACGGCGTACACGGAGCTATGGACAAGGTCTTTTGACCCAACATTTGCCATAGAATTTTTTTGCTCATTAGCTTACATCAATCAAAAGTTTGGGATCCGTTCTCGACGGGTTCTCGAAGTATTTGCAATCTTCCGTGAAGTAGGAAACAGGTCAAAGACGTAACCTACCAATGCAAACTCCTTCTAGCCTGACTAATCTCTTTCAAAAACAGTGTATTGTGTAATGTACAAAGAAGAAAATCACCAATCCATAACTTACTGATCCCGTCTCCTCCAGGCCCCAGGCTCCTCCAAAGTCTCCCACCTACAATCCCAACCCGTATGTGTTTCACTAGCGACATGCTCAGGCTCAAGATCCTCAAACGCGAGCTGATTCCTCAGCTTACAAGTAGTAGCAGAGTCATCTTCATCCGGGCGCTCATATCCAGCCAAATTGAACGCTTCGGCGTTCCAGCGCGGTAAGGTATCTGAACCTGTCTTCACGCCCAGGTCCAGATTGGACTCGTACCACTCTTTCTGCGGACCGATTAGGTCATCCGTGGATGCAAAGTCGAGTTGGGCCACCCCATCCACGACGCCGGTGTAGACGGTTGGCGAGGAGGGCGAGGGCGAGGACATTGTATAGATGGGACCTCGGTAGGGACCTCTTTGGCGGCTGCGGGCTGGGGGTTGGGGTTGTTGAGGGAATGTAGCGGGTGGGTGGTAGGAGAGGAATATCGAGAAGCCCTTTTTAGGACTGGATTGTGTTTTTGTTCCGGGCGTGCTGTCGCCTTTGGTATTTGTTTTCGTTTGTGTGCTCTGTAATTGCGAGGTGGGTACTTGTGCATCGAGGTAGCTGTATGTGTTGTACATGCGCAGGTCGAAGATCTTGACTAAGCCTTCGCCGCCGGCTCCGGCTAGGAAGCGCTCATGTCCGAAAGCGTGGAGGCTGTAGATTGGACTAAGGTCTGTGAGGTCTTTGTAGGAGACTTCATAGGGCTGTGGGGAGCGCAGGTCGTGGAGTCTGACGGTGTGGTCGTCCCAGGCTGCTAGGAAGACTTCGCCGGGGGAGCCTGTGAGGTTGTGGTTATTCAGAGGTTCAACGGCACTGATATTGGCTTTTAATTGGAGGCCTGTAGAGTCGGTGTCTAGAGAGCCGATTCCGATTTTTCGATATGCGGAGACGCCGTCTGGTGTGATTTTCGAGATAGACAAGGAGTTTTCCACATTTCCAGTTCCCACTGCTACTAGTGATGAGGATAGCAGTTTGGAGTAATTGGTTCGTGAGGAGCCTTCTGGTAGAAGCCATGTGAATGGCTCGATTTGTTCTTTGTCGGTATCGGTATGGTAGAAAGCGATAGATCCATTTTCAAAATGAGCAGCCAAAGTGGAGTCCGTATCACTGATCAAATCTGTTTTATCGAGTCTGAGTCCATGTGCCATGAATTTCTGCTTGTACTCAAATGTTCCCTCATTGGGAGAGATAGCAAGGTGAGCAATGTCACCTCGAACCCGGCCAAAGATCAAATGCTCCACGTCGGTATCGTTGCTGTATTGATTCCCCGAGGACAAAAGATGCAGAGAACAAATGTCATCATAGCTGCTAATATGATCGACATCATTGAACACAAGCCAGCTTTCTTGCGAGCGAGCACCGGTTTGCTTGATCCTCATCACAAGCTGGTTGGCAGCACCCCAGGCAAGAACCTCTTTCCGATCAGCCCAACGTTGGCCATTCCAGATCTCATAAGAATCAATTGAAGGTCTGTACCCAAGGGTCGGATTGTCTTGGCGAGTCACTTCGTGTGAACCGATCTTGGTCGCAGTTTCAGGTGGCACAAGAAATCGACCGATGATGGCTTTTCTATCCAAGGCCCGGGATCTGGAAGTCAAAGCTTGTGCTGCATCTTTCCAGAATGGGGGTGTTTCGATAGATGGGAATCTGCTTCGCACAAAAGCTCGGAAGATCCGAGAATTTTCAGCGGTGATAATGCCGTACAGTCGGTGACATGTCTGCGACAAATGGGCTAATGCATTGGCAGTCGGGAGATACGTCGCAATTTGATAGATGATCTCCGATGGGAGCTCAGAGAGCATCTTGAAAGTGAAAGCCTGATTAACAGGGATGTGAAAGAACAATTGAGGCTTTCAGACTATCGCCATCGTTCTTTGTTGGGTTCCGCCCCTTTGTGTTTTGGTGTTCATTGAGTGTGCTGGAAAGGGAAATTCTGCAGAAAGAGCCCCATTGGTTCAAAAAGTAGAGCTGTACTCTACTCCACAATTGTCGATCGCGCGATATTCAGATATTCATACAATATGCTGTAGCAATTTCATACACAAATTGCCCCAAGTGGGCACCAGTTGCCTTATGACGTAAGCATGTGAGCTCGCTTGGGCAGCTCTAGAGGCTGGCCTCTTTTTTTTGCAAATAAAAGCAATTAACCAAGCCCTTGAGGGTTGAATTGGAGCATAAAGACTATGACAGAGTCCATAATAGCTTTCAATCCCACAGAACATGGATCTGAAGACTTAGATGGCAGCAGACAGTCCATTATGGACGCTTATCGCCCTATCACCTTATCACCTTATCGCTTTCGCGGGGAAGCGGTAATGTCGGTGTCGTAGGTCCCCGGAGGTTCGACAAGACAGTTTCCCTATCAAATTTACTTAGTGCATGTACCTATTCAGGCCCCCTCGCATTGACTATTTAGGCAAGAGCTTCCGAATTCCATTACCTAACTGTTCGCCGTCGGCAAACGCAAGACGAATCAGAGTGAGTGGAAATCGAACGGTATGGAGTCTATAGGTTAATCTTGCAATTAGGGACCACACTCGGCACCACCTGTAATACACGGATGGACGCTGGCTGGTCTAGCAGTTAGTGGCATAGCGGCGTCGGCAATCTCCATTGTGTTCGGCCCCGACGCCCGGAGGGGTTCCCAAGCCGCTTTTCTTATACCTGCTCTTGGGGGATAGATTCCCTTTCGATTCAGCATTCACAATGGCTTTTTCGATCACTACTTCGGCGATAGGATTTATTGCTGGTGTCATCCTCTACAAAGTGTTAATTTACCCGGTATTTGTTTCCCCGCTATCGAAGATCCCCAACGTGCACTGGAGTGCTTCCTTCTCGCCGGTATGGATGCTATGGAGGCGATTCACAAGCCGAAACAACCGGACAATTCAGGCCGCACACGAGAAACTGGGTCCTATCGTTAGGCTAGGACCATCAGAGATCTCAATCAACTGTGTTGAGGGAGGGATCAAGTCAGTTTATGCTGGCGGATTTGAGAAGCATAACTGGTATCCACGGGTCTTCGCGTCATTTGGGTTAGTATAGACGCTGATCCACAGTAAGCAAAGTAGCTCACCATGATAAACAGAACAGTGAGCATGTTCACCATGACAGGAAGCAAAGCACATTCAACTCGAAAAAGGATGTTGTCCAACATATACTCCAAATCAACTCTGCAAGCATCTCCTCATATGCGGATAGTTTCAGATACAGTTATCTTCGATAGACTGCTGCCGATTCTTCAAGAAGCGACAATGTCTGGCAAATCCGTTGATGTGCATGATCTAAACCAGGGATTGACAATGGACTTCGTCTCCTCCTATCTATTCGGGTTGAAGAATGGCACTAATTACCTGCAAGATGATTCGGTCCGTGAGCATTGGCTCCACCTTTACATGTGCCGAAAACCATTCGAGTTTTATGCCCAGGAGGTCCCATATTTGGATGGATGGCTGAGACGGATTGGTCTTCGCGTGATACCCAAATACTGCGATGAAGCCAATGCAATGCTTGATTCCTGGGCTCTGGACCTATGCGATAGGGCGGAGCAGATAATTTCAGCGACAGAGCCAGGCATCGAACCAACTGTCTACAAGCAATTGAAGCAATCCTTGGACAAGCATTCCACAAAGAACGGAGAAGCAGAGCCAGACAAGGCCCAGGAGCGACTCGATATAGCTTGTGAGATGTACGATCAGCTGACTGCCGGCTTTGAAACAAGTGCTGTTGGTCTCACATATCTATTCTGGCAACTCTCCCGGCACCCAGAAGTGCAGAACAAGCTCCGAGAGGAGCTAGTCACTCTGAGTCCCCCAATTTCGTACCCAAAGACAGCCGATCTGCCGCCAGCCAAGTCAATTGATAACCTTCCCCTGTTGGAAGCGATCGTGACCGAGACACTGAGACTTCATGCTCCGATCCCTGGTATTCAGCCTCGGGTAACGCCATATCCGTCGTGCACTCTGGCCGGGTATGCAGATATCCCACCTAACACCCGCGTGAACGCACAAGCATATTCACTACACCGCAACCCAGATGTATTCCCAGATCCAGAAATCTGGCAGCCGAAGCGTTGGCTCGAAGCTGAAAACTCGGCGGCTGATCTGGAAGAGAAACGCCGGTGGTTCTGGGCGTTTGGGAGTGGGGGCCGTATGTGTGTGGGAAGCAATCTTGCACTGCAAGGTATGGCTCGAACAATCCCAACCATTGAATTATGCTAATTACTGCTTAACAGAAATGAAACTGGCCGTGGCTGCGATTTACACCAACTTCCGCACCACCATTGTCAACGATGACGACATTGAAGCTATCGATGCTTACACTATCAAACCGACAGGCGATAAACTGATCCTCAAATTCGAGTCTGTCTGAGACGTCTTGGGAGGGGATATTGCACGCGCAGCTATTGCTACAAGTAGTATGAACTCGGAGTACAATTAATTTGATCAGCCAACATTGCTATAAGAACAAGTGGAAAACACAATGAAGAATAACGTTAAGTCGGCTTTCCTTTTCTTGCCCATGGTGAAAATCAGGGTGCGCCGAGAGGGAGATTACTTGTGTGCTAAAAAGGCTCTCTACCAAGATTTAAGAACGTTGGAGCTACCGGGGCCTAGAAACAAGTCAATAATAGAATATCATGGAGGAATTCACTTTCAAGTGCGAAGAGAAGGATTCGATTGTAAAAGCAAAGAACAGGGGGAGATTACACAATAAGCTGATAGTCCATGGGTACTGTATACAGGAGACCTGAGACGCATTGAGTGAGGAGAAGGACGAGCGTCACCAAGGGAGTGGACTGAATTTAGGGGCAACAAACCATGGAAAAGAGGTCGAAAGGAAGACGGCCAAATTTAGCTTCTTTGGCGAGTATCACCGACATGATTGGATATCAGTGTGTAGATGGACTCATACTAGCACGAAGCGAGGATGATAAAAAAGAGAATCGAAAGCTGCGAGCGGGGGATTTTATTAGGGAAGTTTCGACATCAGCCTTTGAAGAGAGCTTTGGAGATACATCACCTCAGAGCCCACGTTAAAGTATACATTGTACATGCGCAGCCATTACTACAAGCAGTATGAAATAAGAGTATAATCAATTGTTGTGACAGGTGATTCCATATCCCACATAGTTGTATATTGTACATATGAGTAAAGCCAACTCCCATAGCCTCTGATGCAAAAAAACCAGACCGAATCAGCAGATCTGATAAGGGCCAGAGTATTCGCATAATAATGTATCAAAAAGAAACCCAAAACTCCAGGTAGAAAACTCGCTTTGCTACCAAGTCCGGATAGATAATCGCGAACAATCCAGTCGTACAAAGAACATTTTAACCGAGAACACCATCCTTCTTCCGGGGACCAACGACCTTGGGGTACATTCTCATGAGATGGTAGTTGACGGTGTTCTTCTTCTGTTCCCGGGATTTCTGTATGCGGGGACAACTCGTTAGAAGCATGTTGACAATGATTGACAAGAACAACGGTGGATTATAACGTACCGGTGCATCCATGCACTTGCGCAATTGAGCCTCGAGAGCAGAGCAGCCCTCTGCGCCGTATCCAGCGGAAGCCCAGCAGTCTGTTTGCAACGCAATATTGTCAGTAACCCACTCACGATTTCGAGATTCAAGGTATTCGACATCTGGAATGCGAAGCCATCGGCAACGAGAGATTGACAGCGTCCATGTCGCGACGGAAAAGGGGCAAACATACTAAGCATAGACGACATCACGACCACGCAGGGGTTCTGCTCATTTTGATTCGGCCGGCGAACACGGAGGTGGTTGATGGTGTTGAGACGCATCGGGTTGAGCCGGGTGGAGAGGGAGCCTTTGGGTGCCATGGTGGGCAATTATTAGGTTGGTGAAACTGGCAACAGAGGTATAAATTGGAACGAGAAGAGGCGTTATGCCTTGAAGCGACCGTGTGCGGGATTAACGATGGGATACTGGCGCCGGCGACGGATCTTCGACAAACAAAATCCGAAGTTTCGGCCACTCCGCGGAGGTGGATGACTAATCTTGATCAGCCCCGAGCTCTTTACCTCGAGTGCTTGCCACCCTATTGACAAGCCCTGTACACTCTTTTTGATGTCGCAAGTTTGTTAAATCTAACAAATATTTACTCAGTATGTCTGGAAGATACGGTCTGTCAACACAGCTCCGTGTCGTTTCTTCAACATGCACCTTTAGAGCTCCAATAGCTCTCACGTCTAGGCGGTTCTCCGCATCATGCCACCTGTATCAAATATCGCCCCCTACATCCAAGACAGAGGATAAAGATGGCAAAGATGGCCCAAAAGAGGAGAAAAATGATAGTCCGATGGGACGCCGTCTGGCTCAGATGACCGAAGATGCGCTACTAGAAGGCGGACGATCTGCGCAGCGCAATTTCGAGCAGGCCGGGTTCTCAGAAGAACTGAAAAACGAGCTCGCAGAACGCATTGCTGCTTCTTCATTTAGGAGCCAGCATGCTGCTGCTCATTCCATAGTCGAAATGCCCGTATGTGATCTTTATCATATCCTACTGTCCAACAAACACTGATCCATATTCCCTCATCGTAGTCTGCCGCAGGACAGGGCACACGAGAGCAAGCCGCCGCTCCAGCATGGACAGGAATAGAGCGCATGGAGGACACAACTCTGCGCATGCTAGATGACGCGAGCAAACCAATCCGAATGCCCTACAAAATCCCCAATCCCGTGAACCTCAAACCCGCCCCGAGGCCCAAAAGGTCTCCCGGAGAGCGACTTGCTGAAGCAAAAGAACGCACTTCTACCTACACACAGAGTCAGGCCCCTGGATTTTCCGAAGAAGAGCGCGAGGATATGCGCCGTCAGATGAGGGAGAACCTGACACCTGGGGCTCATGCCATGCCAATCTCGATTACGGGTCTTTCGTCGCTGGCGGATGAGCGAATCGCGGATGCAATTGCGCGTGGACAATTTAAGAAGATCCGTCGTGGGAAAGGCGTAAATACAAAGCCGGATCCTAATGCGAGCAGCGCATTCATCGATACAACCGAATATTTTATGAATAAGATCATCCAACAGCAGGAAATTGTGCCGCCATGGATCGAGAAGCAACAGCAGCTTGGTTTGGAACTCAATCGATTCCGCGAACGCCTTCGAGCGGACTGGCGGAGACATGCTGCGATGTTGATTGCGAGCAAGGGTGGGTCCTTGGACGTACAAATGAAGCGGGCAAAAGCCTATGCTGCAGCCGAGGCTCGGTTGGCAGACAAAGCAAAGTTGGAGGCTTCGTTTGACGACGATACATCCATCTCGGAGATCAATACTGATGGCCGGATAGTCTCCAAGTCGGAGACATCCCAAGGATCACCTGCGATCAAGAATGACAGCGAGGAAACCTCGGAAGATGCAGCCCATCTTCCACCATTGCGAGACCCCGGGTATCTCGCAATCGAGCGTTCTTATCACGAACTCGCCGTGAAACAAATCAACTCTCTCGCACGCACATACAACCTCCAAGCCCCCGCCTCCGCCCACAAACCATATATAAATCTTGATCGCGAGCTCAAAGCGTGCTATGCCGCGGTAGCGCCCGAGCTACCAGAGGAAATTAAGCGTCGAGCGACAGAGCGTGCGCGTCCATCATCAATAGTTCCGCCGGTTCCTTCCAACAAGTATGGGTCACTGGGCATGGCCCAGACTGTACAGGTTCACGAAGAGGATCAGGCGAAGGGATACGGTATGAAAGAGCTGTGGCGCGATTTATTCATTAAATCCTGAAGACACCAAACGAAAAAAACAGACAATTTTCCCCTTTCCTTTTGTTCATCCTGTGTATGGCCATATCGGATATAATAATACAACAACAATGTGACATAAGACATGACGAGCAAGACCACTCGAAACAAAACAGACAAAGACGATCTTTTCATCACCGCCTCCCGGTCATTCAACTTCCTCCCGCACGACAGTGGCAGTTGCCCTCACAAATTGCGTGGGAGTCTTCAGCTCTCTCACGAAGGGTCGCTCTTCGCAGGACGTGGCTTTTTCGTCCACCACAGCATGAATAAGGGGAGGAAGACGAGGCCTGAAACTATAACAGTAATACCGCCCCCAAGCCCATTTAACAAAATGAATGTGGTAGCATCTATTGTCCTTGTGCCAGCAGCGAGAGCAGGCACGCCCAGCACCATGCAGAGAACAGAGAGAGCAAACACCATGAATGATTCGACGAGGCCAATCCAAAGATTATGCTTTGCCATACGCCTGATCGCGGCCGGATCCGGGTAGAGATGTGATTCCTCCCGTAGCCATTGCCAGTTCAAGAAAGTACCGATGAGCCTGGACATAAAAGAGATATACATGCCGCCAGCGAGGAAAATGAACAAAGCCCCGATGAAATACGCCGTAGTTGACGAGATGCTCGTGTAAATGCCTAGGTATCCATGCTTTGGTAGCCAGTCCTGACAAACACCACAAGTTCCATTCTTGGGAAGTTCGGCAGTCATATTGCTCGCTTCGTCTCGCTTGTGCAAGGGGATGATGAAATGATGCCAGGGGATCTTGGGGAAGTCTCCCGCAGGCCAGCCGGCTTGCTCGAGGTCGGAATCGCCAAAGGGTAGACGTGAGATGACTTCAACGTCGCCCACCCAGATCTCGTTGACGGCGTTGCCTTGGTCGTAGAAATGCTCTGACTTGACGCCGTTCACAGCGGAGACTTTGTTGCCCATTAGGGCCTTGAAGAGAAGTTGATGGATGTGGATGTAATATAACAGATGGTGGATGCTTGATAAAACAATGCTGTGGTATAAAGTTGAAGGTAATGGATGGCGAAGAGGAGTTCAGTTCACTGGACATCTTGCCTGGTTGGCCAGGCAGGCGATGGAATCTCATTTGGAAGGTGCAATAGAGGGAAAGTGCTTTGGGATATTTCTTTTGAGAGACGATCTCGGTGATTTACATCTATTCTCTAGGGCCTTTTAAAAAAAAGTAGACCAGGAAATGTTCTCGTTTTGGAAAATATATACTCTTTTGCTTTGGGATGAGTGGATGAGATATACTATTTCGACCAAATGCTTAACCAAATTGTATTATACCATTATTCTATACTATACTATTGTCCCGTAAAAATTCTCAAGCTTTCTCTTAGGGATGCTCATCATTGGGATACGAATTGGTTTTTACTATCCACGTATACTTCGGTGGTATGCTCTTTGAGGAATACTCTGAAGATTCTAGTATATCCAAATGATGTACTTTATTTTAGACCAAAGTACATCTGAGAATATTCCAACGTCCCTTAATCAGTTAAAATTCTAAAATAAGTGACATTTGGGGAGTTAGGGTTCTTCCTTGTGAGTGGTCGCCGCCAAGTGACGATCGTGCATGAAGGCGCGTATTTGTGACCAACGACAGGCTAAGAAGCAAAATGCCTTGACCTTGCACTAACTTCTCTTCACTTCATCACATCCTATGGCCGCTTCTTATACCCCCTCCCCCTGCCGCCCCCATCACCTTTGGAACATGTATCACCCCAAATCCTGTGAGATTTGACGTTTCGCAATGTCGATCAGTGACTACACCTACTTTTAAAAATCCCTTCCCTCTCCCACTGTTTATAATGCAGGCACCGGAAATGAATATCCCGGTCTTCTTTTTGCCTGTCCTATTTACTCTGATTTTACAGAGTGTCCCGGTTCAGGCACAGGACATCCATCAATCTAAATCGGCTGCACCCCCAACAGTGAACAAACCATTGCTAGCAATTCAAGTTGGAAGCATTGTGGGTGCATATGTTATCTTCGTCGCTATCCTCCTAGCTCTACTTATCTTCGTTGGACGTCGCCTGCGTCGGACAGTTCAGTCGTCCAACTATACACTGCATATGGAAATTCTGAAGCCTGCCAGACCTACCGTCAGCATGGATCCTAGCCCAGTCTCTCCAATGTCACACAACCTCCCCAGTCCAAAGTCAGGTGGATTCAAGTCCTGGGGATCACTAAACAGGGGTACCAGGCCCTCCCAACCATCCATGAACGGCAGTATGGTGACCATCGACGAGTCCATTGTCGCGACCGACCGACAACGAGCCCAGAATGATATGGAGATGTTGTATGCGGCGGTCATGGAACATGATGCCCAAAAGGCTTCCGGAGTCGATCTGTCCGTCCGCGAACAAGACCTCCAAGCACAATCACCCGACAGCCAACTCACAAATCCATTCACTGACCGTGGCTCCCACGTGTCGGATAATTCATTGGCACCACTAGCTCCATTGAAGTCACCGACCAAGGGATTCAACAGCTCCCGCCTATCCAAGCTCTTCAACACAGGCTCCCGCGCCAATCCAGAACCAAGCAAAGTGCGCTCGCCACGTCTGGATATTCGCAAGATGCCCATCTCCTCCCCACTAGCCTCACCAGCAGTGGTCACGCCTCGAGCCTATATACCCGAAGACCCGCCTCTTTCCCCACGGATTTATAACCCCGGTCCTCCCCCAGTCGTGCCAGGGCGGCGGACAAGCGAGTCACTCAGGCCCCCTCCTGGGCGCGCCCGTGCACCGGCGCCTCTTAGCCTGTCTACGCCCTCTCCTTCTTTATCCGTCCCATCCAACCTACCATTCCGTGAGGCCTACCCGCCACAAAGTGCCCCGGCTACCAAGACTACTATATTGGAACGACCGGTGAAGAACCGGATGGGTCCTGTCACGGGCATGGCTACGCCGTACAGTCCATACATGCCATTTACTCCCGTGACGCCCTTTACCCCCGGGCGCACAGTGACAAAGCGACAGCGGAAACGGGAGGAGCGTGGAAATGGATTGCAAGTATTGAACGAAGATGATTTGGTCAAGGATGATGATGATATCTGGGGATAATCCGGGGAAACGGGTCCAATTGGGAAATAAGGCGTTCAAGTGCAAATCGGTTCTGTCCGTATATCTACAAGGAAATGTTCACACATACATACACTGGTTGTATAGTTTCTATTTGATATCCCCATTCTCTATGTCTACATCTACATCTTCTCCTTCAAATGCGTATTCCCCCTAACAATCGCCTCTGCAAAATCCGACCTCGTCCCGGCCTTCTCAAGACTCAAGAGTGTCTGAATAGTACACCCCCTTGGCGAAGAAATACTCTCCCTAACAACAGCCGGATGTTGACCAGACTCTAAAACAGCCGATAAACCCCGAATCCCCTGTAAAACCAACTCCATCGCATCAGCCCGCTTAAATCCCTCCGCAACACACCCATCCAACAGCCCCTCAATCGGCAACGTCAATGTCGCCATCGTCGCGCCAACAAGAACAGTCGCTAACCCAATCTGCTCGGGTCCTAGATACTTGACCGCACCGACATGCTTGAAAATCCACTCCGTGGCCGCAACCATAGATTGCGGGATCCTCGGTGCGGGAGTCTCGATAATCGTCATCGACTGTCCAAACTGCGCGCCCATGTTCGGGATAGCTTTCATGAGATGCGGTGAAGTTGCGGCGTCGGGGTCTGGGTTGATGAGGTGGGTTAGGGTTGGACATGTTGGTCCTGCTAGCATGCTGATGACGAGTTTGCCGGCTAGGGCGTCGCGGACCCCTTTTTCGCCCAGAACAGCTTCTGCCATGAAGGGCTTGCAACCGAGGATTATTATATCGGCTTCTTGCATTGTTTGGACGTTTTGGTCGGAGACGATTTTGATTAGATCTTGGTGTTCTGGTGCGATTGATGCTTGTAGACGGGATGCTGAGGTGGCGGTTTTTGTGCACGCGATGAAACGGCTGATTGGATTTCGTGAGGTTTCGGTGCTTTTGCTTGAGAAGGCGCTGTTTAGGAGGCCGTTTAGGACGGCGCCTCCCATGTTACCTTGGGTTTGTTAGTAATGGTTTAGTATGGATGGATATGTTTACTTACCGCATCCGATGAATCCGAGGGTCTGTCCTGAAGCCATGATGATATTCTAGATATTGAGAGATTTGAAGGGTCAATTGTATTCCAAGTTGAGGGGTTTGCTATCGATTTGACTCATATGAATCTCGGGTGAGGTGTCCGACATTGGCATTCGGCAGCCGATGCCGAGATTTGTTTTATAATATTCTGTCAGAACTGGGAGCATGGTGTTTCAAGATCTATATATTTCCTAGAGCTGTATTTGAGATGATATGCCAATTGTTAACGCCCTTTGATGATCGTGGTGTTAGTAATTTCGCCTTGGACCGGATGTCATGTCTTCGTACGTCCCAAAATCCAGGGACACGGGAGAAGTGAGTAAATTGTAAACGGACCAAGACAATCTTGGCCAAGACAGATCTCTTAGATATGTCTCATGCAAAGAGGATCAAGCTTCCAAACGAATACGGAACGGGTTATATCTGATTGTTGCCTCAGGCATAATACAGGTATCTCAGGCACCAATCCGCCTTAGTGGCGTATACAAATTTCCGCATTGGGTTTGGCTTTGCATCCTGAATGCAGCAGGCATTCTTATCTTTGATCTTCTACACTTTCTTTTTTCTCCTTTGACTGCGTAGACCTTCTATCTTTCTATACCCGTCAAGATCTGAGTCTGTGACTTGAATTGCTGAATTACAGCTGTTTTTACCATTGCTGATCCCCCCCCCCTCTTCCCCCACCTCTCAAAAACAGTTGTCGTCATCCTCGGAGAAGACGACTTGGCTCTGTCCGACGCCGAGTGATTTCGCCCGACTCCCCCATTTTTTACTCCATTAGGTCCATTAGGACTTGGCGGCAGATAACTTTTGTGTATAATAATAGGCTGTAAGTTGTTTCACTCTTATCTTGGCAGAGGCGTAGACTTCTTGGCTAACTAGACCTTCTTCGCATATCTCAGACTTTCTCTCTACTTTACACCTCTCTCGTTTTTGTGTTTTCAGTACCGCCCTCATGCCGCTCACCATCCTCTCCCGATCTCAGCTCCGCGAGCTACTGCATGCGCTCTCTCGCGATGAGATTCAGAATCTGCAGCGCAACCTCGCCGAAGCTCTACGAGAATACTCCAGTGGATCTCAGGAGAAAGGTTGCTCAGCAGCTTACCAACCCCAACGAACTGCCATTACTCGTCAGAATGGCTGCACCACCCTCTTCATGCCCGCCAGCACGGGCCAAACAATTGGCATCAAAATGATTTCCCTGCAGGACGGGGGCGATGCCGGCTGTGCTATTGAACGGGACAACCTGGATACCCAGGAGAAGGAACAGATTGCCTCACGCAGGGGAGGCTCTTTCCGAAACTCAGTGGCTTCCCTATCCTCCGAGTTGAGTGATTTGTCCGTTGGATCCCAAGAAGATAAGGAGGACAAGGAGGACAAGGAGGACAGTAACTCGCTCAGCCCTGTCACCACCACCAATGAGAGCAGTACAACAGGATCAAGCACGGGGAGCTCCACACTTCTCACTGGTTGTGTCAATCAACAAAATGTTACCTCCAACATTTCTAAAACTCTTGGCGCTTGGCCGGGCGCAGGAACTCGTGACACATCGCCCCGCGGCAGTGTGACACTGCTAGATGGCGAAAGTCTGCCATTCGCGTTGATCAACGCCCACGAGCTGACGGCATTCCGCACGGCCCTGGCATCGCTGATGATGTTCAACAGGCGCAAGAAGGTACGCACTCTCCTCGTATTCGGAGCGGGCACCCAGGCCTACTGGCACATCCGCTTAGCGTTGGTTCTCCGCGGTGAGGACATCCGCCGGGTATATATTGTGAACCGTTCTTTCGATCGCGCAGCCAAACTTCTGCAAGAAATCTATCAGCCCGAAAATGCCGACTGGCGCGGGGATGTCAAGTTCTCCGCTATCAGCACCGATTTCGGCGAGTATGGTCGCATTCTGAAAAGCACTGTGCGCAAGGCCGACGCGATCTTCTGCTGTACTCCTTCTCCAGAGCCACTTTTCCCTGCCGAGTACCTCACCTCCGGCGAAGGCCGTCAAAAGGGTCGGTTGATTTGTGCGATCGGATCATACAAGGCACACATGGCCGAGATCCACCCGGATATTCTTCGAGATGAGGTCAATGTTCAGCCTGCGCATCGTCACTGGCACAAGCATATCCACCGTAGTGGTGTGATTGTAGTGGATAGCCTAGATGCGGCCATGAAAGAGGCGGGCGAGATTATTCAAGCCGGAATTAAGCCCAAACAGGTTGTCGAGTTAGGCGAGCTACTAATGGTACGTGATGCCACTCGGGACGCGGCGACTGTGGATGATGAAAAGAGCCTACGCGAATGGTCCCAGCGAGGAAATGTCATCTACAAATCCGTTGGTCTTGGACTGATGGATCTCGTGACTGGCGGAGATTTGGTGCGCTTGGCACGGGAGCGGAAATTGGGGACGACAGTGGAGGATTTCTAATTTTTGCTTAGTTTACATCGTTTATTATTGGTTGATCTTTTAAGACTTCCAGGGCTTCGTTCCAAGGAAATTTTGGAAGATCAACAGATCTCCCGAGCCACATCTTTAAATTAAGAGAAACTTGGAAAATGAAATATGAAATAATATTGCTATGACCTCAGAGTATCTAATGACATTCTAAAGCTATGAGAAAAACGAAACGTCTATGTTTTTCTATATATATAATATAGCTAAAACAAATTAAAGCTCGAAGAAAAACCTACATAGTGGGCTGATGGACTGCGTCACCGATCATATGTAACCTCTCGGACCAACTTCCCTTCACATTTTCTCTGAACAATCTCGAGCTTCACATTACCAATCCACTTATTCGTATTGGGCATTAATTTCAGCTACCGTTGGTGCACGATTCCTTTAACCCCCGCGCAGTGAGGGGCCAAAGCAGGGATAAAAGTCTTTCTATAAGAGATCTCGAGACCTCCCCCAGAATACCTCCAAAATATCTTCGCCATGCGAAACACCACCTGCCATTTGCCCAATGGCCTCACCTTTGACGTGTCGCCCGTTTTTGGTGGGGTCACCTTCAAATCCACCGACTTCAACATACATCACAAGTCTACCTTCCCTCCAGGTTGGACAATCATAATCAACACCGAGAAGACTCGCAAGACAGAGAAAGATGATCCAGACTCAGAGAACCCCCGCGACTTCGACGATAATTTTGGCCGTTTCACCACCCCCACCTTGACCCGCGACGCCCTCTACATCTCGTATATAGTCAACCCACCAACCAGCGACTTCAAATCCGTGACCTCACCCACACGCCAGATCGCCATGATGCTCTGGGCAACACTATGGTGGTACTTCCACGAACCAGAGCCAGACCTGCACTTGGAGACCGCCGCCTCAAGCAAGACCCCGCGCGACGGACGACCAAAAGGCGAATGGCGGATAAAGATCAAGCGCGAAGGAATCTTCAAAGGCCGGAACCTCCTCCAAAAGCTCGAACGAATGGGCTTAATCGCGACCGAAGACTCCTCCGTCGGCCTCCAGCCCATCGAAACCCGCGACTCAACCAGCTGGTCAACAATGTTCGTAAGCAGACGCAGTTTCTGGCAACTCGACCCACGTCTCTTCCTCTTCACACTGACCCCAAGCGGAGGCCCATCGACTCCTCCCGTCCGGTCGCTTAATGGGTCACCCACGCCGGACGGCATAGCCAGCGCAACGCCACCGACACTATTACCCATGGAGGCAACCTTCCACACGGCGAATATGGGCCAGTTCACCTCGGTAGGACCATTCACGTCTGGAAGCCATCTACCAACGTACTACCCACCCCCGCCGCTGCAATTCACGTTCACAAACGGGGTGCGACACCCCGTTCGTCCGAAACCTCCGCATCAGGGCGAGGTGTTCTACGTCCGCTACATCCCCAGTCTGAGCCAGTATCTCTCGTTCCGGGTTGCCTTTGTGCCGATGACGTCGCAGAAGGGTGATGCGGGTGAAACTCGGCCCGGAACGCCTGTCAGCACGTCTGTGACGAGCATCGAGCATCACCTCACTGAGAATATCACTTCTGATCTGGACACGCTGCATCGGTGGATGAATGTGCCGCGGGTGGAGGCGATGTGGGCCGAAGGTGGACCGAAAGCTGTGCAGGAGAAGTTCCTGCTAGCTAGTCTGACTAGTCGACACAGTTTCCCTGTTATCGGGTGTTGGGACGGGAAGCCGTTTGGATATTTCGAGATCTATTGGGTTAAGGAAGATCCGCTGGGCCGACTTGTGGATCATGTGGGTAATTATGATCGGGGTATTCATCTGCTCGTTGGGGAGCAGGAATTCCGCGGTGCGCATCGGGTTGCAGTCTGGTTGAGTGCATTGGTGCATCACTGTTTCTTGGCAGATATGCGAACTGAATCTGTGGTGTTGGAGCCGCGGGTTGATAATCTTAAGTGAGTTGGACCGGCATTATTGCCAATGTGGAAAGGATGAATGTGCTAACTTCTCTCAGACTCATTAATTACCTCCAAGAAGCAGGCTTCTATAAAGAAGGCGAGGTCAGCTTCCCGCATAAGCATTCTGCTATCATGAGGATCAAGCGCGAGTACTGGGAAAGTCCGGCTCTATAGAGATGTCAGGCGATTTGCATTGAGATGATCATGAGTAACGAAACAGCTAGCATTGCCTGGATTTTTGACTTTTCTTGTTTGACTTGATTTCAACATTATCTTGCTCATTTATCATGGGCTTAGCTCAATAGAATGACCGGTCTGGTTATTGTTGATTGGACTGGGTACCGTTTGATTTCACCAATCTTTTTTCTCTAAGCGACGCCCAATGATTGTCCCATCGGTAAAATCCAATTCCTCAACACCAACTGCCAGCGAGTCCATCCAACAAAAGCCCGTAGCTTTCCCAGATGCACTCTTCCTTCCTCCACAATGACTTACATTGTCACTAATATAGACACAACCTTTGCACACCAATTGGGTCTTTGAAACAAGCATTTCCATGGGGCTCTAGTCCATTTAGGGTTAGCCTCACTTCATGGAGGAGGTCAGCTGCAACTTTAGGATATCGTTGAGCTAGTTCGGCAAATTTGTGGTTTTCGGTCTGAAGATACCCTGCAACGGAGGCTGCGGCCAAGATTTGACGTACTGGATGCCCGTCATGTAAGAGAATTCCCGAAATAATATCTTGATCATCTAGCCAAAAGATATTGTTGTTGACGAAAGAGCCGTCAATGTCATCCTCGAGTTGTGGATTGGCAATAATGGTTTCCTTGATGTATTGGGCTATTTGAGATTCGATTCCCGTAATCTCGTACTTGTCCGCAAGTCTTGCGAGCTCGACGGCAGCCGAAATGTGCTCTTCGGGTGAATCATAATCGAGGTCGAACTTGATGAAACGCAGATATAGCCATTGAAAAAGTGCTTCGAGACTCCGTGGGGAGATAACGCCATTCATTTCTTCCAGTTTCACCGTCTCCTGTTTGGCCTCGAGAAAGCCGCCTGCGAACATGGCTGAGAAAACCCGCGACTCTGTGCAGAGGAGTGCTTTAGAGACTGTGTATCCACAACCGATAGGTTGGACTTGTATCTTAACCAGAGGGCCATGGAATAGTGGAAGCCGCCTGGATAATGAAGTGTTAGGTAATGGATGCCATTCCTGAGCAATACCATACTTACGATGTTGCGAACGATGCAACACTTTGTTCAGATGTCTCAGCCATTTCCACTTTGATAGGTTGACTGTTTGAAAAGACTGGTTGTGAGTTGGGAAGGAGAATAGTGATAGTGACGTGGAGATGGCTTTATGTGATGACTTCTAAAGTCATTTGTTGTCTACTATGCAGTGACTACAACCACCAGCCCAGCATAAAATTCAGTGTAGTTTATTAAATCAAATAGATGCTTTGCTAGGAGAAATGGGCGTCTCAGTTAGACTTCAGCTTTCTAGCTATGCTCTTTTCGATATGGGTATGTCAATGCCGCTATTTCCAACCCCATCCCAGTGCTCATATTTCCTTCTTTCTGTTCAGGTGCAGCTCGATTCTAGCCCAGGAGTACTTCTTCTCCGTTAAGGGGATCTTCGAAAGCGATATCGTCGAAGGGTTGGTTTGGTTCGCTTAGGGTATGTCGCACCTCGTGGAGAAGATCGGCTCCAGAGGTGGGATAGTCTTCAGTTTCTTGAGAAAACTTGTGTGTTTTGTTCCGAAGGTATCTTGCGACGCAGGCCGCAGCCAAGATACGGCGTAACGGGTGTCCCTGGGGCAAGAAGGTCGCCGAAATGATGTGTTCCGAACTAAGCGAGGCGGTATTGTCCCCGGAACGCAGGGTAATCACTTGCTTGATATGTTGAGCCACTTCGAACTCAATGGCGGTGATACCATAATTTTCGGAAAGCCTTGCCAGCTCGATAGCAGCTGAGGTACTGTTTTCCTTGTCTTTGATCTCAAACTTAACAACCCGAAGATAGAGCTACTGAATGAGTGCTTTGATAGTGCGGATGGAGAAAATATATAAAGCACTTGAGAGATATATAAAAGATATATAAAAGATATATAAGAAATATATAAGTGATATTTGGGAGAGAGTTAAAAGATATCTGAGAGGTATATGAAAGGTATCTAATCGAACATTTTAAAAGATGTTAGAAGGATATACAAAAGCAGATCTCAAATATTAAGGTCTCTAACATTGTTGCCAGGTATTTGAACAAAGAGTGCGGTCGATTCAAGATACTAGATATGGGGGAAGAGGAGGTAAAAATAGCAAAAGCCACTACAAAGCAGACACTCCTCGGATGCGGGGAGTATAACATCTTCTTCTGGTTTCTCAGCCCTATTGGAAGTCCTAAACAGGAACATATGTCAGCCCATTCCCACATAGTCACGTGTGTACACCCTGGTCGACTGCCACCGTTTCCCTCTCCCCTCGTGGGCCGTGGAGTCTCACAACACTATCCTACGAATGGACTGGAGAATCTCTGTAATTACCTTACGTCCATTTAAAGCATTATTATTTTCTTTAACGGTTATACAGTGGTGAGAATCCTGAGGATGCGAAATGGCTTAAACATAATCTTGAGCCCAGATTCTGGCAGGAAATTCAGGATGGATTTCAGCTAGAAAGAGATATAGCTGAGAGTGGTTGTGCAACGGGCGCCATAAGCTGCATTACGGGGCCTTAACGAATAGAATGTGTCAGATCCCTGCGGCATATTTTAAGGGGAGGTTTCACTGATGGAGGCTGGAGGTTTTTGGGTTTTGTGGCTGGGAGTAATGGAGAGTTATGTTAGGCTGACCCTGAAACTGAGGCTGAAAATAAGCCAAGGGCAAGAAGGGATATGCAATATCAATGGACAGGATGCGCAAGGACTCTAGCTATAAAGTGCTCGAAATCAGTTATAACCTATAAGCCCTGGAATAGTGATAGGATAGATATGGAAGGTCCGCTTTTTAGACCGCTTGTTGGATTGGTAATATTATTTCCAAGTTTTCATACCGGTCCCACAGGTCCACAACTTTAAATAACTCCAAGCTCCCTCCATTAAAACATATCCATCCAATATGGCAAATCAATATGTACTCTACGACATTCCTTCCGGCAAGGCACCATCTGTGACATGGTCTCCTAACCCATGGAAAAGTCAGTGAAGCGCCATACCCATTGGCTGTATACACTTCAGGAATCCACATACCAACTGACCACCATAGCTCGGCTCCTTTTCAATTTCAAAGGTCTTGATTATCGAACGCAATGGGTAAGTAAGATCTCACAAAACCGAAGACAATTGCTAACCATGACAGGTTGAGTACCCGGACATCAAGTCCACATTGGAACCCCAGTACGACTCCAACAATTCTTGAGTATAGAAAACCCCCTCTAACGGCCCCAGTGTCGCACCCAATCCCGGAGCCATCGCATACTCGATCCCTACGATTACCTGCCCGGACGGAACATGGATTATGGATTCGCGCAAGATCGCGAACTATATAGAGCGTCAAGCCCCGCTTCCTTCACTCCATCTCGACTCAATCTATCTCGAAAAAGTCGAGCGTATATGGTCTCAGTTTATGAAAGCCTTTATGCCGATATTCATTCCCCTGGTTCCGAAGCGTATCCTGAATCCCGAAAGCCTGGACTACTGGTATACGACTCGTGAAAAAATGGTTGGGATGTCACTTGATCAATTTGAGAGCGAGAAAGGTGGTGATCAGACATGGAACGAGCTGGAGCCTGCTCTTCGTGAAGTGACTGCTTTGTTGAAGGAGAATGAAGGGCCTTTCTTTATGGGGAAGACTGTTAGCTATGCTGACCTTGTGTGGGTTAGTATCCTTCTTTTCAATCAGAAGTTGGGGTCGGATGTTTTCCAGGAAGCGATGGAAAGGACTGGGGATTCGAGGGTGCATTTGGACCTGATGCAGGCTGTTGAGCCTTGGTGTGGTTATTGAAGTTTACTATAGAATTACAATAAGCAAGATGATGGGAACGAGGTGTCCGGTTGATACAATAGAATACAATATATTCAACCCCTACTAAGGAACTGGGTCTATCGATTTATAAGCTTCTGGATGTGACTTGGCGCTCAATAATCTTCAAAACTTGCTGAATGGTTCCATGTAATATTACAGTACGATGACTCACAGATCATGCAATTACGATAACAGTGCCGGAACCTTGGAATAACTAAATCAGCCTAGCGCATGTGGAAACCAGTTGCTTTAAATCAGGAAGTACATGATAAGAGTATGGAGGTATAGCTGATTTCGAACACTACTGTATTCCTACTATCGAGACTTCTACGCTACACCGCACACAAGATCCAAAAGTGATAAGTTTCATTGTCCAAGTAGGAGGTAAGTACAAAAGTACAACGTACATCGATCGCGAGCGCGAGCAAAAAGTCTAAAGATTCTTGGATAACATCCATTGAAAAACGAGTGAAATGTAGACCAGGATAAAAGATACCAGACATACAAACGCCGAATGCGCAAGGCAGATGCAGTAGCGAGTGGAATAAGAAAAGACAAAAAGAAAAGACGGGAGAATCACAGCTCTCGCGTAATAAAGCTCATACACATAGTGTTAGACGTATTTGAACATCAAATCGGTGTGAGCAAGGGGTATTGGCACATGTGCGTATCAACGGAGTGAACAGCTTTTTTCAAAAGCAGGAATATGGAAATGGAAAAGGAAATAAAGATCATATGATGTGGTGAGAGATAGGAGATAGGAAATAGGAAAGGTGGGTGTAGATGCATGAATAGCATCGGTGATTAAGTAAAAGATCAGATTGCTAATGAAAAAAAGGAAAGAAATCGAGAACCGGCTCGATTTAGTGTGATCGACGACCGCCCATGTACGAGCCTGTTGCGGAAGCCAGGAACCGAGCTACGAAGCCACCGCTGTGTGCGTGGTTGCTGGTCTTCAGCTTCTTGGATGGCTGGCGGATTGGCTCGAAGGATTTCTTAGATTCGAGGTGGGTCACGTTGACATAGCTATAGTTCATGGAGAGGGATGACGGGCTGCGGGATGGATCCGTGAGCATGAGGTCATCGGCGCCTTGGGAGGAGACTGTGCTGATGGAGGCTGGTGTGCCTCTTGAGCTTGGGGCGACGCTGGAGGAGCGCGAGCAGAGAGAGTTGAAGGTCTCTGCGTGGGAGAGCGCTGGCACGTCCCGGACGGATGGTGGGGAGATTGAGCGGTTGGCTCTGTTAGGAGATGCGCGCTGACGCTGGTATGGGTTGTAGCGGTCATGGTCTGCGGTATTCTGTGTTGCGTAGTGGGTATTGTGCATTGTTGGACAGGAGACGTGACTGGGGAGACGTCGGAGAGAGCTGTCGTTTGCACGACGGGTCTCGCCGCGGGCTTCGAGCTTTTGGCGACGGAGGCGGCTGGCCAGCAGATCCGCTGATGCATGGAGACGACGCCTGGGTGGGTTAGTTTTCATGATAATAAGAAATAAAATGGGATTCCATACCATTCGCGGTGTTGTTGTTGCTTGTGACGGTGTTCCTCCTCTGCGAGACGTTCTTGCTCTTGAGCGACGAGACGCTGGCGGTGGGGAACCAGGAAGGGCTCGAGATAAGTGAAGAGGTCCTGCTCGGTGATGCGCAGGTCCCAGTCGAGGAGGAAGAGGAGCTGACGTTCCATAAGGTTGACCTCGGGGAGAGAGAAGCCGAATCCTTCAAATCCCTTCACTGCGGTGTAACGGGCCCAATGTTTATTCTTGGGGCTGGAGTCATTCAAGTTCTTGGCAGCTAGGATGAGCGAGGCAAGGAAGATGCGGTGGACAGTGCAGCGCATGCCCTTTGCGACTGGTGGCAGACGGGAACGAAGACGGCCGAGGTAGACGAGACAGCTCATAAGAGTGGGCACCTGGACCTGCGACCGGGCGACGAGTGAGGCGATGAAGGCCTCGATTGAGGGAAGGGCAGGCAAGTCAGAGGGTTCCATCGGAGGGGTGGATGGTGGTGTAGGTTGGCCATTCTGGTTAACGGTGTTGGTCACATGGGCCTCACAGCGGATGACCTGCGCCGCCTGTTGAGCCAAGTGTGCTACCATTTCTCTCGTCACTCTGGTAGTGACAAACTCATCGAGAGCTGCTCGGTTGAGCGACAATGAATCCATATTGTGATGTGATAGAGGGGTATGTGGGAGGAGAAGAGGTCGAGGATGAGAATTAAGTATTTCGACAGATAGGCAGAGATCAAAGAGTTTTCAAGGCACAAATGAATTGTCTCGGACAATCCAATTGAAGGATAGACAAAAGCAGGACAAAGGTCTTTGTTGGGGGTATAGAGTCAAAATGAAGCAGGAAAGATCAAAGATCAAACAAATGTCGAACAGAGAAAGATGAATTCCTGACCAGCAGGATAACTTTCAGATCAAGTAGTTTCCTTGAAAAAAGAATGTTGCAAGTAAGGATGGGATAGTTCGGGTTGTCGTGTCAACGCGTATCGATAGCCCTAACTGAGGTTTTTCCAAGAAACTGAGACCTGGCGCAACGGATATTTATTCGAGACACAATCCACAGTTCACTGCAAGTGAGCAATAGATTGGAAAATAATGTTTCGTGGATTATTATAAGAGATGCGAATGATCAAAAGCAATGGTGTATTAAAAAGAAAGAAAGGATGACGACGTTGAGCATGTGAATGAATCTCGTGAAGAATCTGGGTGGAATACCTCTCTAGTTATAGTATCTGGTATGCGCCAGAGGGGAGGGGACGGCCTTTTTTTCCCCTGCAAGGACGGGGTCCAGTTAGAAGTGAGAAAGATAGGCCCAAGTACAGGGGGTAGAATAGAACCTGCATAGCTGGATCTAAGATACTCCAACCTTCGCGCGCGGAGGTCTGAGACGAGGGAAAGTGAGCTGATTTGTCGAGTGATGTACACTTGATAGACTATTATTGTACCTGTGCGTTTATTATCCCTAGATTCATCCAATAGAGGGTTTAGAGGGTTTTGGATCTTATTTCCATTGTTGGTTTTTGGATATTTAGCTTTGATTAACTTGATTACCTTGTTTAATCTGTTTATTCCAATTTACTTAGTGTAATAGTATTGTACATTATAAGGGGGATAATCATCGCAACACCACCTCATCCAGGATCGTCAGTTCCTTGAATTATCTATGAAACTCACGTCTCACTACGCGCTCATTCCATTCCTTGTACGCGTACCAGAATAGTATCTCGCCTCAAGCCTCTTAATGTTACTCTACTGCCTAATTTTCCAAATCAGTCCCATAAACCAACAACCAACAGCCAACAATCCACCAAATCCAACAATCCAACAAGACAATCATCACCAAAAACAGACCTCAGCTGAAAAAAAAAAAGTGGCGATTTCAGGTTGGCGCCGCGAACTCGCGTTAGTGCCCAATCACTCGAAACCTGTCAGTTTCCGATCTGATCACTCAATCCCTGTCAACCGGTCCCTTTTACAGCTTTATCCTTTTTATTCTTTTCTTTTCATTATTGGATCCCAAACCAACACCCCCTGTCACGCGACTTTAGCGTGTTCGAGGGAGACATGCCCGTGACCTTGTTGCCTGTGTAGGGGAAAATATGTAAATTATCCGAACCTTGAAATATCCCACCTCACATAAGGGAGGTCATATTGCAATTATCCCGATCTCCCCCCGTGTTCTCGTTGGATCTATCGATTATCCCCAACCACCTTTTTTTTTTTTTTTTTTCTCTAAAGGTGGGATGCATGCAATGTTCCGTGCATAGCATTTAGCGTGCCTTTCCCCTAAAAAAAGACCAAACACACTGCATATGCATCTATATAAGCGCCGGTCCCCTCTGCTTCCCGCCTTCCCGCCCAGCGCTTACAGTCCCAACATCGTGGAAGCGCTGCAACGTTTCTAATTTTATGATCTTCCAACTATATGGGTTATTCTTAGATTTTGTCTACGCGCGCTACTGCCTTTTTTTGGTTTCCCCGGACCCTCTGGGATTTGCATTCTGCGGGTCGTCATCCGCCCTTCCGCCTGAACCGAATCACTGGGTGGTATGGAATGTTGGTGTGAGACTGCGCCTCGTTTCACTATCCGGCGTCACGCTGTTGGAGGTTGGATGCGCCGTTGGGAGGGGTTGCTTTGGTATACTCCGTACACTCTTTGGCTTTGGTGGGTTCCAACTGTGCACCAGGCTGCATTGTTGATGCACCGTTGATACTCTTAGAGCTAGGCGCTTTGGATGGGGCGGTTTCAGGATTGTAGGGCTGGCTGTTTCAATGTTGGTCGGCGGTTAGAGATGTTGGTGATGGGATTTTGTATGGCTGATGGTCTTGGGGCTGAAACATCAAAATGCGACCGTACGGAGTAGGAGTACATATGTAGCAGGTTGATGCAGGTCTATGTGATGACAATTATGGCTCTATTATTGGAACCAGTACGGAATGTCGCTGATTCCCGGTGTTTTGTGGAGGTTTGAATTCTAGTTTCCATTTCTTAACGAATGTACCATCTCCCCATCCAAGTCCCAATCACACAATTCTGCTAAACCACCTGACTGGCTATTTAAACAACAGAAACAGAGTAAGAAGAAACAGTCATATCGGCCTTGCCAGTGAAAGGCTCAGTACCAGCCTGAACAGCAATCAAATACAAGCTGTCCTTCAGGGCCTGGTCCTTCTCAAGGTACGTGAAGAAGTCCAACAGGTCACCAGAGTAGCTAGTGACAGGTGCCTTAGAGACGAAGCTGTACACAGTCATGGCACCGTTAGGACCGACGTAGACATCCCACTCAATATCACTGACAGTGACGGTGGCGATGGGCTTGCCGATAGACGAGATGGGGCCCGCACCACCTAGCGCTGCAAGCCAGACCATGATCTCGTACTCCTCTGTGCCGTCAGGAGTAGAACTGAGGAACATGTCGTATGCGACATCAGCGACCACATCGGTGGTGGAGTAGCTGTTCCATTGTTAGCGGACCTGTTCTATTTAACGTATTCAAGTGCATCATGTGCACCACCTAAGACTTACCTCCATTCCCAGGCGGACTTGATGCTGCTAACAGCACTCAGAGTCTTAGGGGTGAAGTTCAGCTTGGCATTAGCGTAGCTCTTCACCTGCACCGCGGTACCGGCCCACGACCACGAGGTGTGCCACGCGATCTTGTTGCCGTCGACCGAGTCCAGTCCCGTGCACTGTGTGCCGGATGGGTCGTCATCCTGGCCCCAGAGGTTGTTGTAGAGGATGTAGTCGTCAGTCGTGGCTGTGCCCCACTGGTCGCAGAAGTCTGCGCGACGGACGAGGCCCCCCTTGGTTGGGATGGAGGCGGCGTCGCCCATGGTGGACAGCGCCAGGGAAAGGAGTGCGGGTGCGATGAAGGACTTCATGGTGACTTGTGGAACGGGTATTCAGAAATGAGAGTGTTGGTATGGAAATGGGAGCCTGGCAATATGGAACGGGCGTTGTCGGTTTGTTTTATACATGCCATGTTCTCTCGGAAGTCGTCCATATGGGGAATGACCTGGACCGGGTGGGTTCATGTTCCGTATAGAGCACGGAGTAGTCCTGTCTCACATTTCAGATTAGGGCGTGCTACTGTCTATCCATCAGCTCATGGATGGGACTCCACAACCGGGTAATCCCATGCTTGTAAGGTGCCACTGGGTCTACCGGGAAGCCGGGATTGGGGGTTGCCGCAGCCACCAAGTGCGCCTCATTGGCATCGTGGAGGAATTTTTCCACGACTGGAAGCTTGGTTATGCAGGGGCGTTATCCGTTTTCCTGCGGATTCGGGAAGATCTCCGGGCGTTGGCAGCAAATGTGAGACGATGGCGTTGCAGAGCGGGGCGGAGGAGTGCTGCTTCTAGAACGCGGTCAAATCGGAGATTGGTGAAGGTATCCGCTTTGTTCAAGATTCCCCTGAATAAACTGACAGCTTGGAGTATTTGCGAAGTTTCTCCGACTGAAAATGTCTTGTTTTTCTGTGTCTAGGATAGGGGTCGGAGTACGGAGTATGCAACTGCGCAATGTCAAGATTTGTCGACATCAAATCGAGGGGAATTGCGAAACAGCCACATCGTCACATCCAGTTCTTCAGGCATATGTACCCCGCAAACGCAACCTACAACTCTCCGGAAAATAGATGCTAACTCCAAAATCGGCTGAATATTAGCCTCAAGCCGGAGATTGCGGAATGCCGACCGTTCTTCAATGGGCGATGATCGACATTTTGATATTGAAATTAAAGTGACAGTGCAGAAGCCAAATGGTTCTTGCCATCATGTGATAGTAGATGGCTTTGATATTAGACATGGATGCATCGCAATCGTCATCGCCTCCTGGGCGACTTGAATTGCCGTGTTTAGCCTGTATTTGGCCTGCTAGCTTCAAATCCATGACGATATATATTGACCATGGCAAGTTGCTGCCGGTAGAAGTCAGAGTCCTAACAAGCATTATCCCAGATTTAGCCGCTGAAACAGATATGTCAAAGCAGATCTCATACGCCTGCCAAACGAATACGCCTACTCCTAGAAATTACTATGACAGCAGAAGTCTTCGAGGGACAGAATGACCCAAGGATGAGGGGACTAAGAAGTGGGACAAGAACAAGCGATAGTGAAGCAAGCGACAAATAATTCTGAAATTCAACTAAAGAAATATGAAGCATGAGAAAAAGAAACAGGAATGACAGACATGTAAGAGAGAAGCATCAACCAACCAGGTCATGGAGTAAGCAAACAGATAGGCCTCAGGCAACCATGTCAACATAGAACATTGAAGAAAAGAACTGCTCGGAAACCAGTGGACAACAGAGAGCTATCTCTGTGGTAAGAACAAAAAATTGGCTCAAAGAGCACGGTGTTCAGCTCCTGAATGGTCGATGGAGAACCCAAGAAAGTACAGTCTGTATCCACAGCGGTCGATGTTGGGCACTACCCGAAGGTGTACCACCGACATGCTTCGTGCCATTAGATAGGACGGGTGGTCCCGATCTAGTTTCAGCCTAACTTGGACCGCGTCAAAGATCCAATCAGTGCCCTCAATAAATCATTGGACGTGAGACTGAACTGTTGAGAGAAGAGAAAGAAGAAAGAAGAGAAATTGGGAGGGGGCAGGTATTTATACCCCAGTGCCTTAAGACGATGGGGGAACGGGGGTAGGTGACGATGTTCCCGAATAGGAAGGCACCTCTGATTGGAAGGTGCAGCTGATGGGTACATGGGTACTAAGATCTCTGATGCTATGCAGCTAGCTTCGACATCAATACATATATATCTGAGAAGACATCAGAAAGGACTGCCAAGAGAACCACCAAGAATCTCTGAGCTAAATGTCTACTCTCACTTCCATTTGTACCATCTATCTATCCACAATTATATCGTCAATATGGTCAAACTAATCATGTATCTCAGCATCGACATTCATAATGGGCAAGCCCACTAGGTTCAATGCTTCAGAATCCGAGCAACGCTAATCCTTTTACCTAATCCGTTCTCAGGAGTGAAGACGTCACCCCTGGCGAGATCTACAACGACAACGATCCTACTTATCACACTGCACACTGCACATAGGTCGAAGGTATCGAAAAGGGGGACTTGGCATTTCACCCCAAGAGGAGCGTTGGTCGGATGGACTGATCTTGATCGTCTGTCAGAATATCACGCCAGGTAGACACGATATGTTCAATGAGTAGCTGGTTTCGACTCCGAGACTCATAATTATATATGTATCTAGGCCGTCAATGGAGACCAGGCGGTCATCGGGGCATTCAGTCTGCCCTTCGTTCTAGTCTACACTGTAACACGTTTTGTTCGGTGTCGAAGAACCAACACCTGAACGACGCCGAACTGATCCACGTCCTCGGCACCTTGTCAAAATCGGACCGTGAACGAAACTGCGAGCACGATTTCGACAACCGCGGACAGGTGGGATGGGAGGACATGCCAAGGCCTCTAATGGTGGTTGTGACCTAAAATAACGTACGCTTCCTACTCGCCTATAAAGGCGTCTATATTTCATCACACGTTATAACAAAGCGGGTTGCTTAAAGAAATAATTCAATCGGGAGAGACTCGCAATCTGGGTTAGCGACATCACCTGTTGTATCAATATTCTTGGACCTCGGGGAGTATGAAGAGTAGACTGATAGATATATCTTGGCGTCGGGCTCCGCGGATTGCGGCTACGGATCACGGCAAATCCGAGCTATCATTGGACTACGAACGTTGGACAACGTACGAGGCAACCCCACGAAATGAGATATTGAGGACAAATGGCCAATAGAAGAGACGACAATTCGGATTGCGAGCATCCGGCATGGCCTGTTGACTAAAGTAAACAGTGCAAACACAAACAAAAACACAAACACAAACACATCTACACAGTGTAAAACCATTCAACTCGGCAGATTTCACCAGTATAGAGGTGCATGTATTGAACTATGAAATGAGACATATTTGAGCAAGGAATTTATATACTGTAATAATGGATTGAACAAAAGCGAGGGTGCTTTGACTATCAATTGTTTTGCTTTGCCCCACCGAGTGGAACTCCGGGGTCCAAGGGGTAAAATTAAATTTAAAGGCTGGATGGCCTTCTTTTTTTCCACTTCAGGACCCTTCTCCAATTCCCAAGATGCCTTCCAAATCCTCCAAGTCCTCCAGCTCCGGCTGCCGCTGTCGATGCTTCTCCCTGAAGTCCCTCAGCGTCCTCGCCATCTTCCTGGCCCTGTTCTCCGCCGTCTACCGATTCCTCGATGCGCGTCTTGAGCAATTCTACATCTTCGACCCAGAGCACCTCCACGATCTCTCCCAGCGCGCTATCAGCGCCCACGGCGAGGACGCCCGCTCCATTGTCAACTTCATTGTCGCCGAACTGGAGCAGAAGGTCGGCGCCAACTACGTGAACACCGAGGAGGAGTGGGTATTCAACAACGCTGGCGGCGCCATGGGCGCCATGTACGTGATCCACGCCAGTATCACTGAGTACCTGATCATCTTTGGTGAGTTTTGTGCCCGCGACGAAGTCTACCGCATTTTTTCCTGTTCTAACCAAATTTATCTGCAGGTACCGCCATCGGAACTGAAGGTCACAGCGGCCGCCACACCGCCGACGACTACTTCAACATCCTCCAGGGTACCCAGCTCGCCTACGTCCCCGGCGAATTCAAGCCCGAGGTCTACCCCGCCGGTAGCGTGCACCACCTGGTCCGCGGCCAGGTCAAGCAGTACAAGATGGATAGGTCTTGCTTTGCGCTCGAGTACGCCCGTGGCTGGATCCCTCCCATGCTCTTCTTTGGTTACGCCGATACCTTCTCCAGCACCCTGGACTTCCCGACGCTGTGGGCTACCTCGCGCATCACTGCCCGTGAGATGGTTGGCAACTTGATGCAGATGAAGCTGTAATTGAGCATACCCTTTTGCTTTGTGTTGATATGGAGGCTTCGGTTGGATTGATGAGGTCTATGTGGAATGTATGATATGGGCATTTGGATTCGATTCTGTGCGTTGGGTACCTGGCGAGGTGCTGTTTCGGTTGTAAAAGTTACTGGACATAGTGGATACATAATCGGTAGTACCGAGCACATTTTTTAATGATATCATCAGCTGAGGTTGTCGAGCTGGTTTGCAACACTGATCATTGGACTTTGAGTGCAGTTGATTTATGACACGGACTGGCGTTAGCCCAATCTGCTGCTTTTGCCGTCAATTACAACCCGTAGAAAAAGACGCCAGGCCTTTGAAGCCTGAAACTCGATACTCTAATGTCGTAGCCAACAGTTACTTCAGGCTGCAAGAGATATATGTGGCTCTAAATAGACTATAGCCAAATGCGTATGCTCATTGAAAAGCAGCCACTCCCTCGAGTCTGTTCATACCTGATCGATTCGTAAAACCCACTACCAATATCAGCATGAGGTAGGTTGACTTTAACGACATCTTTGCCTAATCACCTGTGCACCTATAAAATGCAGAGTTTAACAGCCTGGGCTCCAACTCAACAGCCAAGAGGATCTAGCTCGCAGTCTCACATGCTCTCGCAGCCAGGAATAGGAGATCCCCAGGCCGGCTTTTACAGCTTGATGGCAGCACCTTCTGCACTCAGGCAACTTGGAACCTTGAATGCTATGGTTGATGTAGCTGCATCACCTTTGCCCCAAATGCGCGCCAGCGCAATTGCAATGTCCCCGACTCCTGCTTTGCCAAAGACCCCAGTGAAGAGAATGCAGGAGCTTATTCAGCTGCAAACATTTGAGGGTAGCTGGATGTGGTCGAATGAACTCTTCGAGCTCTTGGAATGTGACATGAGCGCAACAATCACGAAATTGGCCACGCTGTACGCTTGTGCCGGTCGAACGATTGAACATGGGTTCCCGCATGGCGATGAGTCGACGGTTCTCGCAACCCTGCTTGCAATGGGATGGCTACTGAAGAAGCACTCGGGTTGGAGGGGTGTTTGGGAGCTTGTGCATGCCAAAGCCTCTGAGTGGGTTAGACTTGAATTGAAGAGGATGCAGAATCAGGGGTTACCTGGTGCTATTATTGCACCAATCCGGGATGAGATTGTTCATATGGTCTAAGAGATGATCTCGGTGGTGGAGGTGGATTTTGATTTCGGTTCTTACACATTTGCTTACAGGATTGCTCATGCTGGGTATGGATGGATGGTATTCGCTTGGAATTGAGAGAAAGGAAACAAAAAAAAAGTATTGCATCGCTTTGCAATGGAAAGAAAATTCTAACGTTGTTGCTTTTTTTTTTGTTTTTCCCTTTTCTTGTCTGGATAATTAAGTATCTCGAGAACGAGTAGCGCCATGCTCAAGTAGCACCATGGCGGCCGCCACATTTCCAATTCCGACTGCGTACTCGAAGGGTGAATACTGTTGGATTGTATGGGTACATCCATTTGGGTTGGCCCCATTTTTAAGAAGAACCTCGACAGTTCGGGCACTGATTTGCAGTTGACGCTCGGCCTCCTGGTCAATTGACCTTGGGATATCAACTAGTATATCCAGTGGGGCGAGGTCATCGCAACCCACTAGTTTGTTAATATCAACCCCACCCCGGTCGATTGCACGCTGTATTCCGTCGATGTCTTTGGAGTAGACGGCGGCTTTGAACATCTCGGCGCGCAAGCGAGGTGTATCCAGATTGTCCCCACACTCGTCATCAATAAATTCGACGATTTCTTGGCTTCTGTACATCACGATGAGCCTTGGGTCGAAATGTTTCGACATGTTCTGGTCGTTCTTCTTCAGATGATCGATCCACATTTTCAGCACTTCCTTATTGCCCTGCTTGATATGAAAGTACAGGAGATTGGTTGTAGGGTGAATATCTGTGACCCCACCGAAGATCAACGGGCAGTTATTTGAAACGAGCACATGAACAGATATGCAGCGATCAACGGCTCGATCTATTCTCAGATAGTAGCATAGGTATGCTGGGACGTGCCTTGGCCGCCTGCAGAAGTTCCCTGGCTGCCACAGGATCGTGACTTCGTTCGACAATGAGGTCAAAGAAGCCATGGTTGCAGTCTAGCTCCCCGGCGGTCAAAATATCGAGAAAATGATCCGACATCATCAAAGATTTATCAAACTCCAAAAGAATTTGAAAATCGCAGATCTCTTGCTCCTGGGCCCAAAAATGGGTCCTATACCCAGCATTGGCGGCTACTACTAACGCTCTCTCTGTAATCGCGATGTCTTGCACCGCATTGAGGAATGTTCGCAGAAGCATCGGACCGGGCTTCCCAATCGTCGCTTCAAGGGGCGTCTGGAGAGGTGCATCGTTGTTAGCAGCAGAAGGGGTATCATATCGAGGCTTTCCATCACTCGTCAGGAGCATTCTGGGATGATGTGGATCTGCCCCCCTCTCCATTAAGATGCTGAGGACCCCAGGTTGATCACCATCTATGGCTGCGAATAAGGGGGTCCCAAAGTATGGAGTCGGGGAGTCGACGATGGCGCCTTGATCCAGAAGAAGACGAACCACATCAACAAGCCCGGTGAAGGAGGCAACGTGTATTGCCTGACCGAACTCACTATCTCCTATATCTGTCCTTGCACCGGCTTCCAAAAGGCACCTCACTATACTCTCCATGTCACAGATTATTGTGGATCTTTCGGCAATATGGGCCTCGTGGTCACCGGTTAATGCACCCTGAAATCCACACAGCACGGCAAGGAGTGGCGTGTGATTGTCTTCATTAAGCTGGTTCACATCAGCTCCGTGAGCTAGAAGATGCTGAACGACTTCAACATTCATGTGATCGGCTGCGGAGTGGAGGGGCATACTTCCGTAGGTGTCTCCCACCCCAGGGTCGATGCCTTGGTCGAGGCATTGGCGCACGGAGGGTAAAGAACCACAAACACATGCGAGAACGAGCGTGTAGGGCTCCAGCACAACAACGTATTTGAGAATACACTCAAATGCAGAACAATTCCCTATCAATGCAGCTTCCACTAGGCCTTCAACGAAGGCCCTGCTCCTGCTGTCCTGTCTTGATGATGATTTAAGGAGAATATCAAGAACCTTCAACTTCGACAATGACCAATTATCCGCAAATGTACTGACGATAGCGTTGGGTATACCGAATACAGACACGTCAGGTAGCGCTGCCCCATGCAAGAGTAGTATTTCCACTATAACTGGGAATCCATTCTTGCAAGCTTCGCTGAGAGCCGTGGGGGATGCTGGCGACTCGGAATCGTTGTCACCAGGAGATATTGGATGGGAAGCAAATTGCACTTTCCGCGCCGATGGCTTTTGTGATTGTCGATTTGGATCTGCGCCATTCTCAAGCAATAACCGCACAATATTCAGATGTCCACGACTTGCAGCAGCAACGAGAGGAATGCCCAACATACCGCCACTGTTCATGTTCACATCTGCGCCGTGATCTAGTAACAGCTGGGCAATTTCAATATGCCCATTGCGACATGACACACTTAGCGGGGTATCGGTGCTTCGGCCGCTGTGGACCAGGGACTCCTTTGCTGTAACATTGACACGGGCTCCTGCCACTATCAATCTGGACACAAGATCTGCGTTTCCATCTGCACAAGCGGTGACCAGAACGGACGGGTCTGGAGGTTTTGGCCTTTCGGCCGCGAGCAAGCATTCAAAAACATCACGCCTTTTAAAATCTAACGCTAGGGAAAGAAAAGAGTTGCCGCTCGAACGATTCAACTGGGCTCCTCGCTCTATCAGCAGCTGGACTGCTGCGAGATGACCTCCGTGAATGGCTCTTGATAATGGGCACTGCATATCATTGCGTTGAATGTCACCGTTGGGGTTTTCCCCTGAGGCCAGAAGAGCCTCCATAACCTGGATATGGCCGTACTGTGCTGCACCACCTAGGGCGGCGGTCCCCTCGATAGATGGCATCGAGTCAGTCTGCTCGCAGACCCCCTTCTCAATTAATAGCTTGACAATTTGAGCGTCCCCTGCGGTTGCTGCAATAGCAAGGAACTGGTGAAATACGTCCTCAGTTGCTCGTTGGCAAGGAAGTCGGGAAAAGAGTAATTCTATAAGCGTTCGAATGCCACTGTTCATGAATCGGCGCGCCTGGTCTGCGGTGTAAGAATGTCTCTCGGAAAACATCAGGTCCCACACCTGTGTTCTATCGGGCCGCTCCATGAGACGCAACGACCTTTCCAATGTGGTCAGTATTTCGGGGATCAAGACTCCATCGCGCGTCACTGGAACTCCCGTGCCAGCCTGCAAAAGCTTCAACAGCACACGAAATGCAACGGCAGAGTCTCTCTTGGTTGCCAACATAACCAATTTCCGCCTGTTGGACTTCTGATTCGCGTTGCTTTCGTCATTTGAATCAATGTATTTTTCATCATCATTGTCAAAGACCATTTTCTGAAGGATTCGCTCGATCACCCTGTCATTGCCCCACTTCACTGCAATCTCGAGGGAACTTTCACCTGATCCATCTGGATTGCTTGGCTCACAACCTTGGTCAAATATTAGGGAAACCAGCGCTTCCTGGCGACGCTCTTTCTCGCTGACTGCATCGCTGGTATCAAAACCCGGCGTTGCCTCGGCGTAGCGCACCCGATGGAAACCCAATAGTGCCGCCTGAAGCGCGGTCGTGGCCTTGGAGGAGAGACTATTAACTAGTGACTGCCACACAATTGGGGGGAAAACCGCCAGACTTCTGCGGCTTAGCTCCTGAGCACCTAGTTGGGTGTTCCTTGGGCGCCACGTTCGAAAACCACTGGGGTACATATCTGAGAAGTCCTTGTCCGGTATCTCAATGGCAAGTCCGCCATCCGGGTCAAGATGCCCGACTAGAGCTCTTCTTTGTACTGTGGCTAGGGCATCTGCTCCCTCCTGGAGGCACAAACGAACAACCTCAAGATGTCCAACTTCCGTGGCGACGATCATCGCGATATTCATAACTGCATCGGAGATGTGGTCCTTGAAGCGCGGAGTATTGATCAAAGTCTTCACGATTTCGGTATGTCCATGACTTGCGGCGCCGACGAGGGCGTTTTCGATGAAGCTAGTACTGTGAAGGGACTGTCCCCGGTCTAGCTGCTCATTTAGCAACTTGTGAAGAACTCTACGACGTCCAAAAATGGCCGCCGTGTAGCTACCAATAGCAAGCTGCCGCGCGCTGAGAGTGAGTTTTCCCTCTCTTCGTGTAAGAAGACATCTGACCATGCGAAGTCCCGACCTGCAGCAAACAGCGAAAGAAGGCATGATTACATGTGTATTGCAGCCCTGCGCCTCAATTATCACAAGTAAACTGTTTATCAAGTTGCTGTGGCGTGATTGCAATGCCACCGTAAGGAGGCGACTGAGGAGTATTTTGATACCATCTAGCTCGTCGCCATCAAGATCCGAGTCTAGCTCGGTTTTATCACCATCTTCTATCTCATTATTAGCACCTTCAACACCATTACTGGGGTGCTCATTCTGCAATTCGAGACATAAGTCCAGAAGCGATGGATCAGCAACAGACGTTCCATGAATTGCAAGTCGCTGTCTCTCGGTATCTTGGTTCTCCCCGTCAGAACAATGCAGAAGCCAGTCACAAAGGAGAGTCGCAGCCGCAAAGTGTCTCTTTGTCGCTGCGCTTTCGATAACGGGAAGAATGGAAGCCACAAGGTGGCGAGATGGCTCAGGGTGGAATTTCAGTAGAGTCAAGATAGTTGTCCGGTGTCTCCTCGGTATCGCAGCCTGGAGACTCGCAGCCCACATCTTATGATAACTTTCAGTCTCGCGTTCTTTGATGGCCTGGTACGATCTCCGAACAAATTCGACGTGTCCATTCCTTGCCGCTGCTATGAGCACGTCACTCAGACCTTTTTCGAGATTGAGATATTTTGCGCCCGCCTCCAACATAATTTCCAATGCCTCAAACTGCCCGTGACTCGCGGCGGTGCGAAGGGCCAACCGCACTTCGTTTGTAGTCGTGGAAGGACGCAGCAATTGGTACCGTAGACCGGGAATGTCACCCACACTTGCCCTGAGCTGCAAAGTTGTGGCGTTGCCATTCTGAGAACCCCTGGCACTCTCTGAGTCGGAGGAGTCGCTAAGAACAGACGTGTCGTTTGAATCAGCCTCATCATGGACATCTCTTGATACAACAGTTGTCCTAAGGTCATCTTCAAGGAGATCGATGGCGTTTCCCCAATCTGGGCTTGGCACGGGAAGTGGGTTTGCCATTACGCGCCGACGGATATTCTGCGCACAAGCAGACTGCAATTGTATTTTCCTTTGTCGCCATCAAAGTGAGGAGTCGTGGGCCATGTAAGCCTTGGCACTCTTACTGTCACGAGTGGCTAAAAGCGTAGCGTGCACTGCCCCGTTTAGCAAAGAATGGCCCCTATCAGCAAATAGAGGGTCAGGGGGGCCACGAGGCGGGGAACTCGCCTTCATATCACATAGGAACTCATTGAAGCCTCCTGAGAGCTATATCATACGACCTTGGGGGAACTGGGGATAATCCACACTTGTCGGGAGCGATCTCGGAGGTCATGACCCCGTCTCGCGTCCGCTCCGCCACATGTTAAGCTCAATTCTCCACAGTATTGGGCTTGGGATTGAAAGCTCCGCGGTTTGACGTGAAGCATTTAACTGCCATGATCTTACCGTCTTGTTGTGCTTGCCATCTCACCATCAAAACTGCCTCTTGCTTCCCCCTTAAAACAAAGTCAGCCAACAACAGTGATAGCCTTCGTCTTGTCACAACTCTAAAATTGGCGCTCGGTCATTCACACAATGGCTTCCTTTGCGACTAGAACGACTCGCGCAGCAGCGTTGGGAAAGTCGTTGCTCCCGACTCGACCGATTGTTGCTACTCGCGGGCTCACCACCCGCGCAACCTCCTACACACTCAATACAGGTGCAAAGATCCCCGCTTTAGGATTTGGTACATTCCAAGATGCAGATTCCCAGGAAAAGACTGTCAGCCTAGCGCTGCGAAAGGGCATGCGCCTGATTGATACTGCTCGTGTTTACGACGTTGAAGAGCAGGTCGGAAAGGGAATCAAGAAGAGCGGTATTCCCCGCGAAGACATTTTCCTCGGTACGAAGCTATGGTGCAACGACTACCACCCCGAAGACGTGGAGCGTGCTGTGGATGACTCCCTCCGTGACCTGGATACCCCTTACGTGGACCTCTTGTTGATGCACTATCCATGTACCTTCAAGCGCGGCGCCGACCGATTCCCTAGGGACGCTGAAGGCCGGATGATCCGCGGCGAGACCACCTTTGTGGATACGTGGAAAGCGATGGAAGAGGTGATTAAGACTGGCAAGGTCAAGGCCATTGGTGTTTCGAACTTCAGTAAGGGTGAAATCGAGACGTTGATTGAGAAGACTAGCACTGTATGTGTGATCCCCCAGATATCGCAGATTCGAACCGCGCTAATTTTGCCCTCCAGGTCCCTGCAGTCCACCAGATGGAGGTCCACCCCTATCTGCAGCAAAAGGGATTCAACAAGTGGCTGAAGGAACAGAGAATTCACGTCGTCCAGTTCAGCCCGCTGGGGAATATGAACGACTTCTATCGACAGACCGGTTGGTCCAAGGAGATTGCACACATGAAGCGGGTCATTGACCAGCCGATCATGAAAGAAATTGGCGAAAAGTATGGCAAGACCCCAGTCCAGGTGGTGCTCGCATGGGGGATCAATAGTGGACGCTCCGTCATCCCCAAAAGCGTGGTGGATTGGCAGGTTGAGCAGAACCTGGAGGCCGACTTCAAGCTGCAGGATGAGGATATGGCGAAAATTGAGACTTTGGATGCGAAGGCTCGCTTCAATGATCCCAGCTTGGACTACGAGTGGCGCCTATATAGTGATTTGGAAGGCATTGACGGCACCGTGAAGGGACGCACTCATTAGAAATTGTTTGCTACAAATGGAGTCAATATTCAATCTAATATAGCTTTTTCTTTTGTTAGCCAAATTCCTAGGGTTGAGCTAATCGAAAGGTACCCAAGATAGAGAGAAAGGGACTATATCCTTATATCAATTCTGACTTTGACATGCCCAAGAAACCATGGGAACAAGACCGACAATACCAAGCGCCGAAATGTAAGGTTGCAATATTTGGCTTTACCGTGTGCTTTTCATTTTGCTCAAGGAGACCACGTTTGAGTATTGAGAGGTCTCACATTTCTGGATCATTTCCTGGTATATTACGCCTTCAAGTTTGTACACACTGTGACTCCACAGAGTGAGCCTTTATTTGCTATCCCTACTCCGAAAACGAAAGAATAATGGTTGGGTACACATAAGCTTAAAAGTTTTGATTGAAGAGCTGCTAAATTACTTAAATTGCCTCTATGGTTACTTCTCTTCGTCAGATCTCAGACACAACTTGTTCAAGGTAGAGTAAATCCGCCATCGATAACCAGATTTGATCCAGTCATGTAACTAGAAGCATCAGACGCGCAAAATAGGTAAGCCTATAGGTCCAATTAGCTCACACACTGTATGTACCTGGAACCTTTGACGTATTTTCTTACCCCCTTTAGCTCATACGGAGAAGCAAACCGCCGGGCAGGAATTTGACCTAGCCACTTTTCGAGCATGTCTTTAGACGCATACTCCATAATCTGAGTTTGGACGTAGCCAGGAGACACAGAGTTGACCCGGCAAAAGTCTGCCCACTCGACAGCGAGTGACTTTGCCAGTTGCAAAACACCTGCCTTGGATGCATTGTACTATGGAGTGACGTTAGTCTGGGATGTCCAAGGAGGGTAATTTTCCAATTTCCGAAACACATACCGCAGCCTGTCGCTGGGGTGTATTCACCAGCAGAGCACTGACAGAGGCCGTGAAGATGACATTGCCATAGCCCTGACGCTTAAAGATCCTGGCAGCAGCTTGCGCTGTGTAGAAAGCACCATTGACATTGACGTCCATAATCTCCTGAAATTCGGTCGGAGTGTACTCTTCTCCTGCATGCTCAGAGCAGATCCCCGCATTGGCCACAATCACATCCAGTTTACCAAAGTCCTCGGCGACCTTGTTAATGGCCGCTGAGATTTCCTCGGGCTTGGTGACATCAGCCTGATAGGCGCGAACTTGGGTTTGGTATTTAGAAGCGAGCTCTTCCGCAGTCTTGGGAGTAGTTTCCGTTGTGCGATAAAAAAGGGCAATCTGAATGAGAGATCAGAGACAGCTTCTCTCATTTGAAAATGGAAATAGTGAACCAGGTACGCACTTTGGCCCCAGCTTCGGCGTACGCAGTAGCAACAGCCAAGCCAATCCCTCGACCACTGCCTACTACCATGTCAGCTAGACACAGCCAGAGAGATTAAAATTGGGTCTCATTTACCAGTGATTGCAACGACTTTACCGGTCAGGTCGAAAAGCTTCTGGACGGGGGCATCGTCAGGCTTGGAGAGAACCATTTTGAACAGCCAAACTTTTTTACTGTACAAAATCCTAGCCCCAGAGAAACATGGGATGATCTATTTATGTTCAATTTCCATCTTCACTTATCTTCATCTCAACAACCAATTCTATCACTTTCGTTGCGAGGAACAAGAACACGGGGGTCATCGCGGGGTCTGGGGTACGGGGCAATTCCCGTCTCGTGGATGGCCCCCCGTCTCGGGGCTGCCCCAACCATACCTTTCTGGAAACTCCGCAACAACCTCAACAGGCGAGATCGAAATGTATACGAAGATACACGATATGCTTGGTCTCCAACTTGACGATTTCTATACTGTTGTAAGGAAATCTCTTTCTTATTAGGTTTGCGCAGACATATTAACATCTCCCCATCCTGGGCGTCACACCTTCTACATCGTTTCCTAAGTGGAAAGTTGCTTCACCCGTCCAGCACTCAATATGGAAAGCGACATTGGGCTCCATTACATTGGAATTGATGTAGGCACTGGCAGTGCGCGTGCCTGCGTCATTGATTATCAGGGCAATATTGTCGGTCTCGCTTCCCAAAGCATCAAAACATGGCAACCACACCCGGAATTCTACGAGCAATCAACTGCAGACATCTGGAGTAGCATTTGCACGGTAGTCAAGCAAGCTATTCAAGAAGGAGACGTACCACCATCCAGTATCCAAGGTCTTGCTTTCGATGCCACATGCTCTCTGGCTGTGTTCAACAAAGAGACCAACAGTCCAGTCTCTGTGAGTGGCTCGGGAGGCAGTGGCGACCAGAACGTGATTCTATGGCTGGACCACCGCGCAGTGGCAGAGACGAAGACCATTAATGCGACCGGTCACCCTGTGCTCCAGTATGTGGGAGGCGGCATGTCAGTCGAAATGGAGATGCCCAAGATCCTTTGGCTGAAGAACCATATGGATGCGAGCAAGTTTCGGGACTGCGAGTTCTACGATCTGGCAGATGCCCTCACCCATCTAGCGACCGGAGAAAAGGCTCGAAGCTACTGCAGCGTAATTTGCAAGCAGGGCTATCTTCCAGCCGGCACAGACTACGGCGAAGAGGGGTGGCAGCTGGATTTTCTGAAGCAGATTGGCCTTGGGGATCTTGCCACCGACAATTATTCTCAAATTGGTGGTATAAATGGCAAGGTATGTGGTTTAAACTTTGTGCTTAACACCAACGCTAACCACTTGACATTGCTAGAACGGCCAATATCTTAGTGCGGGCCAGCGCGTTGGACCTCTGAGTGAAAAGGCGGCTATGGAGTTAGGGCTCTCACCCGGCATCGCTGTTGGTAGCGGAGTCATTGACGCCTACGCAGGCTGGATAGGCACAGTTGGTGCCAAAGTTGACCTTGGACTGGATGGTGCAATCGACGACAGAGAACATGTTTCGCACCGGTTGGCATTAGTTGCTGGAACATCCACCTGTCACCTGGCAATGACGAATAATGAGTTATTCGTTCCCGGGATCTGGGGCCCGTATCGGGATGTCCTTTTCTCTGGGGCGTATGTTGTTGAAGGAGGCCAGTCGGCAACCGGTGAACTCATCCGACATGTTGTTGAGAGCCACCCCGCATACTCGACAGTAGCCACAGAAGCAAAGAATGCTGGAATTTCAATTTACGATTTTCTGAACGACTACCTGCGTGAAGAGGCAAAGCATAGCGGATATGCCCATGTGTCTGAACTGGCTAAGCATTTCTTTTTCTACGGTGATCTCTGGGGCAATCGCTCACCCATTGCCGACCCGCAAATGAGCGGCGCGGTCATTGGGCTGAGAAGTGACGCCTCCACGAAAAGTCTCGCTCTCCATTACTACGGTGTCTTGGAGTTTATAGCGTTGCAAACACGTCAGATTGTGGATACTATGAATGAACACGGGTATCAAATCTCGACGATTTTCATGTCCGGGTCACAGACACTCAACGACCTCCTGGTTCGCTTGATTGCGTCTTGTTGCAAGATGCCAGTTATTGTACCGAAATATGTCCATGCTGCTGTCTGTCACGGTACTGCTATGCTGGCAGCTATGGCGGCCAGTGAGGGATCCGGGAAGGAATCAAAGGATCTGTGGAGTATCATGAGCCAAATGAGCAAGCCTGGCCGACGGGTGGACCCCACGGCTGACGCAAATGAGCAAAGGCTCCTCCAGGCCAAATATGAGGTGTTCTTGGACATGTGTTTTAAGCAGCGAGAGTATAGGGACCTGATAGATAAACGAATATCCGCGGTAGAGTAGAAAATCAAATTGCTTCATCCATGGACATCGCTATTCAATTACTTTCCAATCAGCAGATATAGTCTTAATCTTTGAGTAGATACGTGCCCAGGGAATCTATACACATTCGAAGTAACCCGAGTCATTTAGTCGTTCCCCGGGTCCACGCTCGCGGGGAAACGTCGGATAGTGAAGGTTCAATAGTAAGCCACAACATTGTCCACGGGTTGATTGTCCCCGTATCGAGTCACATACCACGAGTCGAACACAACCCCGGATGAGGGTGGACAGCTCTAGAGTTTGTCTCCGCAATTTCTGGATTCGGATCCTGGGGCAACTGATGTATTGATTCTCACATCACTATAGCTGAACCTTGAAATAAACTAGCTCTAAGGCCTATTTGACGTGACGTACGGCGGTATGAAGAGAGGATATAATTCCTGGGGCCCCGCGTTTCCCAAACACACCTCAAGTCTTCTCAGTCCACTTAATTGCCTTTGATCGTGATATCCTCATAAAGTGTCTTTTTTTATATGTCATGTTGAACATGATAAGTGACGAGCGGGCAAAATGGAAGATCACCGCGAGGCTGGAAAAGAAGAGCCTGTTGACAGCGGTCAACTGCCTCGCTGGTCTTGCAATCTTCTTTTTCGGTTTGTCAACCCCTATCTGAAAGACCATCCTTTTCATACTAGAATAACTAACCTTGCTATAACACACAGGCTATGACCAAGGAATGATGGCTGGAGTCAATGACTCCAAATCCTACGTTGAGCTGATGGGCCTGGGCTATGAGAAGAATGGATCAATCCATGTCACCAACACCCTCTTGCAGGGAGGCATCGTCTCAGTCTACTACCTGGGAACTTTGGTTGGATGCTTTATGGGCGGCTATGTCAGTGATCGATACGGCCGTATCAAGTCCCTTGCATTTGGTGCTGTCTGGGGTATACTTGGAGCTGCACTCCAGTGCACAGCAATGAACCCGACGTGGATGATCATCTCTCGTCTCATCAACGGTGTCGGGACGGGAATTTTAAATGTCACCGTTCCAGTGTATGGCTCCGAACTTGCGGACTACGAGTCCCGTGGAATGTTCATCGCTATGGAGTTCACTTTGAACATCGTCGGCGTGGTGGTGGCTTACTGGTTAGGATTTGGGCTTCGCTACATCGACAACGGGACATCCGAGTTCCAGTGGCGATTCCCCATTGCTTTCCAGATTATCATGCTATTGTTGCTAGTCACTGGCTGCTGGTTCTTCCCTGAATCGCCTCGTTGGCTTTGCATGGTGGGCCGTCGGGACGAGGCGACTTATGTTCTCAAGCGACTTCGTGGTTCGGAGAACACAAGTGCGGCCATGCAAGAAATGAGAGAGATTGAAGCTGTCGTCCGGCTTGAGGCTGAATCGGAGGAGAAAATGACCTACTTTCACATGCTATTCGGCATTGGTCAGGGAGACTTGCACATTGCGCGACGTGTCCAGCTAGTGATATGGCTGCAGATTCTGCAATGCTGGTCTGGAATAGCTGGCGTGACGATGTACGCACCAAGTGAGTTGAATGAGTGACTTTATCATATCTACAAAAGCTCTAATACGCTCGCAGCTATATTTCAAATTGCCGGATTCGATTCTCAAAAGACAATGTGGATCTCGGGTTTGAATAATATTTTCTACGCATTCGCAACCCTCATTTGTGTCTTCACTATTGATCGGATCGGTCGCCGGTGGACCCTATGGTGGGGAGCAGCAGGACAAGCAATTGCCATGTTCCTCGGAGGTGGTCTGGCTCGTGGTGGAATCAATAACCCAGACAACCAAGGACCTTGGGGCATTGGAGCAACATCCATGGTCTATTTGTATACATTCGTCTTTGGTGCTACCTGGCTCACCGTTCCCTGGCTTTATCCAGCAGAGATCTTTCCCCTCAAAGTTCGAGCCAAGGGTAATGCCTGGGGCGTTGTTGGCTGGAGTGTGGGAAATGGGTTTGTTTTGTCGACTCTGCTTTTAACAGGAAGAAACTGACATGCGTTAGAACATTGACTTTAGTTCTTCCATACGTCTTTGCAGCTATCGGGGAAAATACGCTACACGTGTTTGGTGCTGTAAATCTCATCAGCATCCCTATTGGTGAGAAGATCAACCTCTCTATTCTGTCAATGTGACGGGTCACGGCTAACGAATTTTAGTATGGGCGTTCTATCCTGAATCTAGTCAGCGGACACTTGAAGAGATCGATATGCTTTTCGCTGCAAAGTCGCCATTTGTCTGGGAAGCCGAAGCGAAATTCAAGACCATCATGGCAGAAAATCCAGACATTGGCCGTGCTCATCAGCGTCACTCCGTTTTAGAAGTCGAGAAGGGCTTACATGATATCGAATCTGAGCACGAAGAGACAGTTACTCGCAGTTAGATACCTCCTATTGGCTGAGATTCGTATAACGGAAAGTTCTTGGGGACCTACATGCATACGTTCCAAGTACCTGTCGCTTCAGGTTATTTCCCCCATGTCTATTGCGATGTGAATGATAGTATAAGGTTGGTAATTCAATGCAATAGGTCGCTTTAATCCATAACTGCGCTTCGTCTGGCGTAAAAACCACAGGTAGAATTTAGACAAGAATTGCGTTAAATTTTTCTACATCGAAACTACTACTTTACAACCACAATTGTAGAGTCCTCGGTAGACTTCCGCACCGGCTCATAAAGCCCAAAGCCCAACCCAACCCCTAAAGGGGTCGGGTTTTGGGCCCTATCCTTAGGCCCATCGATGGGGTATAGGCCTAAGGTAGAAGCCCACTGCGGGTTAATGGGCCCCAAATGGCCCAAACAGTACAAACATAAAAGTTGAACCCCCTTTTAGGGTTTTAAAATTACCCTTCGTTTTACCCCCGTTTCTAAGCCTTATCCTAAAGGTAATATTTAATTATTTTATAACTCATCATTATTTACTAGTTATCTCTCTATATCACGTTTAAACACGCGAGACAACGCGTCATTTAGTAAGTTTTAAATAATAGATATTCACTTAGAAAGTGGTGGTACTCTCACATGAATCCTAAATATATATCGGATATCAAAATGTATATTAACATTCTTTCGACCTCCACTGATCGGATTGTATTTAAAATTAGAGCATACACTTATATACCTATTAAAATCATAGATAATTAGTTTGAACTCTATACAATTACTAGAAGGGTCAGAATACAGCGATCATAAGATGCTAGTTGAACCCCCAAAATGGGCTTTAGGCTTTGCGGAAGTCTAGTCCTCGGTATGAAATGTACGACAAATGGGGAGGGAATTATTTCCGTTTATTTTTGTCCTTGACTTACGAGCTTGTCATTGCAGAAGGGTAGTGAATTTGGATTTTACAGATTACAGAGAGAGAGAGAGAGAGAGATTTAGCAGTGGGCACAAAATCATCTAATAGTGAAATCTTAATTACGGTTTGTACTGTCACTGACACCAATGGATATCTCGAAGAGAAGATATATTGAATAGTATTTAGTTCTCATTGGAACTAAGCAAAACATTTGGTGAAAAGAAAATCACATCTAATCTCGTTCACGCCATGAGACATTTATTTTTGTTTAGCAGACTATCCACATTAGTATCTTGAGATAATCACAGGTATTGAAATTACTTACTGCCAATCACGCCGTTCACTGGAATATCGATGGAAGTGGTGTAGCTGGCGGCGTCGCTCAGAAGGTACACATAGGCACCACCAAGCTCCTGGACCTCAGCCAATCGAGGCATCCCACCATAGTACTTGAGCTGCTGCTCCCAGTCCGGTTGTTGAGGTACCCAGTATGTCATGGCGGTGTTGACCAGGCCAGGTGACACGCTGTTGACACGGATACCGTACTGTGCCCATTCCATGGCCAAGGTGTGGGTCATGTTGCGAACACCGGCCTTTGAAGCACCGTAGGGAGCGGATGGAACGCGCTGAGGGGGCTTTTAGTATTGAGTGGATAGCAGAAGTAAATATAAAAATACCTTGTTAGGACGGTAAGAAGCCATAGAAGCTGTAAAAACCACAGAACCCTTGATTCCCTGCTTGATGAATGCGCGGGCAGCGGCGCGTGCGGTATAAAACGCACCGAAGAGGTTCACATTGAACAGAGTCTCAATATCCTCCTTGGTGAAGTCAAGGGCAGCCTTGTGGTGGGTACGTCCGGCGTTGACTACCATTCCATGTAGAGCACCAGCCTGCTCGATGATCTTATCAACTGCAGCGGTGATTGTGGCCTCCTCGGTCACATTGGCAGTGACGGCAAATAGCTTATTGGGGTATTTCTTCGACAAGGAATTGAACTCGTCTCCAGTCTCGCCAATGTCGATCGAGTAGACTTGATCCGCACCGTTGGAAAGACAGCACTCGGCAATACCCAAACCTATTCCGCGGTTGGCGCCGGTAACTAAAGCATTATGAGATTAGCTGGCCACTCTCTAGACGTTCGGCCTTCAGGACACTTACTGGCAATCACTTTTCCATTCAGAGCGACTTGAGTCTGAGGGACGGGAGTTACGTTGGCAGCCATGATACAGGATGTGATAAGTGTTTCTGATGAAGAACGCCCAGGTGATTGACTTGGGAAGAAGATTTGACCCAAAGATGTCGTCTTTATAAAGCTATGAAAGCTTGGGAAGGCCCTCATGTGCCCGCAAAGCACCTCATAGCCCATAACACAGCCCACATCATCACGCACGAGTCGGTGATGGTCCCGCGACGGTGTTGGAGAAGCGTGGGGGGGTACAGTGGAAGTGTCCCCGAGACGGCGACACGATCCACTTTGGCCTCCGATCCCCCGCAAGAAAGCTGTGGCCCGGAGCTCCAATTTTGAGATAACTGCCGCATTTTGTCTCATTTGACGAATAACACATTTGAATCTTCTCTCGCCTTTGTTTGGTGTTTCAAAGTTTTCCCCTCTCACTCAATTTGCACAATGGCTGCGCTGCCCGCTTGGAACCTGCTCAAAGGCAAGACCGCTGCCGTCACTGGTGGCACCACTGGAATCGGTCGCGCGATTGTTCTGGCATACATTGCTCAAGGATGCAATGTCGCCGTAAATCACCTGGGTCTGGCTAAGGACGAAGAACTTCGCCACAGTCTGCTCGAGGAGGTCAAGGCAATCGAGAAGACGGGCATCAAGACGGGCAAGATCCTCGAGCTCCCCGGAGACGTGACCAAACCGGAGACAAGCTCCAAGTTAATCAAGGAGGCTGTGGCGCAATGGGGGAAATTAGATATTTTTGTCGCTAATGCGGGTGTATTCAAACCAGCGGAGCTGTTGAAGTAAGTCATCGATCGCAGGATTTCGAGCTATTTAGTTCCTCTTCCGTCCATCAGAGCCGATATGCTAAAAAGAAATAGGATTCAACCGTCTCTTCTAGACCACACTGTTGATGTTAATATCAAAGGCACTTTCTACTCCTGCCAAGCCGCTGCGCGCCAGATGGTGAAACAAGGGCACGGCGGTTCAATCATCGGTGTTTCTTCCGTTAGCGCTTTGCTCGGTGGTGGGTTCCAAGCTCACTATACTCCTACCAAGGCCGGGATTCTCTCCATGATGCAGTCTATGGCTATCGCACTTGGCAAAGATAAGATCCGGTGCAATGCCCTGATGCCTGGCACTATCGGAACCTCGCTAGCCGCCCACGATATGAAGGACCCTGTCAAGATGGCAGCCCTTGAGGAGCGTATCCCTCTTGGTCGAATTGGGGATCCGAATGATATGGCAGGTCCGGCAGTTTTCTTGGCTTGCGAAGAGATGAGTCGTTATGTGAACGCAACGGGGTTGTTGGCAGATGGTGGAATGTACAGTAAATTGCAGTGAATACAGTCTGATTGCGGTGCCAAATAGGCAAATGAAGTCTATTTCTCATCAAAAATGCTTTCACTACATACATAACTTGTCAAGATATGTCGTAGTGGCCAAGATTATTCGGTCAGGATTCAACCAAGCATTCTTCTCAATGTTTCTCAATTTCGTTCAAATTTCTTTCCAGATCTATTTCATCTCTATAGTACAGTATAGTAAGAAGTCACGGCAAAGCTAATCCGTTCTGGCAGTCAAAAATTGGATTCCTCAACTTTGTCTCTATGTACATTTCCCTTACTTCATGCCTTGCCAGCAGAGCCGCAAATTTTCATCCACTTGACAGTCAGATCCGCCACCTTCTGAATACCCTCCTCTATCAACTGAGTGTGCGTCATTTTATCCACATTGGCGCGAAGATGGTCGTAGTAATCGTCTAGGACGAGACGGTTGACATTGATCTTGCTAACACCAGCAGCCACGCAACGCTTCATTAACTCAGGCGTAAACCCATTGGTACCATGCAGAGCCAGCCTGACTCTACCATTTGCCTGTGTACGAACACTCTGGAATCTAAACACGCAGGTATTAATGAGTGGTCTTGATCATGGTATCTCTCTTGACTTGCCTTTCAAAATCCAATTGTGGCCCTCGTGGGCCATACTCGCCGTGAACGTTCCCAAAAGCCGGAGCAAGCACGTCCACACCCGTTCCGACGAACTCATCTACCTCCTCAGCCGTCGTCATACATGCTTCCAGCCCCGCAGTATCCTGTACCCCATCCTCTCCACCTTCAATGCGACCCGGTTCGGCCTCGGTAGCCTTCTGCCGCTCGTTGCAATACCGCACCAGTTTGCGCGTCTTCTCCAAGTTGACTTCCTTCTCGTAGTGAGACATGTCAACCATGATACTGTCGAAAGGTAGCTCCGCTGCTCGTTTGATGATAGTTTCGGATTGCGCATGGTCGAGGTGGATGCTAATCGGTACGCTTGCACGCTTTGCGGCGTCTGCGGCCGTGCGCACGAGCAGACCATCCGTGGCCTCGATGGCCCATGGAAAGAATTGGATAATGAGGGGTGACCGTGCTGTCTCAGCTGCCCGCACTAGACCTAGGACATGTTCAATGTTGTAGGCGATGGCGGCGATGACTCCATACTGCCCGACTTCGGCATTTCGTAGGATGGCGATGTGACAATTGGATTCTTTCCAGGACATTTTGGGAGGGTGAGATAATCACGCTTTGTGGGAGCCAAGGAAATATAGTGAATTTAGGCTGGAATTAAATACAAATATTGTGACTGGCGGGCTGGTCGATATAAAGAGCTGTGATGACGATGGCCAGGAAATGGCCCCGAGACGAGGGAAGGCCCACTCTAGGCCTTTCTCCACGCAGAGGGGCAAGGAGGAGATGGATGCTCGTCTAGATCCAAATAAAAGGCGATGGGATATCTACTAATATTCCTATGCGCAATGAAAGCATGATTTATGATCCTGACTACGTTCTCTTTTTGCGCTGCAATTTTACCTAGCTACGCGTTCGACGTGTGCACTATTCACGAGGATATGACCATGTCATGAAACACACAGCAAATAAATTATACATATGAGAACAACATGAGTCCACGAGGAAAGGAATTACATGACTGAAATCACAATGCCAGGGCATCTGCGGCTTAAAAGGACTTCTGCATCTCCCAAATCTGTTGTAACTCAACCCCCATAGATTTGACTGGCCAGCCACTTCGTTCTCGACAGGCCTCCAGGAGCTCTATAATAGCCCTTCTAGCATGGGGCTCTTGTGCAAATCTTCCCGCTATGTCTGTGTAAGCCTAGTTCTCTCTCGGAATTATAGAAAGTCACATACCTATAAATAAAGCCTGTGAAGACATTATGCTGGACGCATTGTCCTTCAAGGTCATACCGATAGCACAAATCTTCTGCACGCAGCGCGTTATTGTGCTTTGTCGCTCAAGATGTCGCTCCAATCCGCCTAAGCTGGGTTCATGAAAGACCAAGAGGAGACACGATACGTTGAAAAATTGGACCGCGACAGCTGCATGGCTAAATTAGTTTGTTTCCACCGGCCATAACAAGGTTTCCATGAGAATACATACCAAAAGCTGGTGGACTAATCCATATGGGCTGAAAGCATGAGGCCTCGCGTGACCTAACCGGCAATGGGGAGAACTCAACGGTCAGATGCCGTTGCCAGTCTTCTAACATAATCCGAAGTCGCATTGCTTCATTAATTTGATATTGGATGTTTTCTTGGGTTGTCACAGTGGCACAGTAACTGACCACCTTTGCGGTGATATAGATAGAGCGCGTAGCGAGCTCGTGCGGTAATAACGCAGAGAGAGGCTTTTGTGGAACCCAAAACGTAAGAGTCTTGCGTTTCTCGCGGAAAGCAGCCCATATGTCCTGGCACAGCCATGCCCACCAGACGGCTGAGCTTAGCCCTCCAGTTTCTCCGTGTATCGTTTGAGATCTTTGGATTAGGAAGACTCCTTCTAGGTGACGCTCCCAGTCATCAGTAGAGTTGTCGAGCATTTCATAGGCGGAAATTATCAAGGCAGTTGAAAGCAGCTCCTGGCTCATCTTGTAGGCACTAGACTGCATAGCCCTTCCCACGTAATGGAGGGTTTGGTAGTAGTATTGGAGGGCTCCTTCCGGCTTGCTTGTGATGTCTTGATCATCTAGACTAGGGTTTAAGGCCAGGTGCCGAAAGGCAAGAGCTAGTATGGCATTCAGAAGCCCAGCATTGTGCAACTGGAGCCCAGTCAGTTTCCAACCCAAAATAATATCCATTTACCAGGACTCGACTTACCGCTAGGTGCGCAACTAGCGTAGAGAATTTTTGGTCGGGTCAAAAAGATCAATCTGTGAGGGAAGGTTATCAGGCGAGGGTACACCAGTTAGGAAGGTAAGCGCGGTGACCTACCCAGGGGCTAACGTGATGTATAAAATGCTCAAACAACGTTTGCTCCGCCGGTGAAAGCTCTATTGGTTCCCGTGACTGCCAAAGCTGTCCATCCACCAACGCGCTGCGCTCAGTGAAGGGGCCATCCGTCACGTCCTGGGTGGCAGTCACATCTTGACTGGCGGTCCTGCCAGCAGGGCCATCTAACACCTGAGTCGCTCGCTGTAGCGAGCTGGGCTGTGGTGGACCATCACCACTCTGGTATCCAAGCGTGAGGGGTTGGGTCTCCCAGGTATCAGAGAGAGTCGATAGCTGTGGGCCATCGCTGGGAAAGCCACTTGCTAGTAGCCCTAACCATCGTACTGCCGCTAATGATGCGGTGGATGGTGACAAGTAATCGCCATGCACACCTTCCGGACTCTGGCTCAGAATCTGCTCGTTCTCCAGTTGATATTCCAGCAGGTCTGGTGGATGGGGATCAGGGTCCGCTTCCGAAGCAGTCCCAGCATGATCAGAGGCTCCATGCGGTTGGTAGTGCACTGGACCTTCGTTGTAATCACTTGAGATATGGTCAATGTCCCCCGCTGGAGGCGATGTTTGCTGCGTGTTTGATGAAATAGGAAGATCCCTCGGACCGGCCTTGTTGGTGGCTGCAGAGTCGACGTTGTGTTGGCTCAAGTTGGCGTAGTCACATATCTTTTCCTTTTTGGCACACGGGCCACATGTCGGCTTAACTTCATCACATTTCATGTGCCGCTTCCGACACGTCAGGCTACATAGGCTGCGTCAAACACGGCACAAGTTTTGAATGCAAGGTCCTTACCATCCGTCCTTAGTCCGCAACCCGCGCCCTCGGGACTTTCGCTTGCGTTGCCATCTGGCGGGCGAGCGTGGGCCAGCCATGGAGTCATCATTCCATGTATTACATATACTGTCGAGAGTCGAGCCCATTCTGAATGCCGTTTGCTGTCCTCGTCTCGAGGAACCTGTTCATGTGAAGACACGTGATCCCCACGTTCGGGGCTACCTCGGAGGTTGGGGTTTCCCAGCCTTGGCTGTGGAGAGAAGCGCGGGGTGTCCCCGAGACGGTCTCAGCCCACTTTCAGCATTCCCAGATAAACTGGAGAACACTCAGGGATTAAGAGTTAATTTTATCTCGTTTTTAACTCTTCTCTTAGGAAACACTCTCTAGCTGTATTGCGCAACCTAAGCTGAACAGAATCTTGCGAAACGCGTCGAGCATCCCTATCTTCACCATGTCACCACAGATTAACACTCCATTTCAAGCCCACGACGCACGATTTCACAAGATACTGGGCTTATCTCCATCATTAGAGCTATTAGCAGAGAATCACGACTACGCCTTCGCCCACGAAGCCGGAATCTATATTCCCAGCACCAACCACCTCTTCATCACCAGCAACAGATGCACCAGTCCAGACGGACAGCAAAAAGTGCACATAACTCGAGTTGATCTCAACGAGTCCCCTGCAACTTATGAAGAAATCTCCACCGACATACCTATGGGTAATGGAGGAATCAACTACGGCTCCGACCATGCCATCTTCTGCGCACAGGGTTCCATGATTCAGCCGAGTGGAATATATCAGATATCACTCACAGCTCCATACGAGTCAGAGCTGCTAGTTGGGAGTTTTTATCGCCGGCCATTTAACTCCGTGAACGACGTAGTCGTGCATACGGATGGATCGATCTGGTTCACCGATCCCATCTACGGCTCCGAGCAGGGTTACCGACCAGCGCCGTGTTTACCAAACCAAGTGTACAGATGGTGCCCCGCTGATAATTCCATTCGTGCGATGGTGGATGGTTTTGGAAGGCCGAATGGCATCTGCTTTTCGCCGGATGAGAAGGTCGTCTATGTTACTGATACTGATCGTGTTCATGGGGATGGCACTATCGATGACACACGGGTGTCCTCGATGTATGAGCTTTGCCCCTCCAAATATTTTGGTCGATAAGTTTGGATAGCTGACTCGAGATCAATATTATAGATACGCCTTTGATATCTCCATGTACCATGGAGAGCCATTCCTGATAAACCGTCGGCTGTTCGCGATGGCAGATGCTGGCATCCCGGACGGGATCAAGTGTGACATTGACGGAAATGTATATAGTGGGTGTGGCGATGGAATCAATATCTGGTCCCCTGGGGGTGTTCTCCTCGGTCGAATTATAATTGAAGGAGGTGTTGCAAACTTCTGCTTCGGGAAGAATGGGCAGATATTTGCTCTCAATGAGCATCGCTTATGGAGGGTTAGTTTAGATAACGGGGTGAAGGGAGCACTACTTGGGATATGAGAATTTTTACTTTAGTTAATACAACTTAGAGTATTGATAGAGATACATCAAGAATGAAGATGAAACCCTAATGAAGGTATATCTAAGTCATGAAATTACATCCGGAGATAGCTGTTGTATACTCCTAATTCCTTAGGACTGGTGATTTGTTGAATGTCCCACTAGGACCATGTCTCTTAAGACCTATGGGAATCGCAGAAAAGCGCCATCGAAGAAGGAACAAAGCGGATGTTGGAAGAGTTGGTTTAGTATCTCAGATTGATTTTGAAGATCCGATAGTTGATATTGAGATGACTATAACTTGTTAGTAGGATGGAGATAGTGAACCCTTTCAAAGTGGTGCTTTTGGTTAACAGGAATTGAAGAAGAGCCAAGAATATGTCGCTGTAGGTATTCCACTCAACTACCTTGAATTTAGCCTCGAATATTGGATTTACAGAGGGACTGCCCTTTTGGGCTTTTGTCGTTTTCAATTCATAAGTTAGGATAGGTATGAGTAGATCAACACAGTTGGAATTGCACACCGGTTTTTGGGGATAAGCCTGTTATGCCTAAGGCAGCACATTCGCATCTACGGAGTACCGGGGTTACCAATATGCATGTATCCGCATACTCATCTGCCACGTCACAGAGAGCCCTTGACCATCATGTTTTGTTTCTCTTTCTATCAGATGCATGTGTGTGTGTGTGTTGCTAGCTTCCAAACATTTGATTGAAGCCACGCTGACAATTTCATTCCTTCCAGTGATGCAATCTTCTTACAGTTGTTATTATATCATCTGTTCATGGTTACTTGAGTCAGATGTTGCCCTCACAGGAATTCTATCAAGCGGTTCGGAACCTACGGAAGCTAACAGATCAACCATCCCAAGAACACTCTTATCGAGACATCCTACCTTCCCAGTCAGCAAAGCACTCACTGAAAGCCGAGGACGAGATGCAGCTTTCCGATGATATTGCCTTCTTAGCTCAACGGGAAGAGGGTGTCGAATATGTGACAGCTGTGACTCTTCAGGAGAAGGCATATGGGCTTGTCATCTGTCTCGCTAGCAACCACACGCCACCAAATCAAACAGTCCACGAATTGAACGAAATCATGGCTTTGGTGAGCAAATACGCATCCGAAGGTAATTTCTTGCTTCCATGCAAATAATGTATTCAGTATGCTGACTTATATAGGAAAACACCGGGCTGAATTTCGCGCCAAAATCTTCGACATGGTTGTTGATATTCGTGGTGATCGAATTCTTGCTAGAATTCGACCCCCTTGGTTGCCACAGCCTAGCCACTATTACAAGCGGAGGCCCTTTCTGCTCTCACAGGTTCAGGCATTTGTTAATGAGATTTCTGGGATTGGTAACCAGTTACCGGATTTTGAAATCTTGGTGCAGCAGGCGCGCCAGCTGATAGCCTGCCTTTTGCCTTTCGAAGAACATGATCCCCAGAGTATGAGAAAGGAGCACCTGAAAGATGTCATAGTAAGGTGTGCTAGGTTGGCTGACGTTGGTGGGACGGGATTGCTAGAGGAACACCTTCGACGGCTTCAAGTTTCCCCCCAAATCCGCGACAGAGGTGGAATACGTCAAATTGACAAGCTTGCACGATACTTCTTTGTATGTCGAGATCTTATCAGAGTTGGTAGACGTCCAGAGTACAAATCCCTTTTCTGCAACATTGCCATTAAAACGTTGAAAGCTTCTGAAGGGAGGAAACCACAAGGTTTTTCCTCTATGTGCTTTGTTCACGCAGAGATGCAGCAGATTGTGCATTACATGAACCATCCTCATGATCCTAGTCCGCGGTTCATCGGATGCAGCAAGTCCGCATGCTATCTCTGCGATATGTTCATACAGAAGCACAGCGGGTACCGAATCTCCCATGCTCACCGGCGGCTTTATCATCAATGGACTTTACCTGATCTGGATTATTCAATTTCCGAAGAGGCTCAGCGGGTGCAAGTTATATTGGACTCTATGACCAAGGAAATGGCTGCTATCGTCAGAGGGTTCCAGTCAAGTCTTCGCGCACCCAAGCAGCACGGAGCGGAGAGCCTGGCATTCTTACCTCTTACTAGTGGCTCGACGGCGAGCAATACTTCAACTGTCACACAACAACGTTCTATATCTCAAATTTCCCCCATATCGAGCCTTGAGTCGCATGATGATACCGAACCTGCAAACAGTGCCTTGTCCAAAAATAGATGCGAGGACCTGTCTAGCAAAAGTGGCAGTGCGTCTTATCTCGTTCTCAATCAAGGCGACTTGCCATATTCAATTGATATCAAGGACATTGAACACGCTTTTTTTGTTCAGATCGATGCAATTATTCTTGATATTGCCTTCGTTACTCGTGGAAAGCTTTCAATCCACCACGCAGTGGATAATACACGGCCCCGAGATATTATAGATATCTGTCGGCTATCTACAATTAGTGAAACAAAGGTGGCTACTAGCTCATCTGTATTAGCTATGCAACTATGCTTGCGTCATCCCAATGGTTTTACAATGATTCTTGACTTTGTCCAGGATGAGGTTTGATTTATTCCAAAAGTAATTATTCCCGTCCTTCCGGGTGACTAGATTGGCCATAAATTGCTTGCAATCCCAGGCTATCCACGAGTTACCCCAAGAAGCTCCTGTGCGTTATCAACCAAAAGCTGCTTCGTTTTTTCCAATCCAAATAGACTCTCTAGTCCCTCATCCACTCTCTTAGCCAGTGACTCAACCAGCGCTGCAGGGGTATATGGATAGTCACTCCCATAAACTAATCTAGATGAATCAACCAGCCGTAGAAGACCATGAATCTGATCCGGAAATGGCACACCCGCAAGATCAAAATAAAAACGCGTCTGCAACAGCTTCTTGATCTTCGCTGCGTTAATCCCACCCCCCGAACCCGGAATCATAGACGAGAACGCCGCGATCCTCTCCATAATCGGAGGGAAAGTCGCACCACAATGACAAACCACGAAAGTAATCCCAGGACATCGTTCGACAGTCCCAGAAGTAAGCAAATCCATAAGCGCCCGTGTCGAATCGAACATAAACTCCATAATAGGTGCAGGAACACCAGGGAGCGGTATCACCTTTTCAACAGAATCGTCGTCATCACCATGCCGGATAAGACAAGTAGTCGGGTGAAATAAGGCAATGGCTTTTCGCTCACTCAATTTGTCAAAAACGCGTGTAAAGCGCTGATCGCCAGGGTAGATGCCGTGCGAATTGGTCAGGATCTGAAACCCCACTGCGCCAAGATGGTCCAGTGCATAGTCTATTTCTGCAAGGGAGCCTTCGACGTCTGGGAGGGGGAGGGAGGCGAAGAAAAGGAAGTGGGTTGGGTGATCGGCGCAGATTTTGGACATGTCGATGTTGGCGCGGCGGGTTACGGATCGGCCTTCTTCGTTGTTGCCCGGCGTTAGATGGGTTGCTGGAGATGACATGCTCAGGACTGATTTCTTGATTTTTAGCTTCTTCATTAGGTTGATGTGTGCTTCAGCGCTCCATTCCTGGGTTCTTGTGTTTAGTACGGGAATTCGATATGAAGTTCAGGTTTAAGAGGGTCTCACTGGGATCGCGGGCATTCCATCTGGGTGGCCTTTGCCTGCAAAGTCGCTTTGTAGGCAATACTCGCGATACGAGGGTGGCACGCAGTGGGTGTGCACATCGATTCTCTCCATTTTAGATCTTGCGAGTGTGTAGTATTTTCTGAGGGCTTGCTGACATTGGCGAGTTTATGTACTGAGATTGACTTTCCTAGTTTGGATTCTTCACCGGTTTTCTCATGAGACAAGCACTTGTCGCTTACCGACTCCATGTCAAACACAAGGATGCATGTCGTGTTACCACTCCTCGTTCTTTATTGCCAATGCCGTGGAACAATGAACCCAACAGGCTGGTTTGGCAAATGGTATAGCTTTGAAACGGATCGCGGTTTAGATAAATGACTATATCAGATCTAGTTTTGGCAGTTCCTTCGGCTCAACAATCAATCCTCTTGCAGCCAACAGCCGCGCCTGGGTGAGTTTCAGAAACCGGTACGTATTATCCAAAATCGGTGTGCTCACACCCTTCTCCCTCCCAACACGCAAAGCATTCCCCAGAATAACCTCCACCTCCATGGGATTCCCTTTATCCACGTCCACCAGCATACTTGGTCGGAAAGACAACTCGAGAGGAGTGATATCTATTAGCTCATCCACAATTCCCGGTCCGAGATCATACCCATCCGCCTTCGCAATGGCGGCCATCTCCATCATACCGGGTCTAATCAAACTATTCTCCCCGCCGAATCGCCGAATCGCAGCACTGTCAAGCTGAGTGATAGCGCACATCGGATTGAAAATTCCATTCCAGAGCACCTTTCGCCAGCGATAGAAGACTATATCATCAACGACCTCTGCATCGACGACTTTGCTCCCGTTATAAATTTTCGCGAACTCTTCGAGCTTGGTGCGCTCGAATGCCGCGTCCACGGATGGATTGTGGAATGTGCCGATGTGGAAGCGATCATGGTCGTCGTGTACCACATGGCCGTTGTGTTCGTGTGCGCCGATGAAACTTGGCGCTGACAACACGACGTTTGTGGGGAATGCAGCGATGATTGGTGGTTCGATATACAGTCCATTTTGGAATAGGACGATCGTTGTATGATCTGGTGTTATCGCTGGAGATATGATCTTGGGGATGTTGTTCACTTCCGGGATGTTCTTCATTGTGACAATCACATAGTCAAATGGAGTGTTGGGGTCGGCGAGGGGGACCGTATTGACGACTATCTATGTGTTAGCTTTGAACTTGGCTGTTTTTCGCATGTGACTTTTCGAAGATTACATACTTGCGCTTGGTCTCCAGGATGATAATTTTCCATGGTCGATGGACTCAATTTCGAATCCATGCTGGACAACCTGTTCATAATTGGACCGGAGAACAGAAGTGACAGACGCCTCTCCTGATCTTTCGAGGGCGACGCTGACCATCGTCCCCACACCACCTGATCCAATCACCAACACTCGGCGCTTTGCCATGCTTGTAGTATCTTCAGACATGTTGAGCTTGTGACACTGGAGACAGTTTCATGAACAATATGCTTTCGAATTTATAAATCACCCAACACCCCACCGAGATGCAATGCGGGAGCAGGCCGATGTCGCATCTGATTAGCTCGGGATCTACTTCTTCCCCTCTTATCTACATTCTACCGCCTCTCACTGGATGACCACGCCGAAATATTTTCATCCCCAATTTGGTTGTTGTTATCGAGTTTGTAACACTTTTGCGTTGAAGTCGGAAACTATACCTCCAAACCAGTGTTCCACCATGGACGCGTCAAACTATATTCCCATCAACTGATCGGATGATAAAAAGTGATGTAAGTAACATGGCCTTTCAAATAACCTCAAATCATCACCTATGCATCTCCAAAATAGCAATTCAAGATGAAGAACCCAGTGAAACAAATGCGCTTCCCAGAGCTCGAGAGCTTCCTCGACTACGTGAAAGATATCGCAGAGACCTCTGGCAGATGGGTCAACTGGCAAATAATCCGTGGCAAGCGCCATGTATGGTGGGAGACTGACCGGGACGTGCTATCTCGATGGGCGCAATCTATCATCGAAACAGAAGAGCGCCTGCGCGAAATCACTCAACACGAGAGCTTCGTCAAGGACTGTATCCAGAAAATCAATGCGCGGTCCGACGAAGCAGCCAAAACTATTCTGACAGATTGGATCGAGGACATGATATCGCTGGACCACGAATACTCCCGTCTCGAGCGGATATACGACACCATGGTAGCGGGTTGTCCTGTCAGCCCTATCAAGAGTGGATATCTGTGGATTCGAAAGCAGCCGCAGTGGCATCTTAGAAGTGAGTGGTTACAAGAGGATTGTGCGCGACGTGGCGGATGCTGTGGTCGTCCGTGCAAATGTTGTGAGAGACCACCTGACCCGACGAGGAAGAAGGGTTGGGGTCATTGTACGGCTCAGTGTGCTTGCTGTAATGTTGAGCGTGGACGTCGATTGAGTGAGAGGGAGCTGAGATTGTTGCAGCCGGATTTTGATCTTACTGTTTACCCATGGAGTGATTATAGTCGAGAGATGTTTCGTGCGTATATCTGGTCGCTTCACTAGGCTTTTTTGATAGTTTACTTCGAAAAGATGTTGCTTGGATGTCTGCTCGATATATAGTTCTAGTTGAGAAATCGAGTCCTGTATTGTGCCTTACATGGAGTCCAGTTCAAATACCGCAGCAAACAATCAAAACAAGGAGGGCTGCATATCCTGGGCCTGAATATGCAGGTCACGATAGAACAGAGGCAATTTTGACCGCAATAATCCAGAGTCCCCTACCAGGTATATTGCAGTATCCTGATTTATACCGCTTACCATTTGTCACCAGTTACTTCCTCTTATCACTCAAAGGTAAAATTGGTTTGCAAGAGCTTGTGAAGGCAAAGTCAAAGATACCTGATTGTAGTAACCGTGCGAATCAAAGATGAGGGGAAGCTTCTCAAAAGCCGAAGTCCGCCAAGCCGGCAAGTTTCACACATCCTGATTCGACCGAGTTGTTAGTATCAGGATCACCTGGTATACTTCCAGTTTCCCCGCAATATATTATTGATAAGGATTGTATCTTCGACAGGGCATCAGATTGCTTAAAGGGAGACTGCTATGCCCATATTCGCCCAAGTTCACTCTTTCCAGCTAACCCTCAACTATGGAGAACAACGCCGATCGAGATGAGACCATTTGGCCTCCAGGAACAGTCATACTAGAGAATAGTAAGTGACCACTACCAAACAATACTACGATACAGATATAACATGAACTTACCAACTCAGTTCACCAAACCAGAGACCAATTAGTCCTCTTCCCCACCCCATCATCCGACCCCAACGATCCCCTCAATTGGTCAACATCTCGCAAAATTCTTAATTTCACTCTCGTCAGCTTCTTCGTGCTATGGACCTTTGTACAACTCGACATCGGCTTCACAGCATGGGGCCCAATGCAAGAACAGCTCAACTTCACACTCGATATAGTAAACGCTGGAGCAGCCATCAACTATGCCGGTCTAGCCGTGGGCTGCATTTTCTTCATGCCCCTAGTCCACAAGTACGGCCGACGCCCAATCTACATATTCAGTGTCGCCCTGCAGTTTGCATCATGTATCTGGCAAGCCCAGACATACACCGCCGGCGATCTACTGGGCAGCAACTTGATCTCCGGCATCGGCGGCGCAATCAGCGAGATCATCGTGCAGGTTACAATCGCTGATATGTTCTTCGTGCACCAGCATGCCACAATGAATGGATGGTATGTCATCGTTCAGTCAGCAGGGGCTTTCCTTGGTCCCGTGGCATCGGGATACATTGTCGTCGCACAAGGGTGGAGGTGGATGTGGTGGTGGTGTGTCATTTTCTTCGGCGTCACACTACTCTGTGTGGTATTCCTTTTCGAGGAATCGAAATATATCCCTGTTCTGGATGGTCGTGACGTTGTCGAGGATGCACAAGTGACTGGGAAACCATCTGAACCAGCCAAGGACGGGGACGTATTGGATTCCAAGGGCGCCAGTGAGACAATCACTAGTCGCGTACCTACCAACCCGAACATTCAGCTGAAGACGTATTTCCAGCGGATGGCTTTGGTGACTGTCACTGACGAATCGCTGTGGCCGCATTTTTATCAACCAATTGTGGCGCTCTTTACCTTCCCGGCTGTCGCGTATGCGGCTATCACATACGGGTCTACACTGAGCTGGTTCGCGATCATGACTTCGCTACAGGCTTCTTACATGATTCTACCGCCTTATAACTTCGATGCTGTTGGGGTTGGGCTCATGAATGTGGCTCCATTTGTTGGTGCTGTTCTCGGTTTCCCCTTTGGTGGACACTTGAGCGATAAATCCATTTTGTGGTTATCCAAGCGCAATGGCGGTATCTACGAGCCGGAGATGCGTCTTTGGCTTGCTCTACCTATTGCCATTGTTAGCCCTGTGGGAATTCTAATGTTCGGTTTGGGTATTGCCTATGTGAGTAGCGCGATCAAAACATGGAATTTGCACCTTTTTAACACTATCTAGGGAGCGCACTGGGCCCTTCTTGCCGTGGGATTCGGATTCTTTGGATTTTCACTTGCTGCCATTAGCGGTATCACGCTTTCGTACCTCATGGATTGCTATCAAGACGTTGGTTGCCTATTTCATTTTGGGTGGGTATCTCTTGCTAACTTGATGGCTTCTAGATTATCGGTGACGCATTGGTCGGAGTGATCTTTATGCGAAACATTTTCTCGGTGATTGTACTTTTTGTGTTAACGCCCTGGGTTGAAGCGATGGGCATGCGAGACTTGCATATTCTGGTTGCTGTTATCGCGTTTTTGATCCTATTGATCCCTGTCCCCCTTCTCATCTGGGGTAAGAAAGCCAGAATTGCTACGGCGCCGAGCTATAGGAGAATGGCGGCAAAGCAGCTTAGCCATCGGACAATCTAGATAGTAACCTACAACTTGAATATACGACAGATTGGAACTCGCCTTTGTGTTTGATGAGACTCTGCTTTCTTCAAGCAAAGGACACCTGAACAATGACATCAAGAAATGGTATAATATTTTGAGACAATCTCATGAAAGTATTTAAAAGTAATAAGACTATATAGTAAAGGCGTTAAATGTTAATGAAGGTATCACAAAGAAGAATATAAATGAGCGTGCCAAAGTTTTGTTGTTACCCCAGACTCCCCCCGACCAACCTGTGCGATCCGCACCCTTTTCATTCCGCGAAGATTTCGCAGATCTAGACTCTCTCCATCGCCTTTTCATCTTTGTAGTTTTGGTACGGAGACTCGTCAATACGTTGCTGAATCACAAACGAGTCATTTTTCTTGTGACAGGAAGTGATGGTGGTGGTTATGGTTCCCGGATTGCTTGAGCTCACAAGAGTCCTATCAGACATCTCGGATACATTGTTCTTGGAGCGAATTTGAGACCAGAAGTTGCGATTACCCAACTTGAACAGAGGGCGGAGGTTAGGGAGACAGGCAGCTGTGATTCCGACTGCTGCTTCCATACAGGTCCACACGATGACGGGGACTTGGTTGTCTAGACAAGTGGTCAGTGGTATAGATCAGATTGAAAGGAATATCAGAATGGTAGATACTTACAGGTAATATCAGGGCCCATGTTAACCAGATTAATCATGGCATTGAGGCGGAAGATACTGAAGACCAAGGTTCTAGACATGAAGTGTTAGTATTCTTCCACCGACAAAGATTTGACTATCAAACATACAGGCCGCCGACGAGGAATACTCCAGAAAGAAGCATTTTCTGGGTCTTGGGGATCGGTAAATTCCACACAACTCCCATGGGCATCATTAAGAGGATAACGTCGGTGAGGATGTTGGGGATCTGCATGCCATAGTAGAATTTGGCTGGGTCAAGGCAGGCTCCTGGAATTGACGGGTCCCAGAACTTGCTGACGGGAATGCACAGAAGAGCGCCGGCGACGTAAACACCTACAACCCAGAGAGTGACGAATCCAAACATCACGTTCACTGCAATTGCCATCTGTCGGACTGCAAACAGTCGCTTGTATAGGGCGAGAATGGAGTATTTAATGAAGGCAATGCAGCCGGTGTAGATAAAGGCGTTGGCAAATCCAAGCTATCTCGAGTCAATATGGGTACTTGATATAGGGCTGAGATGTTACATACCTTAAAGTAAACCAAGAGATTCTTTGCTGGGATCATTGTGACGTGGGACCCCATTCCATTGTACAAGACTAGTTTGGTGTTAGTTTCAAGTTGGCTGAATGGCGTATTTTGATACCACTCACGAACAACGACTCCACTAGAGCATGCATATTTGAAGAACAGAGCCATCATAATCAAGTAATCGTCCATGAAGAGCCTGCTCCCGGTCATCTTCCTCGCCAAGATCCTCAAGGCAACAGAAAAGGTCGACAAGGTGTAAGCAAACACCAATGCAATAATCATCGACCGGCGGAATTCCTGGTTCGGGTGTTCGAAATCTCCTTCTGTCCACGTGGGAACGGAGGAATGTTCTGTGGAAGACATGACAGGCAGGTCCGGTGGATCAAGACCAACAACGAGGCAAAATTAAACGAGAGTAAGTTGTTGGTTTGAAATATTTGAAATCATTTAAAGCTGCGTTGTGTCTTTAATATACTTGAGGGAGATGAGAAAGGGAGAAGGGGGACCCCATCTATGTATGTATCCTGGATCTGTCATATCGTTCGAGATCCACGAAAATAACGCAAAGGTCATGGGAATGGTTCACAGATCACATTGTTGACAGGGCACGGCTTAGGCACAGATGGCACTTCAGCCACGACACGGTCCAATGCGAACTGGAGTGGTAGCATATTGCCTTGGAAAAAGCAAGATGGGGCTAATCAACGGCCAGCCAGATCATAAAGCAAGAAAGTATTTTGTGCCTTGGCCGTAGATATTCTGTACCAATCATATGGAGGCAAAGGAAGTCTTTCCCGACGTGTCAACTTGGGAAGTGGATATATCAGATTTACGTTTGACATTCTGAGATCCACTTTGTTGCAAGACATTTTTCCCGAAAGCCCAGTGGATAGAATGTGGTAAATGGAATGACAGCATGTGCTTGCATATGCTGGCATTTTGCTTTTTAGTTTGAAATAATTATTGGAAATATGGAGTGAAGAATGATTCATTGCCTTGTAGTCAAGTCCTTCACGGAAGATTAATCAAGGATATTTGACACTCATCTACCCCACGCAAGGGATCAACAATAAAGGATAGACTGAGTTTTGAAATAGATAGACCGGGGTAGAGTTTTCTAGCCTCTAGGAGAATAATTAGAAATAGATATACCGCAGTACCTCAATTGACTGACAGTTGTCTCCATATGTTCAACGCACAACGAATCCGAAAACGCCATGATCGTCCAATTATTGGAAACTATGCGGGTCATGGAATACACTTTGGAAGTCGCCGTTTTGGCAGATCTTCTCGTATACCATAGTCAAGTCGAAGGTCTGGGGCTTACCCAATATGATATGTCCACTAGACAGCGGACACCTCCGATTGAAGCCCACATGGTAGCTTCTAGTGGGAACTAGCCGTTAGGTATTTGATCCACATGGCAGTGTCTTTGTCATTAATTACGAGCGTGAATATACGTCTCATGCACGATTGTACTCGATTGCACTGGATTGCACTGGACTTGCACCTAGATTGATGATCTCCAGTTGCTTTTCTTGCACTGTCACACAGAAATGCAATCTTGAATGCAATATTACCTGCAATCTTAATTGGAATTGTTCAATACATTGTATAAGCACAGATTTGTGCAACATAATTCAAAACTTAATTGTCCGGAAAATGCCAATCCACCTTCGCACTGAAGATCCCTGATCTTCGCAAGGGGAGGCACTCTAGGGTTATATCGGAGATTACAACGTCTGCCCCGGCCCCCCACAGAATATATCATTGGAAGGTCCACCTAGATATCTTTCCACCTCAAAGTTTCTGCCCTTACCGTTCTGTATCCCAATTCCCTTGACAAAGTTCGAAGTCCAAGGCGGTCCCTTACAATAATGGACTAGCAAAGTATTGAGTGTGTACATTGATGGACCCGGCGTGCCATAGTAACCCCAGGTGTTGGCAAAGTGGCGAGAATTCAAAAACGGTAAGTGTCCAAGATTGCTATACACACTACGAGCAAGTTACACACCCACAACACGCACAGGTCCATTCTATTGGGACAAGAAACTTCGAGTGCAAACACTCACTGGGTGCCAGATATGTATGTATTCACAGCTGCCGCAATTCAGCTTCTGAGCTGCACCTGTACAATCCAGGGAGACGACATGTCAACATCTCAAAGCCGCACGTCATTTCCCAGTTTGCATAATTCCCTCCATGACTCGAGACGAGGCACACCCCTGTCTCCCAACTCTTTCCAGGCGCACAATCATACATCATTGGATGTTGAGGAAATATTTTGCTCCATCTGGCCCCACCGTGGGCCTACGATAAACCGATTAACATCGTTCCGATCCAATTGTTGAATCCGATAGCAATCGAACTAGGCATGGACCTTTCCAATCAAAGCTTTAGATGCATGCGATCCAACAATTAGCGTCAAGCCACACGATCGATCAAAGAAATCCCCTTCCACCAAAATATTTCATCCAAGTTCTTTCCACTGAAATATCATCATCGGATTGCAAATCCTACAACATGACCAAGGTTGCTCTTATCACCGGCGGCAGTATGTACTTTTCCCCAATTTTCAGATCATTCATTGACCAAAGTTCGAAAAACAGCTAGTGGGATCGGCCTTGCAGTTGCCAAAGACCTGAGCCAGACCGATAGTTGGCAGGTCAACATTATCGGCAGCAATCAAGAGCGAGGTCAAGAAGCAGCAGCTTCCCTCTCAAATGTCACATTCTACCAAGCCGACGTGCGAAATTACCAACAACTAGCCGCGGTATTTGACCAGATATTCAATGCCACTGGTCGGATAGACTTTGTCTTCGCGAATGCCGGAAGAGCAGACTATGCCGATTTCTTCGCCGAGTGTGAAACCGGCATCCCGCCCGACCCGGGTTCCGAAATTGTCGATATCAATGTCAACGGCGCTTTATATACCAGTTATCTTGCGATGCATTATTTCCGTCGTTCTCCAGAGTCGACGAAAGGGCATAGAAACTTGATACTCACGTCGAGTATCGGCGGACTATACCCGTGTATGCTAAGTTCAGTGTACTCTGGTACTAAACGTGGGTTGAGAATAAACAGTTTGAACAGATCTCTTATAAGGCCTGGCTAATGGATTTCTAGACGCACTCGTTGGATTCACCCGTTCTGTCGGAGAGCGGCTTTGGGCAGAGGGGGTCCGGGTTAATGCTCTGTGCCCTGGAGTGGTGGAAACGCCCCTTTTAGCCGTTGAGGCATTTTACAAAATCTACCCACGGGATATATTTATCCCTATGGACGTTGTAACAGGTGTAGTATCACAGCTACTGTCTGGTGGGGATATGGTAGACGCTAAAGGGATGCGTGTGGCTGGGGATGAGATGCATTCCCGGGCTGTGCACGTTTCAGGAGAGAGCTTCCTTTTCATTGAAAAGCCCGAGATTCATGACGAGCAGACCCAAATGACCTGGGCTGCAATGATGGGACATAAATAATCTTTTGAGGGCTTTGTCAGGATGGTCCGACTGCTTCATAGACAACTTTTGGAGTAAAACAATTTTTAGACTAGACCATTATATGTTTGTTCATGTGGAAGGCATCTTGCGTATACAATTATCTAGATTGAACCAGTAGATTTGGTCTCCGCGGTCCCTTGCATTCCATACCGAGGATATGGAGCGCGTAACTTGAAGCTGCCATTGCTGGGAGAATGTCACGACTTTATGAATCTTGCGAGTGACTGCGGCCCGCGCTTCAGCCCCGTCAATCTCAAAGCATGCAGCCATATAGGGTAGTGGCATGCATGGTATTGAGCGCCCTGTCGATTGCAATACCATATCGATCTTCGCGGTAATAGCACTGGACAGCTGCAATGCTTCCTTGTCGCGTTGGCCAAAGGGATGGCGTATCCGATGTACAATAAGCAAAGCCGCAAGACGGAGGATCTCAGCCTGAGCGAGCATCCCCAAAACCTCAGACTGAGTAAATTTCCCAAGAATTTCTGGTGAGGGCGATGATTGCCATCGCTCCAGAGAATCTTGTATCGTGTCCAGTCGTTCCACCATCTCAATATTAATTCTTCCACCAGTAAGCTTCATCGAATAACTGGCCTCACAGATATCATAGAAGTGAGCAAAAAGCGACGAGCTAAGCCCAAGATACCGATCAACCACATTGTAGCGATCATGTTCACCGATGCGGATAGTCGGAATCTCAGACCTCAGCAGACATTCAATCGTCTCCGTACTAACCAAACACATCAAGAAATCCATAGCACTAGGATCCATAGCCAAGATAGTCCGATACACCGGTTTGACCAGCGTCAGCGTATAATGCGATATAAGAAACGGCTGACCATCGGCAACATGCATAGCAAACGTCACCATAGACATGCCAACTACGAGCGCAGTAACCAGATCTTGCTCCTTGGATATTTTCAATGACCGCAACCCCGACACAGCCAGTGCAGCTCGTCGGTGTCCGATCTCGACGCTTGTTTTGGTATACTGCGCATATTGGTCTCCAAGGAGCACTGCGGCACAGGCGATTGTGGCGTCTTTCAATACAGATGTGGGGGCGGGTCGGAGCAGGTTCTGCACGAACAAACGGTGGTGTGACTCGCGGAAGCTTGGTCCAATCAGGAACTTGTCTAGCGGGGATGGTGCGACGATGTCTTTCATCAGATTCAAGAAATGCCTTTCCCACTGATCTAGTTCGGGAAACAGGGCTGGGTTGCTGGATAGTCCTTCGTCGAAGGGGAGGTAGGAATGGGGATATGGTGTATTTTGGGATGAAGATAGGTCAAGTGTCTTTGCGCTGCGGGTGACTGAACCGAAGCTGGGTGGAAGATTATAGGATAGTTTTATTGCGACGCGTGGTTTCCGTCCGGGCTTTCCGAGGTTTCGTGTCGTTCTGCAGGTTTGGTTTAAACGGTCACATCGCTCGCACGAGATTGTTGCACTCGGTCGTCGGCATTTTTCTTTTAGTGTGTGACATTGATCGCAGGCTCGTTTTGGGGTGTGGGGGGCCATATTTTGAAGTTATTCGGCTCAACGCATTTGGTACTTGAAACCACTTGAAGGCTATACTTGGAAACTGATCTCATCGTGGATTTCAAAGAGAGGGGGGCATATCTCCCAGACATCAAAATACATGATAAGGTCGGGTGGACTTGACAATTGCGTGCAAGCGTGCAAAGCGTGCGGGGATACCCCTATAGCATTGCCGTTTTAGCTTGTGATCGCTCTATAGCCTTCTATCTGCTATCAATATATTCAACACATTAAACTAGATCTCTTTTAGATAAAATGTCTGCTCTAATTTGTATTGTTATTTGGGAAAGGTCTGCCTACCTTATTTTCCATTATTGCTTCCAATTACATTGCTCAAGATAGACACAGTATAAATGAGATTATCTCAAGCTATGCACGGCGCTTTTACGTCTTCTTTCTGCAAGAGACAAGGTGGGAACACTACTGAGCGAGTCACAGTCTAAAATAAGCAGCCTATTTGGCCCTTCTTTTGCAATATTATTGAAGATCTGCCTATTAAAACGGGGGATAGTCACGCCTATCAATTAAAGATATAGTTTATAACACAATAATCAATACACGCTCCAGTCGTGTAGAGAAAAGAATAGAAATCAATCTCGGCGTTTCAAACTATCCACCATGCACCTCCAAACAGCTTCAGGCAGTCTCCCATGAACCCAATAACCACCGTCCTCCCCATCCCGGTCCCGCGTCTTCCATGTCACCAACAAATCATCCAAGTGATTTTTAGTCTCGCGCAAAAGTCCACAGTAGTCAACACTGCCCTGTACAAAAATTGGCGTTTCGCCTTGGATATCGAGATCATAAAGCGGCAGGTTTTTCCAAGAAGCGATGCGCGGTTGAGCTGCTCTATGGCCATATGATTTCGGCACCATGGGACTTTTCTTCAACTTCTTATGCTGCCCAACGATTTCTCCAATGCATTCGGGCTGCTTGGCCTCGTCAACTGCACGACGGATGTATGTTGCCAGTCGGACCAATGAAGGAGTGGTATATTCGCTTGTCGGCATTGGATCTGGTAGCGGCATCATGTACCAGGGGTTGGAGAGGTTTGTCTCGGACTGGAGCTGTTTTGAGATGTCGATGACTAGCCCGAAGCTGTGGGGAGTAGGTGGATGTAAACAAGCCTGTGCAGGGTGTGGTCTTAGTGAATTTGGTCTGTTTTGGGTTAGCCGAATGAAAGGCGGAACTACTGACCTTGTAGAGAAAAGCTAACAAGAGATCATGCTCGGTTACTTTGACCTTTTTAATTTTAGCCTCTTTTAGCCAGCTTCGGATTTTCCCTCGGGGGATCAACAAGCTCTTGCTGATCCGTCTTGCAGAAGGGTAGCACATGTCCCGCCCGATCTGCTTCCCCAGAGCACCGATTCCGGCTGCCCAAGTGCGATGCATTGAATATTTGTGCAGATCTGCGATCTGATGAGACTGAATCATCTCAGTGCATTTTTCAAGTACTTTGGATTTGAGTGACAATTCTGGTCGGGCATGGAGGGCGTGGCTAATGCTCTCTCCCCTTAAAAGGGTACAATAAGCCTGAACTATGCGATGGGCACCTATAATCGCATTGTCAGTTCTACTGCTTTGTTGCTTTCGGGGATGTCATTTACCATTTGCATCGCAAAGGGGCTGTAGAAACTTGAACCCTATTATGCAGGCATCGTTCAAAAATACCGTTCGTATAGAGAAGACTCGCTGCTTCCATGCATGCAAGAATCCATAGCCAAAGTCTAACACATTATCGAGTGCCTCAGAGTCAACCAGTCGTGGAGAGTCCGGCTTGGAGGGAACTCGGATAATCTCGCTGAGTCTTTGATTGACTGTTTTCCCTTCCCACACCTCAGTCAGATCCCCGGGGTCTTTTGGATGCAAGAATTTTGTCTTCTGTTCAATGTTAGACTTTGCATAGGTTCTGATGTTGTTTGGCACCTACCAACGGGTTCATTCGCAGGTTCAGAACAGGCCATTGCGAGAGAAGGGTATCGGCGGCGAATTGAAAGTCGAGCGGGCTTGGGCTGGTTCTCACAACGACTGAGAGAGTGAATTCGAGAGGTCGGGCATAGCCCATATCAAATGGACTTGGCTTCATGTTAGTAGAAGTGAATGATAATTAGAATGAATTTTAAAAGGACGTAGTAAAATAAAACAATGCAAAACTGTGCTCTATGAAATCAACCAGAAAGTTATATTAATGATAGAATATGGACAGGATGAGGCCATCACGACGATAAATATGTTGGTGTTTGTATGTTTATCACAACTTTAATGTCTCTCCCCACATAATTGTCCTCTGGAATGCGCGCCTTATGGATCTCCGCGAATGAGCTCCTTGGCATACACGATGTGGAATTCCACACCGGTAGAGGCCACATTTGGAATGTTGTATGATACAACTGGTCCCGCACAGGCCTACCTGTCGCTCACAATTGCCGAAAATCAGTAGCAGTCTCGTTTGAGGAGATTGCAAATGCGCCAGTAGGTACTTGTGCACCAATCGCTTGATATTAGTGGACGTTTGCGGAAATCTTGACTTCATTCCCAATTTGACTGCAAGGCACGAATTCTTAGTCTAACGTCAAGTATGATGTTGGACTCCCATCATTGCTCTCATCATTGTGATACCTAACCAATATTATGGTGAGGACAAAGGCATGTCAAGACAACAATTTGTCCGTACTCGACACCATCAGTGTTTATCTGAGCTCTTGTTGTCGAAGTTAATGGCGACGCATATTTCACCATTTTTACTGAAAGCGATGGCTTTTTCAGTGAACTGTCCAATATGATCAGTGATGTAAGAAATCGGAGGATTCTGAGACATCAATAGAAATATCGCTGGATATACATCGGCTGCTTTACCTTGTATGGAGTTTTTTTCGAACAGTAAGATTGGTCCGAAGGAGAGACCATACCCAGCCTCCTTTTGCAACCTGAAACCCCGGTATATCGTGAGACAAATATGAGCCGTTCAAAAGCCCAAGTGAGCAACTAACCAGTAACTAGCGTACGGTGGACGATAATGACTCTCCTGGGGATTTCGACCATCCTTGACACGAAAAGTGCCAACTCTGAATGGCTTCTCAATATCTGTCCCCACGTACCTCGGGCTTTAGCATTGACCGCATTTCCAGCCTTCCCGTCGAGCTTCTCGAATGCATTTGCTCCCACTTGGCCAACCGCGACATCAAGTCTCTACGCTTGGCATGTAAGCTCTTGGTACAGACCGCTCGTGTCCGTCTGAATCGTGGTTTCCTCTCTGCGCACCCATGTAACATCGGAGTGTTCCGCGAAATTGCAGACCACGAAGCTTCCCGGCACAATGTCACCGAAATCATATGGGTTGATGCTCGCTTCATCGAAGGCCCACAGCCGCATCCCCACCCTGTTTGGGAAGTTGACGAGGCGGATATCGACTCTGACGAAGGATGCCCCATTTGGTTTATTGCCGAGTGTAATGAAAACATTCAGAACCTCTATATGCGAAGGAGTATGGAAACGAATTCGACACAGATCGACGAAAAATAAAATCATATCGCACGGGAAAAACAAGCTATCGCGCAACCACCGCTGAAAGTCTGTTGGCAATTATATCAGAATTTATTCTACCCGCAGGAAGACGTGCTGTTATTGAACAGCGATATAGATGCTTTTATCTGTGGAATCAAGCGGTTCCCGAGACTGAAACGAGCCACCATCACCCCCGCAGCCCACGGATGGCTCTGTGCCTCATTATATGAGACGTCTATGATTCAATTCTTTCCATATGGATTCAACTACCCGATTCCACGTGAATGGCCGACATCGAGAGATGGGGAAATGTCGCGGCATGCCTATCCGTGGAAAGAAGCAACCGAGGCCCGGAAGAACCAATGGTGTGCTGTCCGAAATGTGGCATCTATACTCACAGAAATCAAGCACAATGTCTCGGAATTGGTTCTGGATGTCGACCAGCTTCCGATCAGTCTCAATTGCACAATACTTGATCAGCCGTGTGAGGAATACAACTTCTTCATTAAATACTTTGAAGCCCCGGCTTTTGTCGTCTAGATCTGGACCTTACAATCCTTGTGGGAGGGCAAGAAGGTACCATCGGGAACAATGAAGAAACCTGCGTCTCATTCCGCAGCGGGTACCTCAAAGAAGGCTCTAGCCGAGGCAAAAGATATGAGGTATATCAGTCTTGGAACAGAATTCACGGCCAACTGCCTACTCGACATCATGGAGGATCCCAGCCCATTCATTCCACTAAATACTATATTCCCTGTAGAGGACTGGCCAAAATTCCGTTGGTTCACATTATCAAATTTAATTGTGAAGCAATCGGACCTGATAGACTTCCTTGCTGCACTTCTGAAGACCATATGTTCCATCGAATTGAATTTCCTCGAATTGATTGACAGCAACCGGCATAATCTGCTCACTGAAATACGTGATACATCATGCTAAAATCAGCGAGACAAGGCAGCAAGACCCAAACTCATTGTTGGGACAGCGGAAGATTCGCGCCTGGTAGGATTAGGCATCTGGCTGGACAGCGAGCTACACGAATTTCTTTAGGGGATGGACCAAATCCTTTTTATCCCAAGATGGCGAATTTCTAGAGAACATGAGCACTTGCCGGGATACATTTGAGCCGGAACATGATCGGCCCAATATGAACCTGTTCACTCTAGGGTACTATAAGGCGTAGCTCGCTGACATGCTGTATTCATATTTATAACTATATGGCGTAAAGCTTCACCTCGCCTTGCCTCTGAAGACATTTACCTTGTTTGACTCCCTACGCAATAACCCTAGCATTGGAAAGGAATCAATCGAGAAATCTGCTAGACTGAGTTAACTGATGGGTTGCGACCATTTCTGCCTTAGGCAGCCATTATTACCCTAGTTGCGCTTCCCCTTGCTGTTCATCACATTATCACATTGTGATTCTGACCGACAATTGGCTGAAAGGAGCCAGTCTTGGATTAGATGGCATCATAGAAAACTTAATATTGACTCTTAGAGATAAGCAGAGCAATTTATTGGCTCTCGAGTGAAAACAGAAATAGGACATTTATCTAGGGCTCGGCCCGTGAGATAAATGTATCCGGGAAGCAGATGTATCGCGATCCGTTTGGCATGATCTCTACCGTAAAGAGATTGACGAATAGAATTGAAGAGCTTAAGCGGTTTTATGCATCCTTCAATATAGGGATGTCTGGCTAGGTGCTGCATGAAGCGGTGTGCATTCATTTGCAGGCAAACTTAAATATCCATCGCCCCTTGTCTTATTAAGTCTCGTCTTAAGCGAAATTGGTTAGTTAGTAGTTTCGATATCTCAGATAGATCAACATGTTAATCACATCGCATTTTTTTAGCCTATCCGGGACAGAGTTACGGAGTACCCTAAGTTCGCCCCCACCAGCCTATTGCTCCAACTTGAAGATACATCACGATAATTTACTTTTCAAGGCTACAACATACAGCTTCGCTATTCTAAAACAATATGAGTGGCTGGTCCACGGGCGCTGGTGCGGTCATACAACTGCAGCCTCTTCCTAGCTGCAGATCTGCATGCACCCGAAATCGGTGTCCGTTGCCACCATCGGGCTTCTAGCCACAGGGTCCAATGGACGACTTAACTGCTCTATCCTGCTTATAGGCCCACCTAAAGGCCCCTTCGTACAAGCTTATAGCATTATATACTCTGTATGCCCTCTCACCCTGCATATTCCCGCTTTACCCATGAAGGCGGGCATTGAAGATTTGTGTGATCCATCATGATATGGGACTATTATAAAGGCAAGACGATATTCGTCACCGGGGGCACAGGCTTTATTGGAACTGCGCTTCTATGCCGACTTTTGAGCCAGTCGTCTCCAGAACGAGTATATGTACTATGTCGAGGTGGCTCCGAGTAAGTGACAAAATATATGTAAGTCAAAACAACACTTACTGACTTGAATTACTAGTAAAGCAAAAGCAAAATGGTCCGACATACTTCCTCCCTCTACTGCAAAGGCTCTCACTGAAAACGAGCGGTTGACCATCCTTGACGGCGAATTGGGAAATACCGCGACAATGAGTTTACCAGAAGAGACAATACAGATGCTGAAGCGGACAGTACACATTGTGTTCCACGCCGCATCATCAGTTCAACTACACAATTCCTTGCGAGAATTAGCCTATACGGTGCTGGCACCAAGCATATGTCTTACACAATATGCCCTCAAATTCCCCAACCTCGAGCGCTTTGTATATTTCTCCACTGCATACGCCAACGCCCATCTATGGAAAACCCACGAATCAACAGACGTGTCAGTCGACGAGAGAATATATCCTCTCGGCAGGGAAGAGGAGGATTATTACAAAATTGCACTTGAAGCGTGGAGCGCAGTACAGAAAACCGGCTCATCCGATGAATATGACGCACATGATTTCCCATGGCCATACGCATACGCCAAACATCTAGCTGAACGATTAGTCCTGCAGAAGGCAGCTGAGCGTAACCGAATGGACAAAGTCCTAATCGTCAGACCGTCTGTTCTCGGACCAGCCGATAAATTCCCATACCCCGGTTTCGCGACCTCAGACGGAGCCCCTTCGACAGCATGTGCAGCAGCGTACATGTTACATCCGGGCCGTCGAATCAAGCTCTCGACGCGATGTGAAAGTCCAGATCAGGAATCCACGATCGATGAGGTCCCGGTTGATGTAGTGGTGGATCGAACACTGGTCCATGTGGCGCTGAGGACCAGTGGGTGCATCCATGCTGTTAGTGGGGAGCAGGGCCGGTTATCGACCGAGGAATGGTGGCGTGCATTCAAGAAGGAGAGACGGATACCCTGGAATGTGAAGCCCACTTGGACCGACGAAGACTGGCATTCTTCTAATCTCCACCAAATGGCTCGGCGGTTCAAGATTATTGGGACTTCGTTTGCGTTCTCTCAGGAACGAACTGTTAAGGCTATGGAGAAGCTAGGGGCTAGGGAGAAGGAGGATTTTCACCTATTCGCTGATCGGTCTAAGCCTTACTCTCTGCATTTGAGACGGCACCATATTCATCATCAGGCTGTGCAGGTGGCTAAGATGAAGAAGTGGCCTGTGTGGTCTGCTAGACTGCTTTGTCGGAAGGGAAAGCCTGTGGCGTACCTATCCGAGAATGTGAAGGCTTGAACATGAATGTAGTGGCTCCTTTTGGGAGGGACCTTCAACTTGGTTTCCTGTTGAGTGCGAATATCAATTAGTGCTTGACGATGGAAATTCGTTCGGATCCTTTGTGCAGCAGACTGACGGGTCATTTAATGAATTTTAAGAATAACAAAACCCGAATCCATATGCGCTCGTAGGCAGCGCAAAGCTCGTTGGCTTATCAGGTTATCAGATCAATTTGGCTTAACAGAAATTACTTGTAGATACTAGTAATGACTATAGATTTATCATTTAACTACCACTCCGTAGGGTCACTAGTGTTGACGAACAAGTACCGAGTATCTCTTTTCTTTTGTGTTATCTTTTTCAGTTATAGTGCAGCGCACAACTTGGGCATAACAACTCGCTGCGTCAGCTCTGCATCTAGCCCTGGAGGCAGCCGCCCGCCCAGGTTGGGTGTGCTAATGCTGCATTACCAACAACCAATCAAAGTGCGCATATAGTCGCCAGGGAGTGTATTTAGGATCATCCTTCTTGAAAATTGTGACAGACCATCTCTATACAAAGCCAGTATTTAGCCTCATTTACGTTAGATCATCGATAGCTAACAAAAGTACGTGGTCTGGCGCCGGGGTTCAAGTGGTTCTTCCAGTATGGCCAATCAATGCCAACTGGGGGATGCAAGCTTAGTGCTTCCGGTGCAACTTTACATTTTCGACGCTGTTTTCTGCACAACAATATAATCTTATGGATTACTTCGCTTAGAGAATCGCGGGTTTTAATTTGCAATTACCCCTCTTTCGCCTGAGAGAACAGCATTTCCATTGGGGATGAACGATGAGTCTATAAATAAGTTCAATTTCTAAGATTTAAGAGTCTAGACCTCTCACAATTACAATATTTGGTATACACCTTGCAAGATCCCTTTTAAATACGTGCTATATAGACAGTCTATCTGTACATTCCACGTCAAATCATCGTTCATCTACACGAGAGCTATGCACGATGAGGTTTCTCCACACAGAATCATATAGGCTCTATGAACAGGTAGAGCTTCCATATAGTGGAAACCCGCTTCCACAATATGCTATATTGTCGCATACGTGGCTCCCGGAGCATTCAAAGTGTGTCCAGGAAGTCACCTATCAAGATATGAAGTCATCCTACGCGAAGTTGAGGTGTGGTTCGTTGAAACCCGAGGGATGGACACTTCAGGAGCTCATAGCACCGACATCTTTGATGTTTGTTGACAAGAATTGGCGAGAAATCATCGACAAAATCAACGGCCTGGGATATATTGAGAGGGCTACGGGCATCCAACCTGAGAAATTACAGAGATTTGACAGGTGTTCTATCTGGGAGCGCTTGTCTTGGGCTTCGCGGAGACAGACAACTCTAATAGAAGACAGGGCCTATTCTCTTTTCGGGCTTTTTGGGATCAATATGCCTTTAATTTATGGCGAAGGTGAAAGGGCATTTTTGCGGTTACAGCGCGAGCTTATCAGGAAGTACGATGATGGAAGCTTTTTGTTATGGGAGGCAAAGCGTGAGTTTGTTCAAATCACAAGAGTGTCCCTTCACTGAATAACACATATCAAAGCTTATAATGAAGAGAACGTCATTCCACAACGGCTGGGTGCTCTGGCTCCCTCGCTATCCTGCTTTCAACCCAAACCCGATAATCAAAGAATGAGCCAGCCGCTACAAGGGTGCAATCTCTCGATATCTGCAAGAGGTTTACATTTGGATGTTGACTTGATGCTGCTCAAAACAGACAAGATTGGTAACAGCGATGGTATGTTGGATTCCATTCAGTTTTGAGTGTGAAATTACTATGAAATATTCGAACTAAAGCGGTTTTCCTCAAACAGGAGAGTGGCGTCGTTATTCCCTCTTCCTAGCATTTATAGGCGATGTGAAATTCTCCCAGTATGGAATATACTTAATCAAAATGGACTCGTTTTGGGGTTCTGGGTACTCTTTCGAAAGAGTCGGACATCTGAGCACTTTTTCAGATACTCATACTCGTCGCGACGGTAAGATCGGTTTTACAAGTTTGGGTCGAAAATCCATCGTTATAAAAGAGGGATTCGATATTCCCTTCCAGACGTCTCTTCTGCGATTGAACTCTTCTCCGGGATTTGAAATCCTTGCAACATGCCGGGGTGAAGTTGGATTTTCATGTGAAATCCAGGCTCTTTACGGTCCAGGACAGAGTCCAGGTACAAGATTTGGACAGAACATCCTGCCATGGCAGCCCTTGGACGTATTTTGACGTGAGCTGTGCTTGGCAAACCTTTCAAACGAAGCTGGCGAGTGGGAAATTGTCCGGGGGCGGCCAGGAGTGCATCTGGGTTATACTGGCAGGTGCCCAATAGTACTTCAAATGTTTGGCTTGCTTCATATTGCATCTGGACTCTCCATTGACTATCCCGGATGATGTCAAATCCATGATGGAGGCCCTCTGCCCCGGAGATAATGAAATATTCTCCTTTCTTTCTGCCAGATACATGGCATATGAACTGACTGTCTGCGTATGGAATACGGACAAGAAAGACTTCAGATGTCGGTTCAGCATTATCCATTGGATATTGTCAAAATACGTCCAAGGGCTGCCATGGCAGGATGTTCTGTCCAAATCTTGTACCTGGACTCTGTCCTGGACCGTAAAGAGCCTGGATTTCACATGAAAAGTAAGCTCCTAGGAGAAGCGTTTTCCATTGGATCTACTTCGCCGAGGGAATATGATGTTATCCTCGAACATGCGGCCTAAGCTAACTAAGCGAACGGTGCAAAGAAAATAGCAGTCGCCCAATAGCTTGATATCTATATAAGATGTATAAACTGTTGTCAGTCAAAAAGAGTACTAGTATGCATTCATTACCATTCATTTTACCATATCGATGTGCTTAGTACTAGCTGTGGGGGAAAATATAGCGTATTTTACCACTAGGCTTCTACAAAAACCATGATTCTTGTATGAGGCCTAGAGGCCCCATATCTACCATTTGACACTAGTAGTAAGGGCTACTAATAGGTGGTACACAAGTACTGTGCATGTACCCCACCCACAAAAGGCATTGAATGGCCAAATCTACCGCTCTCAACCTAATCGAATTAGTACAGAATTGAATGAGGCTACAGCCCTCTTGGGGCGCATTCACTATTTATATGTTGCACTCGGCGTGGGGGCCTCCGATATGGGCTTCGGCCAATCAAAAATGTTCGAAATTAGTGCTGATAGGGCCATACACGGCTATATCTTCCAATTGGCCCTCATTCTGGTCTACGAGTTCCAGCGGTTGCGGAATGCGCCTGGTTTACCTCCGTAGGCGCTCCACTGGCGCTTCGGTTGTGTTGCAATCGAAGCATACATATATCAGAGGGTACTATTAAAGAGCATGGTAAACTACTATGGGCTACTTAGAGGTAGCTTCTCACTCTCAACGTGTCACTCAATTCCCAGTCCAAACAAAAGCTTGGCCAGACAGGCTGGAGTGAGGAGCACAGAGAGGATAAAGTGGCTACGTTTCCCTCGAAGGAAGTTGGTCCCAACTCACCGGAACCAAGTCAGGCATTCTTGCCTCTTTACCTAGAAAAGAGCGGGAATCAACCAATTGGCCTAGATTTCAGCAAGCTACATCTGGACTACGAAGATCCCAATGTTCTCTTTACCACCCTACATGCGGAATACAACACCATAAACTGGGCAATTCAAGACCCTCACGATTGGCACTACGACGTCTGTGAAGTTGCCAAAATTGCCAAGGACAAGGACAAATTATTGGCTCTCCTCAGACAGCGACAACAAGAGAAGCTTGGCGAGATCCAAAAAGCCTGGGAAACGACCAAAACCCTGTTAACCTGTCAGCCCTCACGCTGGGAGAAACCACCGAGCAATGCTGTCTTATGGGGCTCTTTCATACGTCTTGCGCGAAATTTCTCATACGACTCCTTTGTCGCGTGCTTTGGGTCATATGTGACTGACGACCAACCCTCTACTCAACCTCTGCTATCAACTCCCACCGAGACCTATACCGCCAAGCCCCTGCAGCCCCGACGAATTTCAAATGGGAAAATGGCAACATCATCCGGCGTAGCCAAGTCCTCGTCAAGTGCCTCGAAATCGAAACCTAGACGGAAGAGCAGCAAGCAGGGTGGCGTGCGGAGAAGTACCCGGTTACAACAGCGCGATGAACAATCCAGCCGGTAGTTTGCAGGACAAATTGCTGTTGTTGGGAATCTTAGCGAGTCTGACATATCTGTTTGCTTTCATCCTTGAACTGTGGGCTAGGACCACCCTCCCATTGCACTGATTCCCATCTAACATGTCCAGGTGTGTCTGGTGTGGATTTGAGTTTCTCCCTTGGCCATTACATACGTTTACATTGTGTCCACTATGAACATCTGTGTACTTTGAATTACGATGACCGTTGGCATAATGATTATGTTGACAAGCCGGAATTTTTTTGGTTCAGTGGATGAGTTTGGCCTATAACACAAGTAAAAGAAGCTCAATTCGTAAACCTCAGTATCCTGTCTCCATGCGAGGTGGTAATTAGGAATCATTGCTGACATCAATACGGGGAGTTGCAGTCACCTTGCATGGGTTTGACTGATATTATGGTTAGAGATCAGGTCACTCAGGGTACAAATACGATAGATTGACTTGATACAACGCCTTTCAACTCCTCATATCGGCCCATTTACTCCAAGGCCAAAGACCTAGTATAACCTGCGGACCTGTTGTTATAGATCTAACCTTGGAACCGCCGTGCACGGACCCGATCGCGGGGGAAAAGAAATTCTTCTCCGCCACCAAGTCACAGGCCTAACCAACACACCATGGCTCCGACGGCGTGTTTCAACTGCAAAGAGGCGCGAGCCGTCATCATACGACCTAAGAATAGGCACAAACTCTGCCGAGCCTGTTTCATCAATATTTTCGAGACCGAAGTACACGAAACCATCATCGGCACCAACCTCTTCTTCCCCGGCGAGCGAGTAGCGATCGGAGCCAGCGGCGGCAAAGACAGCACAGTACTAGCAGCCGTACTGAAAACCCTCAACGAGCGATACAACTATGGACTGGATCTATGTCTACTGTCCATCGACGAGGGCATCCGCGGCTATCGCGATGACAGTCTCGAGACCGTGAAGCGCAATGCCGTGCAATACGATATGCCGCTTGATATTCTGGGATACAGCGAGCTCTATGGCTGGACGATGGATCAGGTCGTGGAACAAGTGGGCAAAAAGGGCAACTGCACGTACTGTGGAGTGTTTCGTCGGCAGGCGCTCGACCGAGGTGCCGCACGCTTAGGCATCAAGCACGTTGTCACGGGCCACAATGCGGACGATGTTGCGGAGACTGTCATGATGAATCTCCTGCGTGGTGATCTGCCCCGTCTGTCGCGCGGTACTAGTATCGTCACCAGCTCCGATGCTTCGGATATCAAGCGCAGCAAGCCTCTCAAGTACGCTTACGAAAAGGAGATCGTTCTCTACGCCCACCACCGTCAGCTCGACTACTTCACTACTGAATGTATCTACTCCCCTGAGGCATTCCGCGGCAGTGCTCGTACCCTGATCAAGGATCTTGAGAAGATTCGTCCCAGTTCGATCCTCGATATTGTCAAGAGTGGCGAGGATATGGCCGCGCTAGTGCCGGTGGAAGTTCGGGGTGCGGGAAAATCCAAGGAGACTGCGGAGGAGGAATCAGCTGGTGGCTGTGGCAGTCAGAATGGCCGAACCAGCGGTGGAGAGATGGCGGCAATGGAGGAGCAGCTAGCCGAGAACGACGAAGCCGAGTCACTCGAGACCGAAATTAAGCTTCCTAACGGTTCGCGTGTGAAGCCGAATCGTGGCCCGACTGGTAAGGCCGTCAAGGCGCAGACCATCAAACACTGCGAGCGCTGTAACTACATTTCCAGTCAACGGATTTGTAAAGCGTGCACGCTGCTAGACGGTCTCAACCGGAACCGGCCTAAGACTGCGATTGAAGTTGGTGTTGGCATGGAAGACGAAGAAAGCAGTTCAACTTTGATGAGACAGATGGAGCGTGCCCAGCTTAGCGCTACCTGAAGAGCCAATCAAGGAAACACGTCTATTCAGAAGCCCAACCTCCAGCGCCAGCGCCAGCGGCCTCGGGGTTCTGTGGCATTCCCACCATGACCCTTTCGCTAGGCCCTCGCCTCTGCAACACAATCACACCCAGTGTCAACATCAGGTGTCCATTCTCAGTGCCCCAAACACTGTGCGGCAACCCACGTGGTTCGCAATGAACAAGTCTTCAGATCAGGAGGATCTAAATATCAGATACCCCAAGTTACGACTGGAACAACAGTCCAATGCATAGCATAGCGAAAGTTTCAAAAAAGAACAAGTCCGTGCTACCTTGCAATGCTTTCTATTTTATTTTATACATGAACCGTAGTATACAAATCCCAAATATCAACAATAACAACGCCATTCCATCGAATCCATGCATCCCAACAAAGTCACACTATCTGCACAGACAACAGAAAACCAAGCCAAGCCCAATCCGCCTCTGCCGTAGAATCATGATCCATCGACCGTATTCACAACCAACACTCCACCGACAGAAGGCGAACCAAGAAAAGCCGATCAATCGCCTCCAAACTCATCTACTCCTTCCCCTCAGGAACATGCAGCTCAGGCAAATCAAATCCAACCCGTCTAGCCGTAAGACGAATCTTCTCTTCCTCGTCCATACCCATACCAGGGTTATAGCGCTCTAGGAGTTCACAGTAGATACGCTGTGCGCGGGCATACTGAGCGAGTTGATCTGCTTCTTGGACGCGGAGGGTGCGTTCTTCATCTGTTTTAGGGATTGAGAAGGGGAGGGCGTTGGATTTGGATGATGGTTGCAATGATGAGGTCGTCGGTTCTGAGCGGAAGACCGCGCGTAGTTTTTCGTGGAGTGGGGAGGGGGTTTTGAAGCTGCGGCGTGGGAGTTCGCGGAGAAGGGCGCGGTAGGTTGTGCGCGCTTGGATGGGTGTGGACATTTTTTGGATGGTTGGGACCTACTGTCCAGTAGGTTGGTTTGATGGGTTTGTTTGGGTGGTTTTGAGACCCTTGTGCACTGGGGAGTCGAGGTGAGTTTGTCTTGGGTGTCTTGAAGCTGGGCGGAGGTTGAGATAGCCGGGTGGATAAACATCACGTGATTGGATATCTATGCGGCGCTATTCAGTACTAGTGGAGGTTATTTCGGGAATTTGATAAGTGATCAGTACACATGGCTACGATTATATTTGATGGATGGATGATACAAGGAAATACATATATAAACATGTCAATATATACCAGGGTAGGATGCTATCTGCAAGACAGTCAACCATCACTACCCACACCTCGGCGGGCATATGTACAAAATGTCGTAGCGGGGCGTTTTTTTTTCAAAGATGTATCACCGTTACAAGCGTCATATCGACCCCCATAGGGAACCGAGTTCATAACGAAAAGCAGGCAAAAGACAACAACAGTATTTATCAATCATATAGGGGCATGGCGACATGAGAAAGGAAGAGTAGGAGAAGGTAGAGGGCGGTAGGGAGGGAGGTAAGGGTGAAGATGTTAGATGAGACGGTTGTGTGGAAGAGCAGCCTCAATTCGTGTTGAGACTGACGGAGATGAGTGCCCTAGGTTGCCAGAGGCATGGCCGAAGAATTGACTGGGGTTAAGAGCGCAGCCAGCCAAACTTCCTTCGCCCCTCAGCTCCCGTGGACGGTTCGACGTGCAAGCTACGAGCATACAAGTCCTAGAAAATGTTAATGAGAAGAACAATGATTCACGATAATAAAGATCTTACCTCTTCGTCTCCAGAGAGCTTCGAGTCCAGGATCATTCGCTCAACATCATCGAACTTCTGAGCCTGCGGATGAGGACTCTTCTGGCTTCGTTGGATGCCAAGGACAACCTCACCCATGACTTCGAATTTCTTCCAGTTGATGCGAGATTTGTTCTCGCCGACAAATGTCTTGTTGCCTTCTTCGGCGGAGACAAGGTCGCGACGGTGGAGAGGTAGGAATGGGATTCGCTCAGAGAACGAGTTCTCCCAGGCAAGACGGTAGGCAAAGTGGCTTCGTTGGGTGCTCATGAGGATAACCAGACGCATAAACTCTTTCTGAGCTGGGATGGGGATCAGGTCTCGGGTTTGCGTGAGGCGGTGGACGGGAGTGCCGTTGATGGCGGCGATTACGGCACCCAAGGAGTTGTAGTTGTTTTGGCGTCGGAGTTTCTAGCAAGAGCTGTTAGTTGTTGACTTTATAGTAGCTAGATCCAAAAAGAAAACCTACCACTGCGATGTTCATGAACTTCTCTAGCGCCTGTGCTCTATGCTTAGGCTTATCGCGCAAGAGGATCAGGCTGGCTACGAAGAAGGCCAGATGATTGAATTGCTTAATCATCCGATTCACATTCGTCAAGCTCTTGATCTTATCCTTGTCTATGCCCGAGAGGCTGACATGACGCACAAGATCACGCGGCCGGAATGAGTTGTACATGATCCAGTCAACCCGCGTCAGTTCTCGTGCGAACTCCTCTTCTGGGGTATCCATGAAAACCCGCCACTGGAGTTTGCCAAGTGAAGTCTTATGTGTTAATTCAAGACGTAAGGCCTCTTTTTGGGCTGCTTCGAGGCTCAACAATGTAAATGACTGGCTGGCGATGCTGTTAGATTTGTCGGTATTCGAAGAGACTGAAAGAGTGCCCGAGAGTCGTGATGTCGAATCATGCGGCCCAGTGCTGAGATCCAGCGCACTCATACTATAGATGGGGTCTTGTTCTTCTTCGGTGTCGTAAGTGGTAGTGCCAGAGTCGGCGCCAGTATGAGCAGCGGCTGGAGAACTTCGGCCGGAATTGTCGAAGAATGTCTCAACCAGTTGGGGCTCATCGGAATCACTATCACCCCCGTATGCCCAACCAACATCATCGTCTTCTGCATTCGAGTCTAATTGCGACCCGATCTCCTTGGCAGCGAACATGTAGAAATGGCTCTTTTCGAGTATAGCCACAAATTCAATGATCCGTTTGCGAAGATTGGGATGAGCGAAATCTCCAGGATAGTCCGAGGCCCATTGAGCCATGACATCAAGCAGTCGCAGTTGATCCGCCATGCGGGCCAGCTGATCGTCGTTGCCCATCTCATTTCGCTCGAACCGGCTTATCAAAGCACTTAAGAGACTTGCGGGGGCGGCAAATTTTCGGTACAGACATAGGAATATAGAACGGAACTTTTGGTCCTGTTTCGACAGCGGCAAGGAAATCAAACGATCGACTAGTTCATCAAATGATAGACCCGTCTCTGCACTCGAGTTGCTCTCACTGCTCGGCTTTGGCCGCACAACTGCGCCAGGGCTCGGGGGCCGGCTCTGCCCATCGTCTACCTCGTCGTCCATGTTTAAGAAACTGTTGAAAGCGTCTGATCCTCCGCTGTGTCGCCAGGCGGTATGCAATCGTTGTTGGCGGCTATCGTGATTGGGGGAGTCTTGTTCTTGTGCTGACGGCCTGCGGGTATTTAAACGCGCTCCGGATGGCGGAGTTTGCGGTCGCACCGGTTGCGAGTTACTGCGGGCATAACGGTGAGAATTGCCTGTATGCTGCAAATAGTCTTCGTCGGTTGTGAGATGGTTTTCACCATCCCCATCGACACATTGTTCTGAGCCCGTTAGGCCTGTGAAAACAGCTGAGGGATTTTCCGAGTTGGCACGAGTATGCCAATTTTGAGGTTTAGGTGATCTCGGTAAAGTAATATTAGAAGAGAGATCTAAAAATGAAGAGAGGGGTTAGTTTTTAGGGGAAAAGCAAAAAAAGCTATGGGGAACAGCGAACGCTCCTACCGCGACCCACCTTGGCCCGCTTCCGCTTGGGGGTCAAGGCACTTCAACCCGACAATGGTCTTGTCCGAATGAAAAGGCTAAAATCCAAAAGAAATTTGCTCACCTTCTCGAGTAGAAATCACTGCTCCCAAAACTAACGCTATACACATGCGTTGAGATCGAGGCGACGAAAACGAAGTCCGATAGATCTCGTATCGGTCATGGATCGCATCCACTTCGCTCTCTTCCAAAGGTTCAGGGTTGATATCGCATTTGCAGGCAACCTGCAAGAAAGGAAGATCCGAGGCAGCCAAGGAGTCTAAATTTCGGGAAAGATCAGCCCCCCGATCCCAAGTATATCCAGTTTAAACGGAAACCTACCAATGAGGTTCGTTGTTAAAGCAAGTCGATCCGGCTTGGTGGCATCATGTAGAACCAGAACCCCGTCAATGACCGGCGCAGCTTTGTCGCGTCCTACACGCGGCCAGATGATCTTCTTGTCCTGGTCGAATTGAACCTGTGTCAAGTCGACTTCCATCAGATGCACGATATAGACCGATCCGTTCAATGACATTTTCTTCTTGTTCATATTGGAGGCAGGCGGGTTCTTCATATCCAGCGCACATTTGACAAAGCTGCTCTTGCCGGCGTTTTCTTCGCCAACCACTGCAATCGTCACTTCGGGGAATCCGCTCTTGGGAGATTCCTATGGCAGAAAAGGGATCGTCAGCAATTGAAGCTCTTTGTACGCCGTAGCCATATCCCGCTCGGAATTCTGGACCAATTGAAGACGTACCCCATCTTGCTGGCGAATTCCTGTGCGCTTGATCTGTTCGTCGGTAATTGGCGACCCCTCATCCTCCTCCACTAATGTCTGTTCGGATTTCGTCCCAGCTCCTGGCTTGCGCACCACATCGAGTTTATAAAGGCCCCCGGGGGCTGAAGAAGTGCGACTTCCCATTCCCGGTCGTTGCGGAGCTGCCATTGCTTGAGCTTTGTCGCTGTGAGCTCTCTCTCGGCGGGTCTGCGAGATCATGACGGAAGCGGTCGGCAATTAAGCCGAATGGATTCGGTATGACAGCCTTACTGTGTACGTTCAAAAAACGAGCTCAGCACATCCATCGTTGGAATCAAGTTGGAGTGCAGCCATCCGAGATGTTATCGGGAGATTGAAAACTACCCTGATTAGCCGGATCTGCGTCGGATATCTTTTGGTCTTGGCGGGAAGAACCTTGGAAATTATGAAAGCAATATGGACAGATCACAAAGATTTCCAAGATTGGGGAAGATTGGAGATGATGGAATTGGTCCGAGATCCTCTTTTTTTTGATGGGATTCTCGCATATCATTGGAAGCCCACTAAGAGATCTTCGTGTTCGTGAAAGCGGCTGAACTCGACACATGGGCCAACTAGAACCGAGGCTGGGGGTCTAGGACGATCTCGCTTAAACGACAGGTCTACTCCGTGGATATTCCTTATTTATTGCTTAGGATTTGTTGGGCTGCAGTAGCTGCTTTGACTGCCGGCCCCCCTGCTCTCGGAAACAAGGGGCCGTTTGTCTTTGCACACATTAGATCATATACAGACGGAGTACTCCGTACTCTGCTTTTCTCGAGAGGCTTTATGTGACCAGTCAGAAACATACAGATTCCGAGTTTTCAGTACTTTTGAACTTTTGTACGGAAATTCCGGTCTGTGAAGTTCTGGGCCGTTGACATATGCTCCGCTTTATTGGGGGCGCTAAAAGCGCCCCTAATCTGACACTATATAGGACTTCGGCTGCTGGTCTTGGCTCGCATGGTAGCGTTGTATAGCGTACCTGTGGTGGGATATTGCACTTTATGGGACCTAGCCACCATAGGGCCAGTGCTCAGCGATTTAATTTACTGCTCAACGTTTTATTATACTATTAAATTGGTTTATCAGCAGCCCCGAGAGCCGAGGGATAGCATGCAATAGAGAATTATACAGAAAACAAAGGAGGCTGGATATTCATCCGTTGCATAAGGCTGAATATGGCTGAAGCTGTCAGATCTGACAGCTACTCTATTAGGACAGTCAAAGTAGATCAAAAGCCGCCACCCACCATCTCGTAGATTCAATATGCATGTCTCACTTGCACGGACTTAGTCTATAAATGCGGTGCAATCAAGGTATATATGCCGACCGTCCAACTCGTACGCGGCTGATTTTCACTAGAAGCAAATATAGATGACTCAGGCTGAGTCCTTGCCCTTAACAAGCGCCATAAACCGCATGAAAGCCTCGGCGGTCTGGCCAGTCTCCGTCCCTTCTTCGCAGTCTTGTCTCAGCTTCCGGACTCTGCCCAGGCCCCGGTTGAAGCCTTTCTCGGACGTCCAGGGGCCACGGCTACGAGGAGTGAGCCCTCCACGACCTCGCCCGCGCCCACGTCCACGCCCTCGTGCGGGGGCTGTGAATGATTCCACCCATTCCTCTTCTAGCGTGGACTGGAACATATCTTGTAGCTGACTGCGGAGTTCAGGGTACTGGCTGAGAAGCTCTTTCATCTCTGACGATGCCCCCACTGCTGCGGGGGTGATCGCGGGAGTTTCGGTGCCAGTTGGCTCTGCAGGTGCAGGGCCGTTGGGATCGTTCTCGGGTGTGGGATCGCCATCGGGCGCTGGGGTGGTACTCGGTTCCTCATTCGATGGTGCTTTCGGAGCACAGTATATCTTATGTGACTGGGTGCATGCAAGTGAGCAACTAAATCGATAGATCTTAGCAACTGGTCCACGTATGGATAGGGGTGGAATCGTAACCGGGTCAATACCTCAACAGTGCGCATGTGGGACAGCGATATTTGGAGGGCTCTAAAGAGCAAACCTCACAGGAACCAGGCATTGTGTCGATTTCCCAATGAATCCATCAGCTGCACGGCGATCAAACTTGCTCCCTCATTTTTGACTGGTCCACGTCCTCGAGAATGATGTAGGATAAGGCCAGGAAAGTTGAGCTACCCGATTTGCATGATTTGCACGAAAAACTAAGAAGCTCGGGTCATCTGTTTCTGCCTCAGGCACCAGATATATACGGCAACACGCGTGGCAAAAAGCTCCATAAATAGGTGACGTCCCATACTTTTAGGTCGGAAGGCTACAAAATATATGCCAAAAGGGCAAATGGGATGTCGAATTTTCTCCCCGAGACCTGGTTGGAGCCTGATCGTCCACGTCCAAAGTCCAACCCCTGTCTAGTGTGACGAAACAAAGCCAGAATGCACGCGATACATCGAGAACGGCCACGTTTGCACCTGGTACAATATACGCAAGGAATCGTGTCTTTATCCACTCGGGGAGCCAGAGCATGACATACACGTACAATGGCCACGACAATCACTTGCGGGGATGTCAACCCGGCCATACGGAGTACTAAGTGGATCCGGATTCCCCCCGATTCGGTGTCGACACGGGGAACGAATGCTGTTTGTTGCAAATTCCTCGTTGCCTTTCAGCTCATGTCTCCACGGGTTGTTTCATGACTCGTCGAGGTCATGTTGGCGCTCATTGCAAGATACGGCACCTCTGTCCTTTTTGTTGAGAGCAGTCCTACCCTCTTTACTGGATTCAACCTATCAGTGAATAGTTAATGGCTCCACGTATTATATTCCGTTTGCTATTCCACCGCTGCAAGTACTATCCAGACTCCCCTGGAACTCGTGCCAGACAAAGCGCCTACGTCTCTCGGGTCGGCATTTCTTGCACGGCCGGGATCAGAATTGTCAGTTGTTGGTGTACAGCGGGAAGCTGGTACGTAGTAGGATCAGTCTAAGTTAGAAATATGGCAAGGACTCGCTTTTTGCAACTCTTCGTACCAACTTATTTGATTCTCGGCCTCATATATCAGCCGGAGAAATAGCCTACAGATTGACTAGTTGATCAATGGGTCGATCACGGCTGGCCCATACACAGGGAAATAGTCTGTTCTTACCCCGTGGGAGTGCCCTACCCACCCGGTATAACGGAGCATGTCGTTTACCGCCAATTTACGTGTCTAGGGATAGGTCAGCCTACTTTGTTCTGCAATCTCCCCAAAGGGAAGGAGGTCAAGATGACCCACCTACTGCTGCCGTCCGGGAATTCTGGACTCATCAACGGATCTATCAGTCGTGTGACGGGGTTGGAAAACGGAACTATGCATACAAGCATATGTATCAACTGTGAAAAAGAGAGAACTCCTTGGCGTGAGCCAAAGCATGGTCTGTCCTCTGAAGAGCACTTTTGTTGGCTATCCTGGAACGATGCACCCATCCTTGTGTCTATGGAATGTGAGAGAGGCTTGTTACAACGTGATCTTGTCCTCTCTTTGATTGAGCTCGATCGTTGCACAGCTCAAGCCTTCGAATGTTCTTCTCGGATGCCGTCGAGTTTCTTTCTAGAAACAAGCCTGGATCGCACTCGTTATATTGGACGGCTTTCATCCTAAATGGCCAGGCTACTTCTGATAAGTATAGCTGGTGTGAAGCGAAGTTCATGCTTCCTCAATCATTGCACTTTCGAATTTCTACCTTAGTAAAGGAGAGCATCTGCTACGAAGCTAATAGTTATAGGGACGTCGGGAAGAAGCTTACTTCTCCAGGGTTTGATTGCGAGCCCTGGAGTACGTTTAGAGGTGCAATCAGATGATAGTACTCTATCTGAGTGTAAAATCAAACAAGATCTTGTTTTGACAGATGATTTAGGATGACAATTGACCATGAACTATTGGTTTCTCAACCTCCGACAGTCGGCACATTTATAGTTGTAATTGGGCAAAACATCTCTTCTTATTGGCCGAGAAACTGTCTTAATTTGTCATCGGGCGATGATCTCAGATCACGTGCAATCAAATTGCGTCAGAGCGGCCGAACAGATCCTCAAGTGTTTTTTTCTACAATTCACCTGTTAACAACTATATTGTACAGTTGACTCGACAACATAATGTCTTTGAGCACTCCATCTACAACAATGTTCCGCCGCGCTCTGCTAAGCACCCGTCTGGCCACTCCCGCCGAGTGCTCCGCCCGAACAATCAGACCGGCATTCGCACGCCACAGATATGTGTCCAGCGCAGCCCGACTCCCGACCCTCACAGCATCAGAGACCCGTCGCCGACCAACAGTGCGCCCACACCAGCAGCCCGCCTCACAGGGCGGAGTGAACGGCCTCTCACCAACCAGCAAGCGCACCATTTTCATCCAGACCGAGAACACCCCCAACCCCGATGTAAGTTCCCAGAGCTCAATTATCCCATATTGACACAAGAAACCAAACTGACCTCTCATCTCCGATAATCTAGGCCTTGAAGTTCATCCCTAACCACCGTGTCCTCCCGGAGGACTTCCCCAGCACATTCCTCGAGTATATGTCACCACGATCCACCCTCGCGCCGCCACATCCATCCCCGCTCGCCGCGAAACTCCTCGATGTCGAAGGCGTCACATCCGTCTTCTACGGCACAGACTTCATCACAGTGACGAAAGGCAGCGACGCGAACTGGGCGCACATCAAGCCGGAAGTCTTCAGCATCATCACGCAAGCTGTGACATCTGGCGAGACGATCGTTACGACGATCGAGGGTGCCACCGACGGCCAGCAGGAGAGTGGCGAGGACTCACTCTCTTTCAATGAGGATGATGACGAGGTTGTCAGCATGATCAAGGAATTGCTCGAGACTCGCATCCGCCCTGCTATCCAGGAAGACGGTGGTGATATCGAGTTGAAGGGCTTTGAGGATGGTATTGTTATGCTGAAGCTGCGCGGTGCTTGTCGCACCTGCGATTCCAGCACTGTTACGCTGAAGAATGGTATTGAATCTATGCTTATGCACTATGTATGTCCCTCCCGCCTTCTTGTTCCTTTGGTTTGACATAAGGGCTTTTACTAATTTTGCTTTCTAGATTGAGGAGGTCAAGGGTGTGGAGCAGGTTATGGATGAGGAGGAGATTGTTTCCATGCATGAGTTCGCAAAGTTTGAGGAGAAGCTGCGCCAGCAGAAGGGTGCTGCTGCTACAGCTACTGCGCCCGTGGACAGTGCGCCGTAAAATAAGTCATTTGGGGACATACCTTGTACATTAGTTTCTAGAAGGGAAAATGAATTTTAAGTAATTGGGTTGCATTACTAACTTCCGGAAATCGTTCTCACATATTCACTTGATTACTTCTAAACTCCATAATGCCAAGACCCAGCCACTTCGGAGACCCAAATTAAATGTCCGGAATATTAATATTCCCGGTAGCTCTACAATACAGTACTGTACATAAATTACATTTTGCGTCTCATGATGGATCAATGGCACCTTTCCTATGGAAGGCTCGGCGTCCCAGTGGCACACCCGAGTGCTTACTCGGAACCGGACAGCATGGACTATGGATGATCTATGTACCATTCGCGTATTACTAATCTCTCCGGGATAAACCCCTCTTCTCATAACTCTTTTGTGGAAGTATACTCCAGCTCTGTTCCAAAGCTGGTTGCCCCAGTTTTTTATCCATTCCGAGTGCAATGCCTGTTGAGCTGTTGCTCTTTCATTTGGCCGATAGATCAGCATCGACTGAAGCATCACCTCAAACGCCCTCCTTTCCTTTACCGTCATAGTTTCTAGGCCCGCCTCAGACCGTGCCGCTTGTATAGAGTATTCAAACCTCGCGCATAAGGCCCTGCGCACAGACATTTCTGGTTTCACGTTCAATTCGCCTTCTTCATTGAACCAGTCTAGTCTTCTGCTCCATTTTTCCCACCACTCCGGAGGTAAGATGCCAAGGACCTCGACTTGCTCTGTGGTAACGCGGTCGGCAGCTGGGAAGAATGTCTCGAACAATGGGCGCTGGTCAACAATCTCCCAGATGGTACAGGCAAGTGTCCAGATATCTGACGCAAAAGACAGCGGCTCGTCTGAGAACCGGGCTTCAGGTGGCTGGAGGAGTGGAATAACTCCTCTTCCAGGCCTAGATAGCGTATGCCCAAGGGAAGATATAAGACTAACTCCTACGTGCAGACACTAGCATCAGCAGTGATCACTTTCACTGCCACATATTGAGCTTTTTGTAGATCACGGGCCAGCCATATGGTCGAGTATTTTGTATATTTAAGCTTATTGATCATTCGACGGCGGACATTATCTAACTCATCTCCGACTTTTCGAAGGTGGTATCCTCCGGGGTGGTATCTGTCTAGATCTTCGACGTCTTCAATCAGCCTATACTGAGATATGCCGGATCTTCTATTTGGGGTAGAAGATTCGTTGTAACGAGCTGTATCCCGGCGTATGTCATCTGTCCGGGTGGTGAGTGTGGACATCGATATCATCTTTTCGGACATGGAATTGGTCCGATAAAAAGATGCATTTCTGTCTAGAGAATCGCCATGGGTTCATGCGAGGGTGTGTAAACATCTGCAGAAGCATCTAGCATAACGGCAATCGTCAGGCCTAGACAAGCCTGATAGCTGAGGTATATAGGTCGGGGGGGCTGTGGTTCGTTGCAGTACCCGTGGACAGCCAACCTTGGAAGGAAGGTTCCTTGAAAGGGTGGCTTTGAGCCGCAACGAATTAGCATGTGGTAGCTCCCTAGGTCCCGGTGTGGGTCTTCCAAGGTTACTTGCAAGATGATGACATACAATTATCCGGTATGTAATTACGCTAAGATACATACATATCAAAGTGGCGTTGCGGTTTGAGAAACAATAGTACATAGAGAAGTGCTTTACTCTAGAAACACTCAAATCTCCGGTATCTATTTAGGTCTGGTGGGGTATACTGGAAAAGTAAAAAAGAAAAGAACACAGGCCATAGTTCCAAATGCACGGCTACATTAGCACACAAAATGGGTTAGTACCCAATGCTGCAACATCCAGGGAATAAACCCGGTCGGAGGTCCGGGGCACACTATGATTCGCCAGAAATAACAGCAATAGAATTGATCCTTCAGTCCCCATTGACTCTACTCTATATATTGCACAAGGTGAGATCATTGAGGGGGTTGAGGGGCTAAAGAGTCAATATCATTGTACTACATTGCACAGAACCGTTCAACGGTCCATATTCCGAGGCTATGACACGTGAGAGACTTATGGGTCTTGGCGAGAGATGTGGATGAAGCTATCCCCGCAAAAAGGAGAGGGGAAAAGCAGTATATTTGAGTTGCAAAAGTGTCAGAAAAATGCATATCAATCCGGGGTAAAATTAGAAGAGCAGTCTGGCCCCGCCGTACGAGGACCGTGCGGTCTTTTTTCTACGGAGTACGGAGATGCTATGTATGTACGGATGCATTTTATATACGGTGTACGGAGAATGTGTTTTGAGTACCAATGAGTATAACCCCAGATCGGCTTATTTGTCCCAGGGACCCGCCTGCTCTGGATGGGGGTCTACGCCACTTTCCTAGAGCTCCATATTCATCATTTTTATTTTATTAGTGTAATAGTGCTATATACAACATATGTATATTCCACTAAATATCTCTAAATTTCCATGTCCCCTATAAAAAAAAGCCCACTAAAATCCACTAAAAAACGAACCAAAAGCAAGATCAACCCATAGTTGGTCCGTGTCCTCCGGGGCAACGTTGCCAGATCCGTAAGAAGTTACCCCAGGCTCTTTGCGTTCCCCTCATCTTTTTCTTTCCCCTCCCTTCTCCCACTTCACCATCTACACCTTTCGATCGCAAGATGCGCCATCCTTAAGGGGATCAGCCTACTCCTTCCCCCGGCTCGTCATCTCTGTGATCCAAACCCCGAGCGCATTCCATTTCCCGATAGACCGAACATTCAGATTCAGATTCAACGGACATCTCTGTCGACACGCGCCTCATCCTTCCCCAGATAAGGCACTCTTGCTACTCGCTATTTCTTTCTATCTGCTTTCTTCCGCCCTCGATCCTCCATTCACCTCGAAATCAACCCATTTCGGGCACAGGAAGGAGAACTCCCCAATACTCTTGACGAGACCCACGATTACCGTGCGCACCTGCTTGCAAATAGACATTTTGAGAGAAACGATTAGATTGGTGAGTCGCGCATCATTTTTTTATCGAGTTTCCCTCCTGAACGTGACTGGGCTGATACATGGATGATTACCCAGACACAATTGCGATCACGCGACTGCTTTTGATTTTCAACTCGCTTTTCTTCGTGGATACTATTTTGCTTTCGAGGTGCCTGGTGATCTGCACGCAGTTACGCCAGCTAAAAAGAATTCGCTCGGGTCGCATTTGACGCCAACCTGAGGTACGTACAAGTCTGGTTCTCGGTCGCACTGGTTTCCTACATGTCAGGCAATGTGCCCTTCCGTGGTGCTCTGTGCATGTTACTCTCATATTTCTCTTCCCTGTGGGGTATTTCTCACTCTTCCCTTGCAATTGTATTTTGTTCACATCATGTCCTTTCCAGTCGCGCACAGCTATCTCTTGAGGGGGTTTTTTACTATCCCCACTTCTGGACCCTCTCGCAAGAGGGGCCGAGGATATGCATATCTGCGCTCCGCTTTTATCTTGCGGCTCTCGATCATACCACACTGCTTATATTTTCCTTCATTTGCGTCTTTTCTCCCTGTTTTACTGTCTAGCTTCAGTATGCGAACAATCGCTAACTTCCAGTTTAGTTGAAAATTGCGCATATACCCATCGTCCCTCCCAGAAGCAAAAATTGGCCTTTTACCCCAACTTCATCGCGTGGAAGACGGCTCAGCCGCTTTATCGCATGTGTTCATTTTTTTTTGTGAACCAAGAGACATCTAAACAGTACAGCTTTGCTATTAACAAAGATCGTACAGGTCAGTGAACCTCTCATTCCTCCATGACTTCGGGCTATTCCTTGAGGCAACCCCGCTCTGATTGTGTTGCTTCACTGGGTGTCGAGTGGCGCCCATGGTGACACAGTCGGCAGAGAATAATCGCGTTTGTCACACATATTAGACTGGGAATCCTATACTAACGTTACAACAGTGTGCCTCTTACCATAACAATGACAACCCCATCTAACAAATCGATCCCGATGGCTCAGTCTTCCACCCCACCCGCTGCGGCGACAGCGTCTGCCATCCTCGAGAAGACTCACCCAGGCGTGCGGCGTTCCACCCCAGACTCGGATGCATTGGCTTCCTCTGATGACGATGGAGACCATGGAGCGCAGGCCCAGAACATTATTCCCCCTACCACCAGGCCACCAGTCCGTCGCACCTCGTGGTTGAATGAAGTGCCGCTTTCCGCTCAGCGTAAACATTCGCTGCCTGGAGGTCACCTTTCTTCTGCCCCATCCAACCCCACAAGCCCCGCTAGTGACCAGGCACCATGGGCGACAACTACGAGCCCAGGTCTTACCGGGTCTTTCAACTGGAATCAGACCGGAGGAAGTACATTCCCCTGGGGCACAGGTACAGGAATCTGGAACGCTGAATCACGCAAGGAACCGCCTTCTCGCTTGGCAGAAATGATACCCTCTCCGACCATGACCAACCCACCTCCAGCCGGCAATATGCCAGACGAAATGTTGAGCCCAATAACCCGTACTATCTCTGGTGAATCTGCCATTCCATTCTCCATCCCCTTACAACCAACTCTTAAAACCTATCGCTCTCAGTCATATTCTGTTGGTCAGATGGATCCTGAATTCCTCAGCCTCGCTGCTAGCAAGCCCGGTGCGGTTCCTGCTGCCGGTGCGCAATACCCAGGAAGTCGCTCCCGCGGTCCAGGCCAAATTTCTGCTGTTCAGCCTCGAGCATCACGTCCTAGTATGCTCGGTGAATTAGGACACGATACTGCAATGCTCGGTCGAGTCCGCGAGGATGATGATGGCGACGAGAGTCTCAACGGCTCGGAAAGCGACATGAGCTATTCTGCGAGTCAGGCACGACAGATCGAGCAGCTGGCGCGCGAGAACGCACTGTTACGGCAAGCAGCTGCGGCAGGTCAAATGGACAACAGATACCGTGAGCGGGCTGGATCAGCTGCATCAATTGGTGGAGGTGGTCATCCACTGCATCGCATCCGAGGCGGTGTTCCCGATGGAGATTTGGTTGGAGAGGATCCGGGAGAATTGCGTGATATCACAGGATACAACAACATGCGTGGCAGTTCTCGACGCCGTTTCTCTGAGCATCTATCGCACCCAGAACAGCAGTTCACGTCCTTCGCCTCCCCGCTAGAGAATCGTGCTCTAGATAATGTCCGCAAGGCTCATTGGCAGACGTCTCTCGGCTTCGGTGGCATGTCTGACATGCCTCAAAGTCGCCGACACTCTTTCGCCGAGATTCCGATGCGTCATGGCTCAATCGGTCCTGCGGACTCCCATTCGACTGCTACTCCTCGGGCAACTATGGGAGACCGTGATGACGGATATGGCAACCTCAGTGACTATTCCAACCGTAAGTCTATTTTACTATGTTCTTTTGCTATAACCCAAAGCTAATATCTTCTCCAGAGTCTTACTACCCCCGTGAACAGACCTTGCGTGGAGATGGCTCCTCGGGTATCCCGCAATCTCTCAACCAATACGCGATGTCGAGTGCATATGGTCGGCAGCCCTCCGCATTGTCCCATGCTCATCAAAATCAGCTTTTGTACATTGTCGCCTTCAAATGCAGCCGCGCAGACGTTTTCTACATCCAAGAAGATACCGGTCTCCAGGTGAAAAATGGTGACCTAGTCATTGTGGAAGCTGATCGGGGAACGGATCTGGGCACCGTCATCCACGCGAACATATCGCTCCAACAGGCACGGGAGTTAAAGCAGCATTACGCGGAAGAGCATTACAAGACCCTCATGATCTTCTCTAGGCACGGCCAGCCTGAGGCGTCCAACCTCACCAACCCCAACACGGGCTTGAACACTCGAAGTGCCACAGGTGGCATGGGTCCCCATGGTCCTCACAGCGCCCAGGAGCCCACTACAGACCTCAAACCTAAGCTTATCAAGCGGTTAGCACAGCAACATGAGGTCTTAACTTTGCATGATAAGGAGGGGAATGAAGCTAAAGCTAAACGGGTCTGCCAACAAAAAGTGGTTGAGCACCGGCTTAATATGGAGATCCTCGATGCCGAGTTCCAAATGTAAGTCTACATGGTTCCGATTACCATTTGTGATGGTTGACTAATTGTTATGCAGGGACTGGAAGAAGCTGACCTTCTATTACTTTGCTGATTCGTACATCAACTTCAACTCGCTGGTGACTGATTTGTTCAAGATCTACAAGACTCGCATCTGGATGTCCGCTATCAACCCGGCCTCGTTTGTCACACCCCCTACGGCTGGTCTGCCAGGTCCGGGCACCATGCCCAATCCCCTTTATGGCCAGGAAGCAGATCGTCGCCACCAACTTGAGAGCAG